AGAAGAAAGCTGTCCTCCATCGCGACGAAGACGGTTCTTATATCTCCGGCAAGCTTGAAGAACCTATCTAGACCCGGTTAAAGCTCCGAACAGCTATCCAAATTCAAAATGAAGCCGGTTCTGTAAGGTCCATCGCAGGTATCTAATCCTTACGGAGTGGACATCACTAGATTGCTTGGTAGGGCTCCTGTTTCGGTTCAAATTCAGAATTATCCGATAGGTGGAGAAAAGTCGAGATAGAGCCACCGAGTCAGAGATTAATGAGAACGAGTCATGTCTGCGGTGGTCGACGAATACGTCGGCGTTGAAGCTGCATCAGGGGGTTAATATAGCACTTCCTGCTTGGGAATAGTGGACACACTCTTGTGACAATCCGAGTTTCATCCTGCTTTTCTTTAAATCATTAGCTCAACGTTTCCCCACTCTGTCTCCATTCTATCGTGTCAGGAAACCGTTATTGAAATGGTTTTAGGACCTGGTGGATCTGTCATATTCATTATTGATACGGAAATGCTTGTCGTATTGCATTAATTGCTGGCGCCTCCATGGAAAGTCCATTAACCCCTGACAGCGACCAGGTGCCCATTCTCTTCCATGAACGAATCGGCTATGCTCCGCAACCCACATGGACTTCCATTCCTCTATGTCAAGCTGATGGGGACCAGAAGAAAAAGGCAGATTGAAGCAGTCAGACTAGTTCTGTTGACGCTGTGCGGTCACAGATGAGTGATGACAAAGCCATAAACCGGCGATTGAATCTTGTCAAAATGAATGAGCTGAGGGCGACTCAATACAGAGTACTCTATTGCCAAACGCTCCGGCTGTGGCGATGGAGTGAGTTCTACTGCGTACCAAGTCATGAACCGACCCATCCAAATAGGTCTGGCCATCCCATGTATCAGATAGGCCATGTCTGGCGAACGGGGCCACAGTTCTTCATTTACCAGTATTTAGCCGCCAAACACTTTATATCAGACCACACCAGCAATAGGACCATGACCTTGTCATTTCCTGAAGCGCCAGTGTTCGTTACTGACAACGTCACTCTTTCTGCCGAGAGCTGCAATCTGCACTTATTGGTGCAGGGGGCTGGGCTCAGGAACAATATACGCCGCACAGACCATTCGGAGGTGAGACACCTACTTTGCTGGAAATGAGGCTTTCCTTATCCAGGTGCACCGGTGCTGTGTGGTCTGAAACGCCCGAATGCTTCGGGTTGCCGCTGGCCCGCTCTGCCTTCTCCTGAATCCTGAATCAACCACACGCATAAAAACGGTTTAGTGTGTTGGATTTCTGATCGAGTCTGCTCCCTTTTAATTTCTATCTAGCGTCTGAGGCTCCTGGGCTCTCGCTCTTTTTTCAATTATTCGTCCCTTAAGTTCCCGACAGGCAGCGCCTCTTTGAAAAAGTGGAGCTATCTTATAGCCCAAGGGATACTGCATCCTCTTCGTCGAAGCGGGCGGGGAAAGGCAGATGCTTCTTGTCAATCAAATGGAAACCACTTGCGAGGATTCGTCTAACATGTGACAGGTCTTGACGACAGTTTATTGAAGAATTCGATTCGTAGAGGAAACAATAGGAAAGGCACCCATCACCATTCTCGTCATACTGATGCAAGAAATGGATTCAAAAAAATCCCCTATAGCCCAGGATGTGCAGCATTTTATTGCTTAGAATGGGTTACAGGCGAAAGGAGGAGCATTCACAAGGGCAATATCAACCGACCCGCGGTTGTATATCCGTAGCAGGGATTCAATCACCATGTGCCTGAAAAGGAAGTCCATACAACTATGTCTCAGAATTTAAGAACTGACTGGAATAGAGTTCATTACTGCCTCCACACTATGAAGAATTGGCGGTTCATCTGATATTCGGTTAATCCCACAATCGCCAGATAGGCCAAATTCCTGAGAAGACGAACTGAGTTCTTGGCTACAAAGCTTCTTGTAGCAACGCGCCTCTCGTCCTCCAGAGACTAACCTCTCAGGATTCCCAGACTGCTTCGGGCGGTCACATATATGACTCAATCTGCTGAATAAAGTGGCAGCAAGAGTGGTGCAATCTGAAGGCAGTGGCCTTGCAATGACTTGGAAGTGAGTAAAAGCTTTGAAGCTGTGCTCGCCATTGTAGTATACAAGTCCCCAATACAGCCTAACGGGCCCTACGGGACCGCGGCATGGGTGATGACTTCGTTCACCGTCACGCCACTGGATATGGTGAGGAAATGACTAGGGCAATTGAAACTCAGTGATGATTCCAGAGCATTGCAAGGTATATGGATCTACCATTGTCGGTCTCCTCATCTTGACTAAATACGAAGCTGGCCTAGGTTGAGGTAGATTATACCGCGGATATTCTGCATCAGCGACCTCAGGTCCTTGATCAGCTTACGAACTTTTTAGTTGTCGACGGCTTCTTAGGTAGTTGATTGTCAGAATGGGACAGATGCGATCAAGCTTGGGTTCCATCAACGTAGTTGTTTCCTGACGACTCGAATGGCACTAGGATCCATGTACTTGGGAATCGGATCAACCAGGAGAATCTCACGATGTCCGTCCGAATGTCCATGACCTCAGTGAAGGACATCTCATATGCAGTCGGTGAGATCTTCCTTTACACCCTCAATGATCTGGTCCTTATTATCTCCCACACGCCGCCAAAGCTACTTGATTTCCATTTTCTTCAAGCGAGCTCCTTGGTGCGACCGGACTGGAAGCCTCTTCGACATCTGCTTCCGAGGCGTAGGGCGGCATACTGGTTGGGAGCACCGCGCGCTTGAGAGGTCTGTTCTTCTGCCACCCGAGGATGACTGTCTTTCAGATTGTAAGTGCGCGCAACTATAGCTCGCATGTGCCTGCTCGTATGATCATTTCGCCGATCAGAAAAGAGGGGTTCGACGAACCGAAGACACGGCGTCATTTTAGATACCGCCAAGTGACGAAGATTTATTGATCAGACAACTGGGCTGTGAAATCGTCATGCTTGTGCTTCTCTGTGCACCTTGTTTTCAAGTGTTATACGCACGACTAAACCGTTACGGGACGTCTCTGGACCGATCTGCCTCGGCCATGACCTATTAGAAACATCGGAGCAGCATGACGATCGAGACGGACTTCGTTTCGCTGGATCATCTTATCACACGCTGTCCGATTGAAGATTCATGGATGAGGTAGAACACCTTAGTATGGCGGAATGGATCATGATATATGTCTTCAAATGAACTACTTTCGGAAATACGGAGTGTCAAGGCATGAACCCCAGACTATACGCATTCATCGACTTGAGGGTGGATCCAATCCGGGACTGTTATCAAAAGGAAAAGTCAAAAATGGCAATCTGACGAAGGGCGAGTAAGTAGATAATAAAAATATCGCTCTTCCAAGGGATTTGGAGTTCCCATTTCGCAAGCTCAAAGTCGAGCGGTAGGAAGGATAAGAACCTACGAGATATATAGTCCAAAATTCGGACTGGAATCCAACTTCCTATGTCCACCATTCGCTATAGAAAAGTCACTCTTCATTGAGTCGTGACACCAAAGGCACATGGCTCCCACAGTGCGAATGAATATAAGAAGTCAAACACCCCTGCCGCTGTGTGATATAGAATCCGAGGGATTCCAGTGGCAGATTACCTATCCGAAGGAACCCACCTAGGTCCGCCATATCGCAGATAGCATTTGTGACACTCCGGACGATATGCTTCTGGATAGTATCTAAGTGCAACACGATCGGGTTGGTACTAGACATTGGCCTGGATGGCTAGGATATCAGGCAGGCAAAGCATGCCGATCACACTGATAGAGTCTTACAATACCTGTCCTATCTCGGCAAGGAACAAACGATGACCTGATCATATCTCTAGCAATGCGGGTGTCTAGGTCGGTTTGTCTCGTGTCATGGTCTTTCCATAGAGCAATCCCCATGACCATTTCCGGTTGGTGCCAGACTAGAGAATTGTGAGTTACTAGAGTACTGAGAGCTCTTTTGTATCTAACTCATCCGTAGTCTATGCTCCGCATCTATGCTTCGCCCAGAACGCACTAACTATCTAGGAGGAATGCATGATATGCGTCCCGCGCTAACCCGCTCATCGAAGCCCCTACTGTGGATGCATACGTTCAAGGAACTACCGGAGATACAAGAAAGAGAAGTACTGAAGGCCCCAAATGAAATCATCCCCTATGGAAGCCAAGTCTGAAGCGACAGCTCGTGCTCAAGAGCTAATGTGCGTAGTTGAGAGAAGACAAGACCAATAATAATCTGGTAGCCTAAAGACTGGCCAACCCTAAATAGGACTAGCGTATCTATAAGAGTGGCGGAGGAGTCACCCATTGAAATGGTTGCCTGAGTTTTCTGGCTGGCAGATTTTTTGCCTGTTCCGAATAATACGGAAAGGAGACAGATAGACCCGGAATACGCTACGGGCTCAACCAACCCCCCTTTCCTCTGCGGTGAATCAGGTCCTTATCATCAACTACCTAATCAACTTGGGGGCGTTGTCTGCTTCAGTATTGTTTCTCAGTCAGAGTGTTATTACACTTTCTTTCTCTAGTCACTGTGGGAATTTTCTATAGACCATCTCCTCTCTCCAAACTCCCTTCGTCCCCCGAGACGGTCGCCGCTCCAGTTTTTCCCTCCCTTTTCCACACCCTCAACAAGAATCCGATCGGGTGCTATTACCGCGCCTCTCAATTCCCTACGCCGCAGCGGGCATGATCAACATTTGAGAAGGGCCATCTAGTGGTTATCTTACAATAACCAAACTGTCGCTCCTTCTTGACCCCATATTGTGATTCGTTTCGATGGATTGGAGACGGTACTGTTAGAAAGTTCGATTGCGCCGAGTGAGACGAGTTTTGCGGTCGGATCTTAGAGATCCTCGTGCCATCCCTTGATCTTCCATCTTCGAGTCTTGCACCTTGATCTTGCAGGCACGCTGCGAAGATTTGGGCGTATTCGACAGTGGCTCCTAGGCTTTCCGCTCCGTAATCCTGGAACTCAATGATGGGACCTGTGGAGGCTGCCTCATCTCCCGTATTTCCCTCCCTGGATCCTATTGTCGTCGATGATGAGATGGAAAATCCCTATCAAGATACCGATTTAAGCTTTCTCGACTCTACGAGACTACAGATGAACGAGGCCGCCGGCCAGGATTTCGACGATCTCTTTGCCCGTTCCCACTCCTCCCGCACGGTCACAGACTCGGAATCTGTGTGTTTGTCGCCCTCAGAACTCTCCATAAAGAGACACTTTCAGGAACACGATGCGCTGAGGCAACCCAAGATTGTTGCTTCAGACTCCCCTGCCGAATCCCCGGATAACTCGAGTCCCAGTTCTTCGTCCGATTCTCCGCGGAATCACGGTCGAAACACCTCCGTGGCCTCGACCACTTCCGTTACTCATAGCGATCACGCCAACATAATGCCATTTGGCTACGCAACTGAAGATTGGATCAACTCGGAGCTCGGTTCAATGAAGGAGGAGACATCGATGTTTGGCTTTGACCCTTCCTTGCCGGCCATGGAGGGTGTCTTCCCCGTCGAAACCGACCTCGAATCCAGCAACAAGGCGATGGACGCCGCTTTCGATTTTGAAAGCGCAGCCAGTAGCCCCAGTGCCCTGAAGACTGACTCGACCACTCAGCCAAAGATCCAGAAGCGACTGAAGTCGCAAATGCGGGGGACGTCTCATTCCACCTCAAGGCAATCAACTTCTCCGGTATGTACTCAGACTCTCATTCTTCCTCGTCCCTTTACTAATTCTCCTCGCAGCAATTTCGCCATTCGGTCTCTCCTTTCACAGTGAGCAAAATGCCCAGTCAAAGTAGGTCGTCGTCAAACCAATGGGCGGGACAATCACCGTCGTCGCTTTTGGAGGAAAGTTTTGGCGGCATCAACATGAACGGCGGATCTCCACTGAACGGAAACTTCAACTTTGCGTCGAACGGGTTTCCTTTCGGCATCAACTTTGCGCCGTCTCCCCCTCAGAACAATATGAAAGCGGAAGCGACTCAGCGTCATGTCCTCACCGTTCATCCCACTTCACTAAAATCCCGCGTAGAAACACAAATTCCCATCCGATTGACTCTCTATCCAATGCCCTCCGGCGTCAAGAAATTACGACTGCCTACCCACACCATCTCCAAGCCGAAATTCCTTGCTCCTCCGTCTGCTGATCGTTCGGCTGATACCTTGCAACTGCATACGAGTCTTGTCTGCACTAGCGCGATGCAGGATCAGACGAAATTGAGAAAGGCATTTGCACGAGCAAGGGGCGAGACGCGGTACCGCACCTCGAGCTCTAGCCCGAATGCCACGGAAGAGTTGCCAGAAGATGACAAGCCCTTGGACGGCGGGGAGGTGAAAATCTGCTCTGGATGCATACAGCGTGAACGGAAGCGCGCCTTCAGAAAGAAGCAGAGAAAGCCGGAGGAGGACGAGTTGTTTCAAAAGGACGAGGAGAAGCGAGTGATCGTCTTTAACACCAACGAGATCAAAGATTGGGCGGAGCCCTCCAAGCATGCCATGCCAGGCTGCACTGATGCCCCTGCGCCAGTTATTCCCGCTGGAGCAATGCAAGTCGAGCTTCCAATGCGAATTGCATGCTACTGCAGGCACCAGAACGAGAAGCTCGGTTTCCAGGTCATTTTCACAGTCAAAGACCATATGGATAATGTCATTGCCCAGGCAATCACAAACTCCATAATGATCACGGATGATCACAAGACGCACGCTCCCCGGCTCCTCCCGCCCCGGGCCCTTCTCCATCTCTCCCCGATGGGACACAATTGCCCGGAGTAGGCGTCTTTCCGTCGGGCCCTCCAGTCGAAACCGCGAAGTCGTCAACCCAGTCCCAGCAGTCGTTCCGATCATCCTCAACTACAGATCTGCAGGGTCTTCAGCAACGGTTCAACTCGCAGTATCAAATGCCGGCAGGCTCCTTCGCCGTCGCTGCTCAGAATGGCCAGAACGGCCAGAAGAACGCCACTTCAAGCTCGCAAACGCCTCGCAGTCTTTCGCGACAGACTTCGCCGAATGACTTCCCAGGACCCATGACTAAGCGACGGAAACACAGCAATTCCGGCCGCCTTCCGTCAGAATTGACCATGACCAAGCTTGAGAACGGACAGTCATCTGCGGGTGGGTCCAATTCAGGAGTCTTAGGAAACGACGCTCCTTTCAATGCGGCGCGTGGTTTTGCGTCCCCGACGGAGAGGCCGTTTGTGACATCGTCCGCCATGTCGGGTCAGTTCGCCAACGGCCCACCAACCCCCAATAGCGGAGACAACAATCCTTTCTTCAATCCCAGCGCGACCCAAACCAGCTTGGATACATTCATTCAGCAGCAGTTGATGTCGGCGCCAAACTCGGCTCAGCCTAGCCGCCCCGGAACGCCTGGTAACTCAGCTCGTCACGGTTTTCAAGATCAGTCCCTCAACCTCTCATTAGGCTCAAGCACCTCCACTCCCGCTTGGCCTCCTCTCACAAATGCTGGTAACCGGTTGCCTTCTGTCATTCACAAGGTTGTCCCAGCAGAAGGCTCCATCACTGGAGGCACAGAAGTGACGCTGTTAGGAAGTGGCTTCTACCCTGGTATGGAGGTTGTCTTTGGTGATACCCTGGCCACAACGACGACGTTCTGGGGCGATAAGTGCCTGAATTGCTTAACTCCGCCAGCCCTCCAGCCTGGCATGGTGGCTGTCGTGTTCAAGCATGAGCATCCGACATTCGGTCAAATGCAGCCGGCTCAACCTCTGATGCCCAAGCAGCAGCAATTCTTCCGGTACGTTGACGACAGAGAGCTCCAGATGTATCGCCTTGCACTTGGCATTCTGGGACAGAAGCTCGGCAACCAGGCAGATGCGTTCCAGACTGCTCAACAGATCATGGGTAGCGACCCCAAGGCTGTTTTCAACCTTCAGAAAGACTTCTCCGCCGGTTCTGGCGGCCATCAGCGACAGGTCCCTGGCCTAGAGTCTCAGGGCAAACTCGGCGATCTGGACTCGAAGATGTTGACGTATCTCGAATTCATCGACCTTGACGACAACCCGCGGCCGCCGAAGTATAACTCGCGCTGCGCGACCGGGCAAACTCTGCTTCATTTTGCCTCGTCCTTAGGCCTGACTCGTTTCGTTGCCGGACTGCTCGCCCGAGGAGCGAACCCGGAGGTGAAGGACAGTACCGGAAACACGCCCATGCACCTGGCCGCCTTGCATGGTCATGCGCATATTGTCAACCGGCTGCGTTTGGCTGGCGCGGACGTCAACGCTCGCAGCATCAGGGGATTCACTCCGGCCGACCTGGCCACAACTCTTCCAGCCCACCAGGCTGCACTGATTCCTGCTCGGCACAACCGCTCCCGTAGCGTTGGATCGGTAACCTCGTTGCGACGCAGGCATAGCAGTTCTGCTTCCCTTCACTCTCTCTGGGAATCGTCGTCTGTATCAGGATCGCTTGATCCGGCAACCTACGAATCCGATGATGATGGGGATGATTCAGATGACCAATTGGACTTTACTATATCTCGACGTTCGAGCCTTCACCAAGATGTGCCCGGTCCGCTACCATCGTCTGAGCAAACAGCGGTCCAAGAGGCGCGCCCATTCTCCCCTCCGGCAGCTCTGGTGGCCTGGCGGAACCAGCTTCAGGCTCAAATAAATCAATTCCAGCAGAGCGTCGCGAATGCCTTCCCGAATCTTCCTGCTCTGCCGCCAATGCCTGCTTTGCCCGATTATCAGGCTCATCCGATGATGCGCCGTATTACAAATCTTGTTCCTCATCGGCCAACCACATCCTGGTCTTCGAAGGACGGCTGGTGGGACCTCTTGACGGGCAATTCCGCGCCCAGTACGACTGAGCCGCCTTCTTACGAGGAGCTGTACCCAGGCCAAAATCGCCAGGACGAGGAAGAGGCATCGCAAGTGAAGAAGGCAACATTGCTAAGAGCGGCAGCCGAAGCGGTCGTGGATCAGCATTTCGAGTCACAGGCCAGCACTTCGATAACAGAATCTAGCAAACAGGATAACGATGACATCAAAGACATCCGAATCGGCTCCAAATTGATTTCCCGCGAGCAACAGAAGCATCTTAGAGAGCAGCAAGCTCGCAGGATGAAGGGTTTGGGTAGCGATCGAAATCTCTACTTCATTTGGGTGAGTGTCCCTGGTCATCCCCTTCTCGCATTTATCTGCGCCATTACTAACTTGTCTTAGCTTCCTCTTCTGCTCCTGGTTATCTGCGCATGGATGCGAAGTTACGTTCCAGGCATCTGGCAAGGTGCGTCAGATGTCTATGGATTTGTGAAGACGCGCTATATGCGGGGCGCGCTGGACGTTGGCTCTTAGACCTGGGCGTTTTTCCTCCTTTGTTTCCTATCATCTTCCTCGAATCCCTTTGAGCCAGGGCGTTGTTTGCGAGCGGGCGGGACTATGGACATGTCTTTCCTTTTTCCTTTTAACTTCCTTATTTTGCCGATACTTTTGCATCATGACGGGATATGACAGCTCCTCCTTTGGCTTATTCTTCCACTCTCTATACCTGACGTTTGTATGTAATTTGAGCCCAATAATCTTAGATGTACAGATGTACTTTTGTTATTGAGAACTTCGAGCCATGATATGGGACGAAAATGAGCCTATGTATGCTTAGGGCCTTCAAGGCATTATTGGTATAGTTACAGCTGGCGCTGATAGAACACTAGTTAGTAGTCTCTTCTGTCATCTGAAATGCGAGGGCCATAAGAGTATGTTCTCCGTATAAACAATGCCAAGAGATGTACCTATTATGCGGAGGTCGCTCGACCGCCTTCCCGCCAGAGAACAGACACCTGGATATTGTCTCCTGAATGAAGCATACACCTTTGCTAAGGTACCTCCCTCGCCGCTCATTGTTGAAATTGGTCCTCTAGAGCGGAATGTCACTAAGGACCCTTGTGTCACGTCCCGAATAGCGCTCGGGAAATATGGAGACTTCATCACAGGCAAGCTCGAGCAGTGTCACCGGTATGTCGGGACGAGTAACCAACCCTCCGCCGGAGTTGACCACGCACTTTTAAACTGACAAGTTACATTTTGAATGTCCTACAGTCGAGTATACCGATCCGTCGGGACTATTTCCCCTCGTTGAACCCGTCATCGAAGATAAGCTCCCGCTCAAGAACCTCCACTGGAAATCTCCCACCCGCCCCGTTCGATCCATCGAGTCGCTCCGCATCGGCTTCGTTCCAGCCCAGCGTGAGACAGACGAGCGCAAGCCCTCGAGCGATACCTCCAGGAGTGCCCCGGTTCCCCACCGACGCCATCAGATCCCTGGTCTGCGTCAAACACCGTACTTGAAAATCTACCTCCTCCGCTGCGATGACAACGACACCTACAAAGCAACCGCTCGCAAGGCCCTGCGGGACTGGATCAAGACCCACGCGTCGACGCCGCAGGCCGGCACCTCGGCAGCAAGCAATCAGGAGAAGCACGATGCGTTCGAGTGGTTGATCGTGCACGTGGTGCAAGACGGCGACAGCACGGAGAAGGCCGCGCCGGCGTCGAAATGGGGCCGGGGCACCACGACCGTCCTCGAGAAGATCAAGGCGGATTTCAATGCTTCGTCCAAGTCGGCTGTTGATCGGGTGGCGCAGTTGCGTTTGCCCCGGGCCGAGAGCACGCAACGGCCGGCTGAGCTGGCCGATCAGGTGGAGGACTTAGTGGAGAAGATGAAGAATGGCATTCTGGCGTCTTTTGATCTCCGCGTGGCGCAGTATGAGGAGGATATCAAGGAGAAAGACTCGCAGCGGAGTCTGCCCGGCTGGAATTTCTGCACGTTCTTTATACTCAAGGAGGGGCTTGCCAGGGGCTTCGAGAATGTGGGTTTGTTCGAGGATGCGCTGGTCGGATACGATGAGCTCTCGGTAGGGTTGGATACAGCAATCCATGAGCAGCTTCAGGGCACCGGTGATCAGCATGGAGGTGCTTTCTTGACTGTCAGCAAGGACTGGCAGGAGAAAGCCAAGGCCGCTTTGGAGGAGGCGGGCTCGGCGCCCTTGGATGTAGATGACGACGGGAAGTCTGTCGCTGTTGGCGAAATTGACCCCAAGGACTTTCCGCTAGATTCAAATCGAAAGCCTTACCGGGAGATGATTCTAGCTAGCGATATCTCGATATTCGATTTCCGCACATATGTGTTTTCCCGGCAGCTGACCTTGCTCCTGAGAGCCGCCAGAGCGCCGTCCTTGGCTGTGACAGAGACAGGCGCAAGCCAGAAAGGGAAGAAGGATAAGAAACCGGAGGATTTGATGCTTCTCTCTGAGCTTTGTGAGAGAGCTGCCGAATTTATTACCCTCGCCGCACGTACGCTGAGAGTCGACCTCGAATCTGGCTTGGCTGATGTGGATCATCCGTCCAAGGCGGACCTCATAAACAACCTGGTGTCGTCCTGGGCCTATGCTGCAGCAAGCCAAGTCTTGATTCAGACGTACACACCGAAGCTCACATTACCTGAGTCTTCCCTTGATGCTATGAGCAAGTCTGTGGCGGCCGCCAGCACCCCGGAACCAAAGCCTGAGGTCCCCAGACGCTCTAGCTCATTGATGTCTCCAGTCACAACTCGGCCCGGCCGTTCTAACAGCCACGGCGTTCCGCTCTCAGATACTCTTGCCAATGCCTCTCGCGCAGACCACGAATCACAGAAGCCTATACCTGCGTTTATCCCAAAGACCGGTTCCGAGCAATTAGCGAGTGGGAGAGGGGAACTCCTTTCACTCGCACGACGCCTTTTGGAAGAGATCGCTGGCAGGTGTGGTTGGAACGAGAAGTGGAAGGATCTTGGACTGCTCTTCGACAACCAAGCTCAAGGCGAGGAGGAGATGACTGAAGTTTCCTTGGATGGCGAGACGGAAGAGAAGCCGGAAGAGAAGCCGAAAGAAAAATCTGTGGCTTCGAATCCTCTTTTCGGAATCAATCTTCTTGAGCTAAGGACTGCTCTGCGATCAAGAAAGGCTTTCCGCTCTCATTACGAGCAGCTTACGGACTTGGTGTATCGGCACTATGTTATGGCGAACCGCACATATTCAGCCCAGGCGGCTCTCGCCGACATGGCTCTTCTACGTTATCGACAGAATGATTACACCGCGGCGGCCTCATATTTCCACCAAATCATCCCATTCTACGGGACCAAGAATTGGATTTTACTGGAAGGGATCATGCTCGAAATGTATGCTAGATGTCTCGAAGAGCTGAAACGAAGCGAGGAGTACGTACGGACGATGTTGCGGCTTCTTGCCAAATTCGCCGCGCACACGCACTCGGTTTTGACTGCGCGGGAGAAGACGCTCGACGCTTCTTCCATCTTTACCGAACAGAGCCCGGTTTCCCGGTACGTAGAGAAACTCTTCGAAGCCTCTGGCACGCTTCAAAAGGAAGTCTCGGCTCCTTTCGCCGACTTCTTTGCAGACTTGGAGGTGAAGCCGATCATCGTTCATTACGATGACAAGGATGGTTTTCAGATGCAACTTAGCCTGCGGTTTTTACTAGGAAAACGAATCGAGATTGATTCGATGAAGGTGCGGCTTGTCAGTGCGAGCGGGCCGCATAGCAACGAGCATTGGATAGAAACTGCCACTAAGGCGATTATCAAGTCGTCGCCCACGAAGGTTCTCGTTGACTCTACGGTAAGCCTTTTTGACCCATCGAACCTTCTTACACTTACTGAACTCATGCAAGGCTACTTTGCAAGGAAAGTACTTTCTGGACCGCCTGGAAATGCGAGCTGGCAACATCCTGTTCACACTAGCCGGCGGAAAGCATGCAGCCCTTCCTGTAGGCTTTAGGGAGGTGCTCGACGCCGAAGAGGTCGATAGTCGGCCCTATGTCTACTGCTTCCCACGACCCGAGGGATTGCAAGCCAAGATCACATCTCCGTATGTAGTCAATTTGGAGCAAATGCGGACGCTCGAGCTGGAGCTCTACAGCGGACGCAATAACGTCAAGACTGGCACGATTCGCGTACGGCCTGCCACGGCTGGTCTTCGACTGAGGGTAGCAGAGGCAGAGGTGGTGGAAGGAAGTGTCACCATTTCCACAAATAGCGAGTCTGGAAACATTGGGATTACGCAGTTGGAACCGCAGTCCACACTGCGGCTTCGTATTCCTTATACGGTCGAAGAGGCTCATCCGATGCTGTCCGCAAGGGTAGAGGTTTCCTACGAGACGGAGAGCGGCCGCTTCTCTTACAGTTCTCTTCATAACATTGTTTCAGCTCTGCCAATCAGCGTCAATGTGCAAGACGTCTTCAAGGACGAAGTTCTTTTTTCTCGGTTTACCGTCAGCCCAGCGATGATGATTCCTCTTCGAATTCTAAAATGCAGTATCCCCAGCTCCGATGTCTACGAGGTTCAGTCGCACGTGAAGGACTCGGTGGTAATGGACGTATTCCCAAAGCAGCCAGCGTCCTTATTGTACCGAATCCAGCAGCGAAAGAATAGTGTCACTTCACCAGGTTCAAGACGCTCTCTCCGCCTCAGTGTTGAGTTTACTTGTGTGGACGACGAATGTCTGGACGCGGTCGAAACGAGGTTCAAGAGCAGTATTGGCGACAGTGGTTTCCGCCAGTATACCACCTTGCTCACATCTCATATTGTGCAAGCATTCCGCACACAACTGTCAACTGCAGACATGGAAGTGATCGGGCTCATCCGCGAGCTGAGGACGCTGTCATATGCTAATGTTGGATGGGATGGACTGCTCGGTGCACTCAAGGAGCCAGTCGACGGTTTAAAAGCATGGCTCATGACATGGCACCAGGTGAGTGCAATTTTTATCTCATATGACTCGAAGTGAGTTCGACTAACATCCAAGCAGAACAATCCCATGATTTCCCTACCCCAACAGCCAACGATACTCAGCCGTCGGATTGTGATCCCTGTTGACATACCCGAAATCCAAGTACTGCACACCGCGGAATTGCGGCTCAAGAATCTCGCTGATCAGCCGAAACACGCGGCCGTCGGTCAGATGATTGCGGCCGAACTTGTTCTACGTCATACACGGAGATGGAGCTCGCCTGAGACTCGCGAGAACGCGGGGGGTACGCTGGAGTTTTCCTACGAGATTCATGCCAACCCGGAACTGTGGCTCGTTGGCGGACGGAGACGAGGAAACTTTGTCGCGTCCGAGAACGAAACACAAACATTTGCCGTCATGCTGCTCCCCCAAAAAGCGGGCCATCTCCTCCTTCCGGGGCTGGAGATCAAAAGCTACGTCCCCGCGGCGCCACCCTCTACGGCGACGACGAGCCAACCAGGAAATCCAGCGGCGGGTGGTGCGCCATCCCTGCAGCGACGACAGATCCCGAGCGAGGTCGATTACCGCAATCATGGGGAGACAGTGTTGGTGCTCCCTGATCTACGGCAGACGACGGTCAGTCTCAGCCCGGCAGGAGGAGGGCACGGCGGCTCGTGGTTGATAAATTCAGAGAGTCGAAATGAGGTACATGCATGATGATGTTAATGATGTTCTAACTGTGTAACCTAGCGATCTGAGCATGATACCAATATCAAGTATAGATAGACAGAGGCCGTTGGAATATCCATAGTAGTGGCAAATTTGCAAAGGACGAAAAATACACAGGCCGCCAGTGACTAAGCACCCGCTTTAAAAAAGTTAATGATTTTATTTTTTTAACCTCTTCACAAGAAATTTTAGTTTGGGGTGTTGACAAGTCAGCCAGACCCACCGGGCCCTCCCATCCTCAACAAAATGGCTCCGCCCCAACAGTTTACTGCTACTTCTTCCGGACGCAACTAGGAAGAATTAGAAATCAAACCCGAGATATCTGGTGATTATGGATTTGGTGTATCTTTTTCAGGAGTCCATTGCATATTGATGAGGTATTCAATGCCAGCATTGAGACTGCCTATTTATGAGCAATCAATAGAGGGCATGTCGTGGCATTCCTTACTGACCTGTTGAGCTTTCGCAAGTGATCAACAAGATCTGAGCGTGATTTGCTATGATCCTACCATAGGAAGCAAGGTCTTAATCACATGCATTGCCTCGATAATGAATCTTACAAAGGTCGAAAGGAAGAATGTATCTACAGAATAACGCGACGCCTGCAAATTGTAGACCAGTGACCACTAGCAAGACCCTACAAGCTAGCCGCGCCTCAGTGAGATCGCGATCAAACCTTGACCGGTCCAGGCTGGTTGTTATTGGTGAGACTGAGGTTGATCTGCTTTGTGCATTATGTAAGCCAGCGCTTGCATTGAGTAAGCTCGGTTCAATATGGAGGATGCTACTCCGTACATTGTATTTTAGCAATAAGTCTGAGCAAAGGTGTTCATCGCGTTTCATTCCCAGTCAGGTGAGGTGAGATTCACATGCTATTGAGACGGAATGATGGTCGCGAGATTTTGATGTCTGGAGTCGGTGTCAATTTGGAGATGTTCTAGAAGGTCAATGGGGGAATTGATATGGATCCATCACCTGCTCCGAATCATCTCCGACCCCACGATTTATACGTCGGTTATTGCTACGGAGTAAATATTCAATAATGTCAAGTCGCTCAATGACAAGAAATCAAGTGTCAACACATCCGCAGGCAAAGCTGCAGACATTTTCTCCATACTACTCCGTTGGAGAATTGCATATGATACCTCGGAGAAGATCTCTCCTTCCTGAGCTGGCCACTGTAAGGCAATGATACGGATTCGTGCATGCCAAGACTGTTGAGAAGCCAATTCCCTTTGGCCGGCAGTGGATCATCATTGATGTATATGATTGGGTTCAAAAGGCGGTGAGACGCCACCCCGGTATCTGTACCTGGTCCGGAATGCCACTAGTATTTTTCCTTTTGCCCCCCATGTCTGCCACATGGTAATCTCTCATAGAACCCATTTGGCTGAACATCGCTTACAGAAAATAAGATGTAGGTAGACTAGGGAGTATAGACTCCAGAATTGATTTAGCCAGAGATCAAGGCTCACGCTCGAGGTGGCCTGATTCGGAACCCCTATCAGACGCCGGTAATGCCTCAATGTTGATTGGTGAGAAGGTAGATAGTAGATAGTAGAGGTCTGTCATCTGTCGATGACTTAGTCTAGGTATCATTCGTGACTTGAGATCGAGACAAGTGGCGCAGTCAATCCCACCTGAGCTGCCGAACTTGCATGTTCATATGCAAACTGCAGTTCAAGAGCGAGCTGAACTCTATGCAGCTACGGAGTACTCCTTACTACCAATCATGGCAAACGCTGCCTCGGGAGAACCGAAGCAACAAAGATATGGGCCATTAAGTTCCGGCGATCTGCACAGGACTGGACTTCACAGATTGATTGGCCGAGTGCTGATGAATGCGTCCAGCTCTGGTGGCTAGGTACCACCTTGCATGAATCCATGATCATCGCATTCTCAAATCCCAGGTCGCCGCCTGAGGCGAATTTTACGAATTTTCAAAGAAAAGCAAATTCAGAAATGAAAAATGTCCAAATCCGCATTGGTATGACAGGGGTTACCCGTGCTCAAAGAGCTCACCGACCAATCATTCTTCAAAGATATGGTCCAAAATTACCATGGTAGTCAATGATCCCCAGTTGAGAATTACCCCCAATACCAACCAAACCCATGGAAGGGCTCTATCGAGTGCTTACCACCCAAATAGGTATCCCAAAATCCATCAGATCGTCAAATCAATTGGGGCCACGGGAATGGGCTGTTCTCGTCGCGTTTTCTTTTTTGCCTTCTGAAATTTCGGTCCGTTTGTTTTTCTTTGGCCTTTTCATCCCCTGTGATCTTCTTTATTGCCCCCCTCCTCTGTTCCTCCTCTGTTGCTTGTCTGCTCTCTTAACCGCCAGTCTCCCTCCTCCTTGTCTCCTTGTTGACCTCCTCTTGCTTTGTCCAAGGGAGTGCAGAGGAATTCGCGACCAGATCATTCACCCCATCCTTCTGACCTTGTCAGCCTTCCACCACAGAAGTCAGAAAGGCTTCGACTTTGTGTAACCATCGACTGAAGCAGATTCACTGGGTGAGTGGAAGCTTGAACTTGTTCCTCACATAGCCTTTTGTCAAGTCGACGAGGGAGGTACTATCGGTCCTTCCAAGGTTGTCCTTGACGACTTCCATCATTTTCACCTTCCCATTGACTTGATATTGGCCACCGATCATATGCGACTTTCTTGCATGGACTGACACGGTTGACAGTATCCATCCCTCGTACCAACCAGTCTACACCACCAGCTCGGTCCTGTCAAAATGTCCTCGACAGCTCTTCCCAAGCGCGTTGCGCTGCATCGCAACCCAACCACGGAGTCCTCCGTCCCCAGCTCCGTCTCTCACTCTCCTTTCGACAGTCCTCGTCAGTCCCCTTCGTCAACGTCGCTCTCCTCAATGGCTTCGGATGCCGAGAACACCAGCGGCAAGATGATCGACACCTATGGTAACGAGTTCAAGATCCCCGATTACACTATCAAGCAGATCCGGGACGCCATCCCTGCTCACTGCTACAAACGCTCGGCTGTCACGAGTTTGTACTATGTCTTCCGGGACATGGCCATCCTTGCGACTGTCTTCTATGTCTTCCACAACTATGTCACCCCCGAGACCGTGCCTTCCATGCCGGTGCGCGTCGTCCTGTGGGCCATTTACACCGTCATTCAGGGTCTGGTCGGAACCGGTGTTTGGGTTCTGGCACACGAGTGCGGTCACCAGGCTTTCTCCCCTTCCAAGATCTTGAACGACACAGTTGGATGGATCTGCCACTCTCTTCTGCTTGTCCCTTACTTCTCCTGGAAGATCTCCCACGGCAAGCACCACAAGGCCACCGGTAACCTCGCTCGTGATATGGTCTTCGTTCCCAAGACCAGGGAAGAATATGCCTCTCGCATCGGCCGTGCCGCTCATGAGCTCAGTGAATTGATGGAGGAGACCCCCATCCTGACCGCCACCAACCTCGTTCTCCAGCAGCTGTTCGGATGGCCCATGTACCTCTTGACCAATGTCACCGGCCACAACAACCACGAGCGCCAGCCCGAGGGACGCGGCAAGGGCAAGCGCAACGGCTACTTTGGTGGTGTGAACCACTTCAACCCTTCCAGCCCCCTGTATGAGGCCAAGGATGCCAAGCTGATCGCCCTGAGCGATCTCGGTCTCTTCCTTGTGGGAAGCCTCCTCTACTATATCGGATCGACCTATGGCTGGCTCAACCTCCTTGTCTGGTACGGCATTCCTTACCTCTGGGTAAACCACTGGCTCGGTAAGTTCCTCTCGTCCACCTTTCGTGGCATGGAACAGGTTTTTGCTGACTTGTAAATATAGTTGCCATCACTTTCCTTCAGCACACCGACCCCTCCCTCCCCACTACCGGCCTGAGGCCTGGGATTTCACCCGTGGAGCTGCTGCTACAATTGACCGTGACTTCGGCTTCGTCGGTCGCCACATCTTCCACGGCATCATCGAGACCCACGTTCTTCACCACTATGTCAGCACCATCCCCTTCTACCACGCTGATGAGGCCAGCGAGGCCATCCAGAAGGTCATGGGACCGCACTACCGCAGCGAGGCTCACACCGGCTGGACTGGTTTCTTCAAGGCCCTCTGGACCAGTGCTCGCACCTGCCAGTGGGTTGAGCCCACCGAGGGCGCCAAGGGCGAAAGCCAGCATGTTCTTTTCTACCGCAACATCAACGGCATCGGTGTCCCTCCTGCCAAAATTCCCGCCAAATAGAGTCTCTGTTCGTCAGTACATAGAACCTTATTCTTCTTTATTCCCTTCTCTCTTTTCGAGTTCCTCGCTCCGTGGTGCTCTCGCGGGATCGAATCTGCCCACGACACGGGCACTCGTCATATCATAGAGCGAATCTGAGTTGTCTAAATGAAAGGCGTATCTGGAAGGGGGCAAAAAGATTTTTTTTATTCGTCGATGTTGACTCCTGCCCTTTAATCGATCTTAATCGGGAGTCCTGTTTGGTTGCCATGTGCTCTAGATCATGTTAACCTTTTCATAGCATATATTCTACTTTCCAGCGAAGATTTGTGGATGTCACTTTTTGGCGCGTTAGAAGTTCGTCCCCTTAGACCATGGGCAAATTCAGTCAATCCAGAAAGCGATCATAAGCTTCATTCTTTGGGACAATGAATATGGGTAGAGGAGTCGTAAAGCTGGAGAAAGCAAGGAATTCAAATGCGGGGATGCAGAATAGCTTCCGCCGCCCGCCGCAACTAGCACTAGTGGAGATATACGAGACTAGGCAGCCAAGTTCTTCGTTGTAAACTATGCTACATTGATAGATCATCTAGCATATTCAGAGATATCACGGAGATGCTAAGGGATCAGTAGCTTCGGGTGAAATAATTCTTGAACATCATCTACTCTTGCCCTTCCACATTCCTCAATCCTCCCTTCGAGATGGTATATTCAACCTCATCTTGGATGTAAACGGTGGAGTTCCCGTCCTCGTCGATGGTAGTCGTCACCATCCCGGCGGCCCAAGGCGCAAAGACCAGTTTCATGGTTCTTCGGAGCGTGCGGGGGGAATTATGTCCGGTGCTGCCGGTTGGGGCGTGACCCATCGCCGTACGGGTGGGACATCTGAGGTTGTTTCCAGGACGTGGTGATCGCTTCGTTGCTCCTTACCGTCTGGCGTCGGTCTAGTTGCTTCGTGTGGCTGCGAAGCTGGAGACAACGGGTCTGTGCTCTTTGGCTCGAACGCAGGACCGAGCATGGTCGCGATCTCCTCCTTCTTTAGGGCAATCCTGCACGCTATCTGGGACGACCAGACAAACCCCAGCGCTGGCGTCTTGTGCGTCGGCTGTCGGGAGAAGTAGTATGGTGAAGGCGGCGCGGCAGCCTGCGGCGTATCGCCCCATCCGGTGAAGAATCGTTGCTGGTGCACTAGGCTTAAGAGCTCGTTGCGCACGGGGTTGCCGATTAGGTATGATCCGTCGAAGTCTTGCGGCTGCTGCTCGGACGGGTTGTCGTCCGCGAGGAACGGCGAGGAGGGGAAGGCTGGGGATGAGGACGGTGGTGCGACCGTGACGTGAGGAGACAGCTCGGCATTGCCGGACTCCGGTGGCCTGGATCGGGCAGCGGGAAGTGGTGAAGCGATGGCTGAGTCGCGGTGTAGATGTGTCGTCTGTTGCTGTTGTGTCGACACTGGCGAGGATGAGACAAAATTATTTCCGTATGCGGCGGCGCGCCGCAATGCTGTGTTACTCTCGAGAGGATCGAAGCGGTCCGAGACTTGATTTGCGACAACAATCGCGATATTCTTTGCGACGGCTAGGTTGCGCAGCATCTGGCCCAGTCTTGCCAGTTCTCCGGAACGTGTAGACAAGCCCAGGACGTTGTGAGATGTGTGTTCTGCTCTGTAATTGGAAGTTATCGAGTCGATGACCACGAGGCCGACATCGTAGCGGGTAATCGCAACGGGCAACTGGTAGTTGAGGATATGGTCCTGGGATTCCAGGTCCATCGCATTGATGGAGAGGATTCTCTCCAGTGTCGGGGCGCGGTCTTTCGGGAGGGTCGAGAGGTAAGGATGATACTCGAGGAGCTGCGACAGTCGTGATGTCGCCAACGGGGCCTCCGTTGAGATGTATATTGCGCCTTTTCCGAGACCGCGAGGCTCTGGAAGTTGCACCGCTAGAAGGAGACTGAGGAGAAATTGCGTCTTGCCGCTCCCACTACATCCTCGCACAGTCAGAATCGCAAACAAGACGTATGCCATTTGGTAAGTCACCTTTCTCCAGTCACCTCGGTCAAATAGCCGGTCGGCAGACCACCATTGAGCAGCTCATCCAACGCGGGGTCCAGAGTGCTGATCACACTCCGTCGCGACAAGTCTAGCTTGGTCGATGGACCAGGGATGAGAGGCTTTTCGACGTCATTGCTGGAGCTCGACTCGACAGCATCATCATCCTCACAAGCTTCTTCAAAACCAACATCTTTGTGCAACGCCTTGACAACTTGGGTGGTTAGCTGGCGAAGGTCTGCGGGGGAACGTGAGCGCGTTTCGCGATTTCGAGATTATCGAGCGTGATGAGGTCGACGATGGTGATTTTGCTTCGCTCGAGTGCGGGTATAATATGAGCGTATGATCGTGTTTGAAAGCCCGGTAGGACCGATAACAGATCCATAAGCGTGACCGAGTCAAGAGAGCAGAAGATCGCAACGCGTTGGGAGCGAGTGATGAGCAATTGCGGATGTTGCGCTGACAAGCCGGCGACCAATCAGATTCCACGGATTCACCTCTATAGTATACTACAACACTGAGTATACCTAGTATTTAGAATTTTATCCATCTCTGCTATTCCTCGACTCTCACAGTTTACTACGAGGTAATAAGCTGTCTTTTTCTGTTGAGCCACCTTCAAGAGCAGATGCAGGACCATCAATATTGTACGATAGATCCTCCTCCCTCCAAAATTGCTTAATGCTCGTCCAATATTTCTTCTCATCCTCCAGCATCAGTGCACAATGCGGGCTGTTCCGAAACATAACCCCATCAACTTGGTATCCCAGCTTTCGAGCCGTCTCCATGTGCGACAGTACATCGTGCCAGTCGACCGTGGTATCCGTTTGCGAGCACATGTACAGCCTTCGCACCTGGCGCCTCAACACCGCGTCGTCATTCAGTTGATGCCGCAGGTCATTGACAGAGCTCATAAGCCCCGCGTTCTGGATGCTGGTGATCGTCCCCACGGTTGTGTACAATACAGCCCTGCCGACAAGCTGGACCAACTTACCACCCTGAGGAAGAGATAGAACGGCGGCATTGTATGATCGGCGGAAACCGGTTTTCCCAGGACAGCAATCGAAGATGACGCCTCTTAGGGGGAGGTGATGCAGCGCGTTTGGGCCTGGATTTTCCTTTATGGAGAGCGCCAGCTGGATGGCCGTGTTGCATCCTCCGTGTGAGAAGACATGTAGCAGAGCACCGTTCTTCCGTCCAGTTGTATCTCCGGCTTTCCGTGAGAAAATGCGGCAGATGGCTTCACGAGCTGGTTTCAATCGCGCACGCAGCACGCTAAAGGGACGGACGGTGATATCAGGTAATGTAGTTGTAATGAGAAGAATAGATGATGCTGGAAAAAGTGCTCGATATTGCGTCATGTATTTATTGATGCGTCGAGGACTTGCTCCTCCCAGCCAGGTGCATAGGACGATGAGTGAAGGGTCAGAACTGAATTCATTGCTGTTGTAGCCAGACCCCTCGTAGAAATAGACATCCTGCCCGATCTTCTGCAGAGGCTCGAGCTCCTTGTCCCTCATCTCTGGAGCAGCTGTTGGCTCGCCGAAGACAATATATACCGGTGTGAAACTGCCGCAAGTGCTCTTTACAAAGACTGCCAGAACCTCAAAATGTCAACACCATGGCAGAGTCAGACGGCCATATATTATGGCGGTCGAGACACAATCTGTCCCATCTGGCCTTGATAATATCGCTTTGGGGTAAGCTGGCCGTTGGCGCCCCCGCAGGCAAACACCATCTCTGGAGTAAACAGCCGATATCCCCGCACTAGATACCGCTTAGAAATCCGACCTTTCTATTCTTCAGACACCAATTCTTTTGCGCTTTCAATTCCCTGTAAAAATATACCTGGATAAAGTGTCATATACTCAAAATGCCCGGTCAACTGCGCAAAATCCTAGTCCTTGGGGCAACTGGCGTCATCGGCCGATACATCATCAAAGCTATTGCAACCGCTGCTCCAACTTCTTTCGACCGAGTCGCCATCTTCACCTCTCAGAAGACAATCGATACAAAGAAAGAACAGATCCAATGGCTCAAAGACCATGGAGCCGAGATCATCGTCGGCGACCTGAACGATGAAGCGCGCGTTCGCGAAGCTTATCAAGGTACACTGCTCTGCCCTACTCCTACCACGCTGTTCAATCTGACACGTATCCCAGGATTCGACACAGTTGTAAGCTGCCTAGGACGGAACATGATCGCCGCTCAGATCAACCTCATCCGAATCGCCGAGTCCAGCTCGAACATCATCCGATTCTTCCCGTCCGAGTACGGCACCGACATCGAGTACGGGCCGCAGTCAGCACACGAGAAGCCGCACCAGCTCAAGCTGCAGGTCCGAAAATTCATCCGAGAAGAGGTGAAGAGACTCGAACACACTTACCTCGTTACGGGCCCGTACGCGGACCTATACCTGGAGAACGCAAGCAAGTGCCCCCGCGCAGGGACGTTCGATGTCGCGAACAAGAAAGCCGTTCTACTGGGCGATGGTAATGGGCCGATCAGCCTTACGGCTATGAGCGAGTATGTCGCATGCACTTATTCCTGATGTAATCCGAGCTAATGATCACCAGTGTTGGCAAACTTCTCGTAGCGGCGATCATCAACAACGAGGCCTCCCGCAACCAGGTGCTCAAAGTCAACTCCTTTACAACAACGCCAAACGAGATCCTGGCCGAGTTTGAGCGGCAGACTCAGGCCAAGTGGGAGCGGGAGTATACGTCGTTGCCGGAGCTGAAGCAGCTGGAGCAGGAGCTTTGGGAAGCGAATAATCCACTGGCGGTTGTGGCTACCTTGCGCAGGATCTGGACAGAGGGAGGGACTCTTTACGAGACGAGAGACAATGGCAAGATCCATGCGCCGGATATGGACACTTTGGAAATAGCTGTTGCGCGTGCCATTGAAGCTCAGAGTGCTTGAGGATGCAATGTTGCACACAAGTCATATAGTGTCTCGGGTTACATCTACCGTTGGCGCTGTCATACGCAAATCTTAATCTAAGAATAGTTATACCGGACATTAAGTCAGCCCAGTCGACTGACATTGTAGTAGACACTGTATTCTTATTCCTTGTCGAAATCGAAAGAGACCGGGGACTTTAGGAGTGGACATGACTTGACTCTTAGTTGGATAGGAAGCGCACAGACTCGACGGCCGTCAAATCAGAGATATCTCTCGCGAAAAGTGAGTAGGGTAAACAATCTCATAGAGTCGTAGGTTTTAAGCGAACTCGTCTAAAGTACGGGGAGTACGGAGATATGGTGGACATCTGTACAGAAGTAGACGGGATTGGTTCACTGCTCCCTGCCACATATAAAACGCCGGAATCATCTCCAAAAAGGGGATCTCGTCTATCATGCCCCCGGCCAAAAAAAGACGGTGAAAGCCGACGGAGATCTAGCTCTAACCTAGATAGATTACATACTGTCCGTGCTACCTTAGTCCTTCGGATACGGGGCCTTTGTGATGCAAACTTGACAGGTCACATTTTCCCGACTCGAAATCAAATGCTTCGTGTTACAGATCTAAACTCTAGAAGCGAGGATTCAATATTCACACGATACACAACAGCCATGAGGTATTACTCTGCATGCAAACGGCGCGCTAATAGGGGGGTCAATGTGTCATTCTGAGGGATGAATTCAATGCCAGTGATGTACGACGGGCGTTGAGGAATCGACAGCTAATATTCTTCTGCTAGCTGAGAGTAGCCAAGTCACGCAGGCGCATTGAGACACTGACGTGCTTCTTACAATGGATATGGCTTGGTCGTTTCGAAGACATGGACTAGAGTCTAGAGGTGGAATCTAGGGACTCGAGCTGTCCCAACTTCCGCGCATGCATCCGAGACCACCTTATTTCTGTGCTTGGCGACATCGTTCTGGCTTCTGAGTTCGAGCATCATGCAGCTTTAACCGTCGTACTGCTTAATCTTTGCTCATGGCATTCCGGTATCATACCTATGGATGGTAACCGAAAGCCTTCTTGACATCATGACATATATCCGGGTGAGCAAACCGGATAGAATTCAGCAAAAGTTTTTTACTCGATAAGCGGAAAGGGATGAGCTCCGTGCTGCATGAGTGGCGCTACTGCGCTTGAGAACACGGAGAGCCTATCTACCGAGTACTCCGTAAGAGCGTTCGGCGTATTGATTTCTCCGTCATGATTTATCAATAGCGCTGAGCATTCATTCCTAATCAGCAAAACTAAGGCGAGTGGTATCATGTCTATTCCGAACAGATTCCATAGCGATTTGACTCCCAGTCCACCCCATTAAGCAGCAAAAGATACTCAATAAGGAGTATATTGCTCGGAAAAGGTTCAAATAAGCGATTTGTCACATTCAGGAATGCTGGAATGCTAAATCTCATTTTCGGACTTATCTGGGATAGACCCGACAGTCTGGGCATTGGTTAGCAACATGCTTCAGAAATATGCATCCAGGATGATCGCGCTCATCATTAATGCGAGGGGGTACTCCGTACCGAGATATGGGATTTGCCTTTGCGGACTGCGGACTGCGGACTGCTAGTGCTGAGTGCCCGAGTGCCTGTTTGTGATTGACAACTGGAAATCAGCCATTTGTTCCATGTTATCTTGTGCTATGATATGAGCCTACGGAGTTTGCCGTAGCTGTAATCAGAATGGGCCGATTTCTCCTTGATTTCCAGGTTGGATGATGACTGGAGAGCCAATCATATTTAGAGTCTCGCATTATATCAAAATAAAGGGAATGGCGTGCAAGCCTTGTAGAATCATGGACTGAGTTTTGTTTGGATTCGGCCGAACTCCTGAAGTTAACCTAGTTTAGGTAAAGTGCTTGGTAATTCCTTGGTAAGCTGTCTTAAAGACTAGGTACCTGCGTCTCTGTGATTGGTTCGTCAAGATACTGGCGCAGAAGAAGAAATGTTAATAATCAGGCTAGGACACGTTCCCTGACTGGCAGAATGGTGCATTATTACTATTATTATTACTGCTGCATCAGCATACCTCTCTGGATAGGTTGACCGATACGTAATTGGAATCCCATGCAACGATCGTCGGGTCGGTTGTGATCGAGGTGGTAACAGCAAGACAGTTTGAGGCAAAAATGCAGATCTCCCGGAGCAATGTCCCAATCCAGAACAATCCGAAGACCAAAAGTTATCTTTCTTAAGGTAGTATTAGTGTCACCCACAGCGATACAAAGCGCGGATCTCAGACTATCATAGGCCCCTGCGCGCCCCCCTGGTCAGTCGTTAGTTGTGCACGAGGCTCTCCTCGGTTATTGTTCAGTTGACAAGGTCTCAGTGTCACAATGAGGTGATGTTTGGCAATTTCCATGTCTAGTAGACGTCTGAAATGAGGAGATCACCTGTACCTTAGGTCCTGATTACTATTACTGATTGGATCGTGTTTCTTTGGTTGATAAAAAGAACCAACCAGAGGAATGTCCATGGGCGGCTTGAGGCGGGCCCGTCTTTCCATTCGGTGCGGACCGCCTGAAGTGGGTTTTGTTGGAAGTTTCCGTCCGATACCCAAGAAATGATGATCATCATGACAGAAGCCGAGGAGCGACATTTTTGGACCTTGGGACTGCCACGAACTCGTCATTACCCTTACTTGATCGTATAGACAGAGGATGATGATCTTTTCTCTGCTTGACATCGACGCCTGGAATTTATTTTGTCGAGGGCTTAGTTAGTCTGCTGCTGATCACCTCGGTCAAGCAACATGATTCATGTAAGACCGAATACCACAAAGCCTGCATCAACCAAAACAGACGGGGTCGGAGTCGGACATTAACATCAAATCACCTCAACGCTAACAAAGGTGTGCTGCGTAACCCAATTGGAAGTGTTTCCTTCGGCCGAATCTGACATGGATATCCCTGCTAGTGCTGACTCCATTTGTCCCGTGCATTCATCCGAAGAGGCGAGGCGATTTGGCCTGTTAGGTTGCAGATCCAGTCTCACTGCGGTTTCTCAAAACCCCGCCGATCCTGATGATTAGTACTATGGCTAGTTCATTTGCCGGCTGCATTGTTATTCTCTTTCTCGCTTCGATAAATCGACCTAAACTGATGATGATTTGCAGGAATAGGATTTGGGATTTGGAATAACAAGACACGTAGCTGAATCCATGGACGAACTCCATTGGAAAAGTGCTGAACAGATAGTGTGCTCGGATAGATAGTTAGGTATTAATGGGGTAACAAATCCCAGATTTACTCCGTGGTAGCGACCGATCCATTTTTCTTACAGATATACCTGTATTATTGGAGAAGAATTCAGCCAACCCCGATAGTGATGAAGCCTGAGCACCATGGATTTGTCGGCTGAAATCTGCAAGACGGCGACGACCCTAAGACGCATAGACCACTTAGTTGTCCTTTCACTTCTTCGTCGTCCCGTTCTTCAGGTTTTGGGAAGAAACAAAGAGTCCGATCCGCTGGACTGGGTTATGTCAGAGCCCAATGGGAAACTAATCCTTGATTCTCGTCTGCAGTAACAAACACCGAAGACAAGTCACGTGGTAATATGACGATGAAAAATGAAAAATCCTTATCTACCTTAGTTGTTCATGCAGTCATGATAAATCAGTCACTTGTCGTCGCTCTCAGACTCCCCTCTGGTATAGCGCATTTTAAATTATCTATGCTCCTTTAATGGAATGTGCTATCTCCTTGGATCGGCCTCGACTTACCAGTTGCCAGTGGCTGCTCATTGGAGTTAACCGCCGCCTTAAACCTAAAGCATGGGTGGCCTGTCCAGGCTCCAATGATCGGTCATGGCTGCCCCTCTCTTCTCCACCATCCCCTTCCACCTTTCCCAGTCTTCCAGACCTCTACCCAGGATCCACTGCTCCGGCACAGTATTCTGCATCGGTGCTGCATAGGTGACAATACCCATACGCAGTACCTCGACCGTACGTACTGTATTCCGCACGCTCAAGTTAATAAGGTGTTATACACTGAACCTTCTAATGGAAGATGAGAATATCGACTTGATGATAATCCTTGGCTTGTCCTCGATGTCTCATACTGGTTATCTTCGTCATGACATTCAACAGCCACTTCATTGTTTCATGGTAATAAAGAAGAGTGGGCTGCTAACAAAGGCAACTAGGACGGAAGGATTACCCTAGGGTCGGTAGCTCTGGTTAAAGTCACTGATCATTACCTCCACATTTAACCACAACCGGTTAGTATGGACGACACAGTTCCTAGTAAAGTGTGTAGTTAGCACCAAAGTACCTCTCTAGTCCACGCCTAAAGTCGACTAACGGCACGGCTGACTTTTGTAACTCGCTCTCCCCAGTCCCATGCCCCTCCCGCTCCTTTGATATCTTCTCCATCTTCAATCTATTATCCAACTCTATCATCCTCCTCACCTTCATCGCCCAGGGCTGCCGCATCTGTTGCTCACTCAATACGCAACAGATCCGGCCCTTTCTGTTTTCTCTGTTCTATGTTTCTCTATTTTTCTTTAACTCTCCTTCCCTCGAATTTTTCTCCAGACTCTATACGTCAGCCGACTGACTAGACCGTCAAACTGTCTGTCAAAACAAAACCATCAAGTGCAACAACTCGGGAAGGAGGGAGCTTGCTTGGTGCAAATTTCGGGTCGTTGATATTATAAGACTTCGTCAATTGTTCGACACAGCGCCCACCCATCTAATTATATATGTGAAAACAAGTCAGTGCCGAAGGCGAAATGATGCCATCACTATGCCTATCATCTACCTCCGTGATTCTTTGATCTCGTATATACTGATCTCGTCAAGTTATTCTATTTTCTTCGAATTCATTCAAGAGCCAAAATGGCGACTAGACCTCCCTAATGCCTCCCGCGAATGAGACGGAGAGCTCCGTCAGCAGAATCACTCGCGAGGGCAAGAAGATTACATACAAGCTTAGTGTGATGCAGCAGCCGGAGCGTGCAAGAGCCTGTGGTGCTGGTGCCAAGTGTATGATCTGCTGCTGTTCACAATTGCTGTACACTGGACGTGGAGCTAATCAATGGTGACATCTCACAGCCTCTGCCGACCGTCGACCGGTTGATCCTCCGCCTGTTGTTGAATTGCGAATCTTCGAGTCTGACCCCAACGATGATCTGCACAAGACCGACATAACCTTCGCTTACAACGCCAACTTCTTTCTGTTCGCTACCTTGGATACGGCTCGTCCTATGGCGCAAGGATGACTCGCTGGACCTCCTACATGCCCGGTCCTGACAGGAGTTCCCGTAGCAGGTGTAGCGTACCTCGACCGTCCGCAGCAAGCCGGTTATTTCATCTTTCCTGACCTGTCCGTTCGTCACGAGGGTAGATATCGGTTGAGCTTCCACTTGTACGAAGAGATCAAGGACGTCAAGGATGCGGACAAGGACATGCCAATGCCTGACGTCAACTCGAGCATCAACTTGACCAAACCATCAGCACCCAAGTCGCATCTGAACTTCCGTCTCGAAGTCAAGTCGGTCCCGTTCACCGTCTACAGTGCCAAGAAGTTCCCTGGACTGGCCACAAGCACATCGCTCAGCCGCATCATTGCAGAGCAAGGCTGCCGAGTTCGTATTCGACGGGACGTGCGCATGAGACGCCGCGGTGAGAAGCGCACCGACGATTACGATTTTGATGATGAGAGGGTCTTTGCTACTCGGTCGGACAGATACACTACCCCTGACATGTACGCGGCGAATTCGGCCGAGCGTGCTCGTTCCACTAGCATCAGTACCACCGCTGATGCCTCCTTCCCCTATGGCTCTGATGCGCAGAGACGGCCGTCTGCGAGCGATTACGGATTCCAAGGCGCGCAGCCATACCAGCGATCCATTCCAGCAGCCCCTGCAGCTCCCGCTCCAGCTCAGGTTCACAACCCCGCAACTTCGGCACAGACATCTTCATATCAGTCTCACCTTTCGTTCGGAGCGACGCAAAGCCAGTATCCGGCTCCCCAACTACCGCCAACACCCCAGTCGGCAACTCCCGCAAACACGTATTCTCCACACCCTTCCTATTCTCACTCAAGAAACCCTTCCAATGGCACCGAGTACGACGCCACTCCCTCTGGCTATCCATACCCCAGCCACGCCTGCCGGCTGAGCGTCCAAGCTATTCCAAGGCAGCCCTACCTCCTCTCCGCCTGGAGCCGCCAAAGGCACCGAACATGCAGACAAGTACTGATTCCCGCTCCTCCGATGCGAATGCATACCCCACCCTGACGCAACCTCCGGTACCTCGTGCTCCGACTCCTGCAAACCATGTAACTTCGCTCCCGCCTCTGAAAGTTCTCTCTGGTGAATATTCCCACCCGTCTCAGCCCAACGCGCAGAGCCCGCATCACGACCTTGGTTCTGGAAAGCGTCTATTGTGGGAAACGAATCATTCCCTATCCAAGCGATCGCACGAGGAAACCTTCGGCAATGATGAGCGTCCTCTGCACAATGGCATGCGGCCTGATATGGATCAATACCCTAACATGGGTCGGAAGCAGCCCGATTATGGCCGGCTCCCATTCTACACCGATTCGCGTGATGAGATGGCATACAAACGAGCGAATGGAAGAATGGTCATGAAGATTTCGCCTGCGCTACCATAAACGCGTTCCGGAACCTGTCCAGTTTATGTGACGACTTTTGAGCCAACGTGTTGGTCAATTGAAGGATTATGTTCGTTTCGGAAGATTCAACGTCTCTCTGTTGTACTGTTGTGTATTCGGCTTGGACGCCGGGATTTTTTCCTTTCTCTGATTTTATCCGATCATACCGGTTGCCGCCATTAGAGTTTCTTTTGTACATTCTTACTTGGCAGCTTGTCTGAGCGTGTGACTCTATACCTGCCGACAGTCAAAGCTGGATACTTCTATCGAACATGAGCCATGCTCTCGTACTGCTCGTTTCTTGGTTCTTTTTAGCAACTGGTGGATATTTTGGCGGGGTTTATTTTTGGCTACTTCATTCCTCCATTTCCTGTATTTGCTTCAAAAATCTGCAGGCCGCGTCAGAGCACCGTGTCCTTTTCAGAGAGTCATAGATGTTTGTCCAATACGATCAATCGTAAGCTTAGACATGAGATTCCTGTTCCAGTTGACATATAAGCTTGAGGCGTTGAGACGATCTGTTTCTCGACATAGTTATCATCAATTTGTTCAACCTTTCAGTATGACGAGCGAGTGCTCGAACATTCCCAACCTACCTGCTACCATTTCACTATTCCCATCTTACATTTACAATCAGAGACTGGAAGTTCAATTGGATCTCTCTGCCTGACTGTGGAAAGAAGAATGTCAACTGAAATCTATCGACCCATTGGCCTGTTCTGCTGCATAATTGTGACCGGACACAGCCAAGGGCACATGTCAGACCAAGACATTCATTTCCAACGGTCTCGTCTAAGGGGAATTCCCTCCGGACGCGAGGCATTCGAGTCATCATCTTTTGTGTTCATTTATTTCAGTCTCCCGGTACTCATGAATAGAAATAGTCTTTATCTCTGAAGACGCTATTTAATCGAAACCCATCGCGCGCGCTTGGCGCATAGTTGATCAGACCCCGGATGTAAACAAGACCATCAACAATAACAACACATCACAACATAACAACAACACCCCGCCTTCTAGCCCCGGAGATCGGTGGTCTTCACCTTCGACACTCTCCTACGCCAGGTGTATCATTATGATCGTTCTATATGTTTGCAGTCTCTAACATATCATTGACCACGAGTACTGAGGGCGGTCAATCGGCATGACCGCGAGGGAGATTGATGCGGAGGTTTGTCTTATGAACCCTTCCTTCGTGCTACATATTGCCTGTTACCCGCGCCCTTGCGCGTCAATATCCCACGTTATGATTCATTAATCACAACAACTTTACTCATCGATTCCGTTGCTAGATGTCCTACGTCCAGGTGCACCTGGATAGCGATCCCCACCAAGCGGACCGCCAGCTGCAACAAGCCGTCCACTCGACTTACAGACGCTCCAACGGCTACCCCTCCCATTCTCGCAAGCACTCGCGCAGCTCTGCTGCAGACTCGGACTGGCCGTCGGACGAATCCGGCCGCTTCGACGACGCGGAGGAATATGATCCAGACGAGCAACCTCTCAACTCGCCATCTGCGCACTCATCCAAGCGGCGCCGTTCAAACGATTGGCCGCTCCAACCCGGCGAAGAGAATCCTCCGTCAAAGGACAATGGAAATCACCGCTGGCCGTTCAAGAATTCGAGTTACGGCTCGCCTCGTCGAAATGGACGTCAGGGAGGCGGTGGGGATAAATCGAGCCGGGGCCGACCGTCTCGCTTCATCGAGGCGCACATGAATGACAGCGTGAGCGAAAAGCCGCCTAGTATCTTCATACGCGGGGACGCGGGCGCGTCCGGGCAGAATGATAACGGTGCAGGTCAGAGGTCGTCTGGTATCTTTCGGTTTGGGAGGGCGATTGCATCGGCGTTCAATCCGTTTGGGGTGTGGGGGAATGTGTCTGATATCTGGCGCGGCTCGCAGTCCGAGAACAGGCCGGAAGGCGATGCCAGGGCGCAGGCGGAGAAGGCCTATGCGGAGCTGAAGAAGGCAGGCTACAAGGGGACTGTCAAGGGAAGCTATATGCAGGGCGTTCAGACGAGTGGTCCTATTGCGGAGCAACATTCTCGTAGAGCGAGTCAGGCGCAGTGGGACGGCAGCAAGACTTTGGGGCGTCACTCGAGACAGAATTCCACGGAAGGATACGGATCTGGAAGCTCGATTCGGAGTTCGTTGCAGGAACTACGCAAGGCCAAGTCGTCGCTAGGGATTCCTTATATCAAGCGAGGATCTGAGGACTTGGAGCGTCCCGAAGTGCGCAAATCGCGATCCCGCAAGGAGCTCCAGAAGCAAACCAAGTTGTTGAAGCGGGTCAGTGATCTCGAGGGGAAGCTTGAACGCGCGAGGCGCGAGTTGCGCGAATTGACGGGCGAGGAGGAGGAGGAGGAGGAGCCGGTAAGGACACTCTGCCAGGAGAGACCCTATCATCGACCGTTCGTGCCCGGAGCCCTCCCAACGCTACCTTCGGAGCGATTCTACGAAAATGATGCCACAACAGTGCCTGATTCGCAAGCAGTCGAGCTAGCGGCTTTGTCTGAGACGTCTGGGAATGTCCAACGTGTGGCTGAGAGCCAGGGAAACGGATTGGCGACGGTGGAAAGCCCATTCCTCAAGAGAAAGTCGCCGGATCCAAAGTCAGTCCGTGACAAGGTCCATCAGATGACTAAAGATTCTCCTAACAAGGAGTCTCAGTATGAAGAACCCGCCCGTTTCCATGAAACCAACACACCGCGAAAGGCGACCAAAATGGGAAAGAGTGACAGTCCTGGATCTGTCGAGCGAAAGCGGACGCAGGATAAATCCCAGCCAGAAGATCACGAATATCGAGGAAGAAACCAACATCAGCCCCGGCGACGCTCAAACACACGCTCGCCCTCCACCCATAGACGAAGATCAACCTCGCGGAGTCGACCGACGCCCTGTCTCCGAATGAAGCAACGACGCTCAGATCTGCGCTCCGCCAGCTCCAGTGCCAGTGAGAACCATCTGAATGAGGTCGAGAAGCAACCGAACGGCGAGAACGAGCCTCAACAGGAGCCGTACCTGGACTATCCGATCATAGATCTGAGGGAACTGGACGACATGACCGGCGCTCCCACTCCAACGTCCACCCCCAGCCGCGGTTATTTGCACGAGCGTATCCCGCCTGTGCCTCCACTCCCGAAGAACCTAGCTGCCACCGCTGCAAAGGTGGATAGACGGCTAGCCAAAGAGCTCTGGAAGATGAAGAACGCACAGATGCAGAACTCGGGCCAGACGCAACCTAAGGAAGAGGACTTTCGATGGCCCGAGGATATTTTCTGATGCCTCACTGCAACTGATAAGATATTGATGTAACGAATCATGACGATATGACTACGACAGATGACAGCAACTTGGCTATCCAGCTTGGCCTGGACTGAGTGTTTACAATAAAATCAAAAAAGAGAAAAAAAGTTGCAAAATGAGAAATCCTGGTTGACTTGCTCCGAGATCCCAGGTATTGGAGGGGATCCAAATGGTACACCACGACAGGCTGCCTTGAGTTCCGCTGGTGCAGGACAAGGAGTCGGTCAATGTCTTTCCTTTGTGATGTAACTGATGTTTTGAATACGGATTCTTTCATATGAATATTCCTTGAGTAGATATGTAAGCTATCAGCATCCTTGACCTGAAGAGCACAGCCTTAGTTTATTTGACACATGGCAGCATGACCAGAAGAATGGACTGCATTCTATTCCATCGCTCTATGGAATATATACTCTCTTGCCTCCTATATACAGCTATAGACACCCACTCGCCGGATAATTACAGCTACTATTAACCCCACCCCCAGTAATCCGCACATTCTCAAACGTCAAACCTCGACACGACCCCTCCCCACAGAGAATATAATATCGCTAGCATTTGCGCCAGCCGAGCCGACGACGTTAACGAAGCAAAAAAACTAGATAAACAAAAAACATACAACAGCCGGGATTCGCTGGTGGTCACCCACCCAACTACTAACCGGCCGGCGTGTGGCTTAAGTACGGCTGAGCGGACGGGAAGCCCTGTTTTCCACACCCTATGGTCGTATGTGCTAAGATAGAGATAACGTTTGAAAGATATAGTGTGTAAAATAAGAGCTTAAGCGTATACAAAATTCTACTGATGATCAACAATGTCACAAGTGCAAATCGTCATCTGTTTGTATGCCTGACGCTTCTTAGGGTTCTGTAAGGCAGCTGACTCTCGGTCTCTACAAAAGTCTAATTTGATGCCTCAGGCTCTATAACTGGTGGCAACTGGCAAGCACGTCATTGTTTGCTAGATACACTCATGACACTCAGACAGAGATATATTCAACAGAACTGAGGAACCTCCACTTCATCTGGGCTGTACCCATGATGAGTGAAAACATAAGCCAGCTGCTCACCGCTCCATCCAAGCCAATCATCCTGACAGAACGCAACGACTGGCCAGCTTGGTACAAGGAAATCCGACTGGCGTCCATGTGCAAGAACGTCTGGCCATACATCGACCCTGACACTAAAGACCCCCAGCTGTGCCCGATGAGCCCGCCCTCCCAGCTTACGGAGACTTTCAAATAGGTGCTCTGCGGTATTCGGATCTAGACGAAAAGAACCGGGTTGAGTACGACCATGCCGTGAGGATGTATCTGTGGATGAGAGACGATGCGCGACGGATTCGGAGCGACGTTGCCTATATCGCTCTTGTGATTGCGACCTCGGCCTCGAAGTATGCCCGTGGCTTCATTGTGGACGAGGATGATCCGAGGGAGATGTTGAGGTTGTTGAAGGGGCCATTTGAACCTAACTTTTAGTTTTCCTGCGTCTCTGTTTGGATATGAGGTTATAGTTGCGACGTAATCATAAGATAAGAGAATGTAAACCCTTGGAGAGCTATCTTCTAGTATCATTACAGACTGACAATCTGCGGGGATAGTAAAAGGTCTACATACAACTACTTAGCGGACCTGGACACAATCTCCTGCAGCGCCTCCTTGCTAAGCGTTTTCACTCCCAGCAGATCATTACTGAGCCTCTCAGCAGGGAAAAGACTGCCGCACCCTTCTCCGAAAATAGCTCGCCTGAGGAAATTGAACACAAACACCCCGGGGTTAGGGTTCGGTTTGGAGAGCTCGGCATAACCCTCTTTCTCCAGCTCTGCCGTGCTGATGGACTTTGTGGGCAGTTGCTTGCCCGTGAGCTTCAGCAGCTCGCTCTGAGAGACATCAATTTCACGGATGTACACCGTGCGGTTTCTCGTGGCTTCGAGGTTGTTGATTATGCCAACAATACCGTTGGCTACTCCCGCGAGCGTTGTCGCGCTGAACTTTCGTTCTCCCCCATCATATAGCTCTACTTCTGGGCCCCGCCAGTTCAGCAGAAACTCGACGGCCAGACCCCAGTCGAGGAAGGGGCCGTTGATTAGGAGGGTGTAGGAGAACGAGCCTGCAGACTCGGCTGCTTTTTCCTGAAGATATTTCTGGATGGCGACCTTGTCCTGGTAGACTGGGAGCTTGGCTGCTGCGGCGTTGGTTGTGTCGGAGCCGAACTCTGAGGGAATGAAGCGCTGGACCTGGGCAGTGATGGCTGCGTCTATCAATCTGAGATGGATGTCTCGCGGGATAGCTCCGAGGGTGTTGACGACTACATCTTGGCCTTTCAGGGCTGCTGTCAAGGAGTCCAAGGAGGTGTAGTCGACCGGTACCACGCGAGCTTGGCCGAAGTTGTTGTTGCTTCGGTCACTTTCAGCCCTGGTCAAGACAGTCACCTCGAAGCCGGCGCTGAGCAGGGCGTTGAGTACAGGTGGGCCAAGGTTGCCAGTGGCCTGCAGAGGTATGTTAGCAACGCTTGATAATAAAATCTGTTGGTTGATGTGCTTACTCCTGCAATGGCTACTTTCGGCGACATTTGGCAAATGATACTTGTTAGTTGGTGAAGAATATAAGAGATAGATGAGTTGAGGATCTGTTAGACAAGGCTGTTCCTCCGTATGGACAGCATGATAGCTTTATATTTTTTCATGTGTAGCATCATGTCAGCTCATCGTTCTCGTGAATGATGCCATTCAACATCCCTATCCCTATCCCTGGATTTGTCAACCCATGGCCGTTAATTGTCATTTCCAGCATAGTGAAACCGCAGGATATCTCGGATCCCGGGTGAGACATCAGATTCCAATGTCTCCAGAAGGGATGTGACAGGCTCTGATTGCTAATTAATGGCCAAGATGACGTGTACAGCCCATATCATCAGACATCAGTATGGTTATGTTGACGGGCTTAATTCCGCTCAGAATTACTAAGGTGTAGGTTGATGAGAAATGGGAAATGCGATGCTTTGTAATGGCTTCGGTTGGATGATTTTCCGGTAAATCAGGCTCCCCGCTTTCTGGCCAATCATCTTCCTTGTTTGTCCTCCAGCAGATTTTCCTAACCTCGTGTGCATTGTTCCATAGCATACATGCAACGATCACCTGTCCGCAGCGCGCACAAATACTCTCACTAATCCTGCATGTTCTTGGCTAGAATGGGAGCCACTGTTCGGGAAGTGTCATCGTTATGTCCGTTAGCCCGTCAGCCCATTTGCGACTCCGAGATAACTCAATCATCAGACCCCTGAGATCAAAACGGGGTTGCAAAACCTGCAAGTTGGTGCCTCCTTTCTTTTCACAGAAAGTGTAAATATTAAACCGCGTTTCAGAGTTCGAAGGGTCAAATGTGGAGAAGAAAAGCCTCGTTGTCTCCGATGCGCGAGCACTGGTCGCAAATGCGAGTATGAAAGTACAATATCCTCCACATTTTTCTCCTCAGCTTCTGCAATATCCATCCTTGACAACTCCATTTCATTATCCTCAAACACAGTATGGCGAGAGCGTCGCGCTTTTGCCTACTATTTTCAGTACGCCGCAGCGTCCATTGGCGGCGGACTGGATGTTGATTTCTGGCGCACGATTGTCCCGCAGGTTTGCCGGAGTGAACCTGCTGTGTGGGATGCCATGATCGCTATAAGCTCATTATTTGAGAGCCCTGATCCAGGCCAGAATCTCGTCTCTCTAGGCCGTGATCGTTCTCGCCGTCTCAGTCAAAAGCAACGAGATGCCTTAGAGTGGTATTCGCGCTCAGTGGCTGCGGTTCGCCGGGGAATTGAACGTGGGACTGTAGACACCTTTGTCGGACTAATTACCTGCATCTTATTTATCTGCATTGAGGCCCTCTTAGGAGAGATGGAGGAGGCTTTACGTCTCTATGGTCAAGGTGTGCAGCTCATTCTCGCTTGCAGGGCCATGACAGCAACCAAAACCTCCATATTAAAGGATACGATTATCCCGACTTTTGTGCGAGTAGGAGCCGTCACTCTCAGTGCTGGCGTTCTAGTGAGCAATCTATTACGAGTGACTGAACTTGCATCCACACACGATTTTGTCTCCCTCAAGTCTGCTCGGGAGGCCATCGTTAACCTCGCTATAGAGATCCCGCTGTTTGAATCAGCTTGCGAAGAGTATCTAATAAAGTCGCATGCCTGCTGTATATCCCAAGAAATGATGGATCAGCGAAGAACCCTGTCAGCTAGGCTACGGAGCTGGCACTCTGCATTTACTAACCTGATGGAATCTTGCCCCACAAAAGACCCGTCGCAAGTCAGTACCGGCGCGCTGCTCCGGTCTTACCATGAAATGTTATTCGTCATGCTCGGGGTCTGCATATCGCCATCGCGGATCACCACTGATGACTATCGACCAAATTTCCAAACGATAGTTGACCAATCTAGCATCGCGTTAAGCGGTTCAGCGCGGCATGATGGCACCCAACCACCATTTACCTTTGAACTCAGCGTTGGTCTTCCGCTTTGGTTCACATGTGTCAGGTGTCGCGAACCTACAATTCGACGGACAGCACTTGCTCTGCTCCGTCAATCGCACCAGGTGGAGGGGCTTTATAAGCGCGACATTGGTGCCACGATGGGCGAACGAATCATGATGCTAGAAGAAACGTATGGGACGGCAATGAACGCAGTCCAAAGTCTCGTCAGCATGGACTTCAAACCTGGCGCAAGCCCATACCCTACACTTGCCGACGAGAAAACCGGGACACCAGCAGTGCTCGTCCCTGGCGAAGCACGCATTAAACCCCTCGGTGTCTTCCGGCCACGAGACGGTTATCCTCCTGGAACGACGTTGGAAGACATGGCGAAGTTGAGCCGAAACCGTAACCAAACCTTTCTGCACTTTTCGCGGAACGAGCGCGATCCGTCTAACAACACGTGGCGGACAATCTATGGATATGCTCCTATTGATTTTAAAACTGCCTAAAATAGTTGGATGTGAACTGAAGAGATAGAAGAAGTAATCATGAACTAGCATATCACATTAATTCTTGGCCCCACGCCTCCTATTCCGCAGCATAATTACTTGAGATAGTCTGGGTTATCTATGGGATGTCACTCGGTGTAAATCCAAACTCAAGCCAGCGCGAACAACACCGAGTGAAATCTTCCATCACAGCACACTCCAAATAATCACAGACTCCAGTGCGTCAATACAAAGTTCTAGAGCCTTACATTGGCTTAGTACGAACTTTGGGATTAACTTATTTTCGAAATTGATTTCAATGTCATCATCGATCCCTGAGATGACGACGACCAATCTACTTAGGGTTCACCAGGAACCATCCGAATTCCCCCTGCCACTTTCGAAACGGGCTAGGCCCCTAGATCAAAGCTTGGGCTGTGCATCCTGCGCCAGCCTGGTAGGTTCTGGACTTCTGGTGGTGCGCCTGAGGAACTACAACTTTACGGAAAATTGTTCCAGACACAGCCTCCACCAGTTCCTCCAGTCGGTCCACGGTAACTGTAGGCCAGTGGAACCAGCTCGATCAATCATCAGACCACGTGGTGTTGACATGATAAGCTAAGGGTCCAGACCTGACTATATACCTTGATGGACAATGGTAGATATGAGTAGTTAACAATTCTCATACCTCCAGCTATTAGCCTATTGTGCGGTTGCACCTAACGAACCTAACGAACCTAACCAACCCAACCCCAGAAGCTAACTGCAAACGGCACTATATTTCGCCAAGTATCAATAAACCGTTCCAACAGCACGACTCAATGAACACGTTGATATACACTGTAAGTCTGTAAGTGTCTCAGTTTGAGAGATCAGCTTCCCTTGGCAATGAGGCTATGGCAGATGGAATAACATAGATAGTCAGCATCTATAAGCGTTATAGACAATAGACAGAGAGGCGCAGAAGGCACGAGGATAACCTTACTGCTATTACCAAACTTCTTCAGCAACGGTCTTGGATTTCTAATCATTAGAAATTAATCTAGATCTGAGGTTGTAGAGGGGTATACCGGGGTGCAGTATATATGTATATATATATCCCCTACCCCGCAGTAGTCAAGTCGATCAAGTCATAGCAATCAAGCAACTGCAAAGTACAACCCATCACAATCCACATTCACCTGTGTATATACATCATACTTCTACGAACCATCACCAAATCACAACACAATGGCACAGACAATCAAGAACGTCGCTCTCGCAGGGGTTCGTTTCGTCATTCATGCCTCATCTCACTAATGTTCCCACTGACAGACATAGGCAACCGGCAACACAGGCTCCTACATCCTAACCGCCCTCCTCGACACGGGTAAATTCACCGTCACCGTCCTCACCCGCAAAACAAACCCCAACCTGCCCACCAGCGTAACCGCCCAAGTCGTCGATTTCGACTCTTTCGACTCCATCACCGCCGCCCTAAAAGGCCAAGACGCCTTCATCGACGCCACCTCCACGCCCGACCCCAGCGTAGCCATCCGCCTCATCGACGCATCCGTCGCCGCAGGCGTCCACCGCTTCATCCCCGCCGAGTTCAGCATCGACCCCACCGCCACCACCTGCCGCGCCCTGCCCGTCTTTGCCGGCAAGGCCAAAGTCTACGACTACCTCCGCCAGGTCGCCGCCGACGGCCGGATAACCTACACCAGCATCTCGACCGGGGCCTTCCTAGACTGGAATCTGCGGACGGGGTTCTCGAACATCGACGTCGGCAAGAAGCGCATCGACCTGCTGAATGACGGGTCGCGGGTCAACCCCTGGACGCTTTTGTCCTCGGTAGGCAAAGCTGCGGCGAATGCTCTGCTGCGCGCGGAGGAAACCAAGAACAGGACCTGCTATGTGTGCAGTATCATGAAGAGTCAGAAGGAGGTGGGCGAGCTGGCGCAGGAGGCTCTGGGCAAGGAAGGCTGGAGCGTGCAGAGCCAGGATCCGGCGAAGGCGCTGGAGGATGCGATGGCGCAGTTCAAGGTCGGGAATGTCACGGTTGAGGTTATTGGGGCTATGATTCGGTGGACGCTTACGCAGCCGGAGAGCGCGGCTGGCTGGGCCAAGAATGATAATGAGTTGCTGGGGTCCCGACTATGACGGATGAGGAGGTCAAGCAATTGATTAAGCAGATTGCGGAGGAGATGAAGGCATAACCTTCTTCTTCTTCTGTTCTTTCTTTGACTATCTAATGCACTTGTCTATCATCTCTGTTGATTAAGATATGAAATAGAAGTCATTTTACCAGTACTGTGGCCCCGAAGTGTCTGTATTCTGTCTTTATCTGTAGGTATATAAAGACAACATCCTGAAGAGCACAGAATAGTAGTAGTCAAGCATAGCAATAGACCAACGGAAACGATTCCGTTGTGGATGGGAGTTTATGTGAATCGTCTATTCAGCAGCATAAGCCCCGTTGCAGTAGGGTGTACTATGAGGCATGTGAGAGGTTTACGACTACTGTCTTCCAATAAGTCAAATAGTCAGGGCTAAGCTCTCATATTCTGCATAGGCACTTTCCCGGCGCGCTAACGGGGAATTGAAATAAAATACCAGCCCGGACGAGTACTCGCCAGTCTAGGGTTTCATATCCATAATCCGTAGCGGTATCATAGTCTAACAGGAGACTGTTTGGATTGGAATTGTGGGAGGGATGGCACAGCTATAGGAGGATACAGAACCGGAGAGGCGGTTTAATACCGACGCTTACTGGGGGAAGTTCGAATCCTCAGCCAGGGATGATTATGTGGAAATCAATGCACCCCTGACCAACGCATGACCTTTTCAGAAGGGAGCTCCATCGCTGCCTGAAGAAGCTCCCTGGACAGCCTGTATTGCCTTGTCGCCACATTGGATCTCGACTCGTTTCGTTCCGTGTAGATCTGTATTGCCAGACGTGCCATCTCGTTGCCCACATCCATTCCATGCTGTCGTAGGTAAGTGGCAACAGGCAAGTACGGTGGCGCCGTACTCGCCGTCCCCGTACTTGCCTTCGACGTCCAGCATTTTCTGGAATGCGCCTACACGACCCGGCAGGTTGTCTTCGAGCGCGATCGATGCTTTCCGAAGGCACTTCGACAGCCGGCCCGCATAATCCTCAGAGTGACTCTTTAGAACTGCACGCGGTTGCGTAAGTGTCAAAGTGTAGGGTCGCTCAGCAGTCTGCACTAGACTTATAATCTTCAAGACCGGAAGTCACGAAGGGAGAGGAGGAAGGCCTATATAAGGATAGTCAGGTATTGAAAAGCATGGATAACTCTGATATACATACTCGTCGGAGCTATTAAAATAGCCCATTTTGGATCGCAGGTAGGTCTGTACAATACTCAGAATAAAAGTCGTACTTTCAAAGCAAGAGGCTTGAGCAAAAAAAGCCCCTTCTAAATTGCATGGAGGTTCATATAACACTCGGTATTAAGTTGTTCTTCATCTAAAGTTAGAAGCTTGATCAACGAAAGTGCAGTGACTGAGAAGAAAGAGACGTGGAAGAAACACAGAATTCACTGCCTGGCTCAACCATATAAACACATCACTCTGGTTGCTGTACATCACAGGAGAGAGCTGTCGTGGAGGTGTTGGTTGCTTGTAACCAATATCTCAAGTGGGAAAGAATGACTGAGTGCTGGCAGCATATCATCTTAGTACCTAGATATGAGGCTTTTTGAAGACCTCTGAGCATACACTGTGCTGGTATCTATGTCGTCCATGCCAGCGGAATATGTCAAATTTGATAGCATCTTTCTGCATGCCTGCTTTCACCCATCGCTCCAGTTGATGCCGCAGTTCACGGGCGGTCCGCCCCCCCCCCCCCCCTCCCCGGGGAATCTCGTCGTGTAGCCTCTTGCTGGTGCGAAGAATAGTAAGCGAAGTATTTGGTCTCGGACACGGCCGTTCTCTTCCAGAAGAACGTTTGGTGTCTGCATAATGGAGAAGCCAGTCCCATATACGGAGCCGAAGCTCAGGCGGTAGCTTTGCAAAAAACCTCGAGTTCAGTGCGTTGGGACGACATAATGTGTAGTAGAATGGACTGATGGATGAAAATGGGTAATGTTGCCAACTTGCGACAGAGATTTATGATTTAACTTATAGTGCTTTAGATGACCCACCCATTAACTATAGGGAGGAATGATATAATGACATCCAAATCGCATCAGCAACGTTTCTTGAAGCTTTCATCTTAGGCGTGTTATCTTGTCCAACCACGGAAAGAGACGCTGTACTCTTCATCTCTATTTATAGACAATACAGACTTAAGCCCTGCCCCTGATCACAACGTAGTCTTCGAATCTCCCAGTTGAGGTGCTCTTTGACCAATACATGATGCACTAAAAAGAAATAGGCACATTAGTCCAAGCCTGTGCAGTGACTGGCGCCTGAACTTGACCCTCCACCTCTGTCAGTACACCACATCTTGGTGCATGTGTGGCCTCAGAGCCTCTGCTCGAAGCTGGGACGCTAGCAATGTCAGTTACTTGAACTGAATGCATTTGCTTTCCGTCAACGGATTCAATCAATAGATCTCCCAAGAACCTTTCCCGTTTTCAACATTCGTCTGTCTCGCAAGGCAAACCACAATCCAGGAAGTGGGGAACCGAAGATATTAAGGCAATTTATCACTTTGATACCCTAAGAGAGTCCTGCATGGACTGAAATGTGTAGTAATATTGTTGATTATTTCGACTCAGGACCGCTTCAGCTTTGTAATTCATTATCGAAGACGGCAGCCAGCATCTCAACTATGTATAGTCCGCTACAGAGCTGTTTGGAATCTCTATTATACAATACCAACTGCTACAGGCTGTTCTTGATATGACTATTGTACAATATCTATTGACTTATCCAGGCCATGGTATAGAGGCGTGCATTGATTAATATCCAGCCGGGATAAAGATCATTCTGGATATAATTCTAGGACGGGGGTAGGGTTACCCATCGAGTCCAGCAACACTTCTAATCCATAATGTAATGGCAATGGGGAAACAATGACAACTGCCTGGCAGTATTTCTTTCAGAGCAAGTCATATCTAGGCTTCCTAAAGACAGACCCTATTGTGCATAAGACTCCTGATCCACCATGGCAGATGAATGTGATTGAAGATTGTGAAGCCCTGACCGATTATTGCATACTGAAGAGACACGGCCTCTTGGTATTCAGACATTGTCTTGAATAACTTGTCTCATACTCTCAATTCATAGCACTTTTCAGTATATGCATCAAAGAATAGCCATTCTAGCTCGAGTCCAGCACTTCCCCTATTCTGTACTTGCAAAGAAACGACATTCTAGGCAATAGACCTTGTTCAGTCTCTAGACGAATAAGCATAGATGACTGGCTTGTATAGCGATCCACACTGCAAGTCTGAATGAATTATTGATGAGCATACATGTCTTATAGCTCATCGTCAGGGATCACATTGGCATTGCTTGTTAACATGTGTACCAATCAATCGGTAGCCTCAACATATCCTGCTTCAATAGGAACACCTCTGTCAGTCACTTGGTATAGATACGTTGCTCTCCGTCAACGACAGTTTTCATCAGTAGATCCCCAAGAATCTCTCTACCATCTCCACCAAACAAGGTAAGCTCTCAGATCTCCTTGTATATCGACAGACAGCTAATCGGGGAACAGCCTTAACACTTTTGCCGGACATCACTGACCGCAGCCAAAATGAGCCTTCAACCTGTAAGCATTCCTTTGGATCAACTGTGCGCTGTGCGCTTGCTGATTTTCCTGGCATCCAAGTATGATACTCTCTTGACCTTTCACGATGAGTACCGGGCCGCGAGTGCTCAAGACTACGAGGGCGCCGTAAGTGGCGTGTGGGACCTCCTCCTCAATTACTACTTCAACCAAAAGGATGGGTTTGTCCACAGAACCCAGGACAAAGTGGAAGGGGGGTATGTCGATATGAGTAGCTACCAGTGGGTAGTTCGGCCAAATCAACCTAGGCGTGTGAGGACGCCATTCCTTGTGACGCAGTGCAAGCGCACTGCAAGAGAGAACGACAAGGCCACCTGGGCGGAGGGCTTGGATCAGCTGGACTGATACATGAGATACATGAGATACATGGTGTCTCAACACCCATGGCGGCATCCCCAATACGGCATTATCGCCGTCGGCAGATATGCCGAATTCTACAAGTGGAACGCGGCCGCATCTGCCCCAGCGATCTACGCCGGCCGATATGACATCTTGCGCGATTCTGCTGACGTTCATGAGCGCCTCATGGAGATCCGGGCGGAGCGCCTCGCTGGGCGGTAGTTGAGTTGCGGTAGCAACCATGGCTGAAATGGCCTACTTCTAGCAAGGACCGTTTAGATAGACACATATCAAGCTTCAAGCAATCTTCATAAGGCACCGTACCTTCGTAGTTACTGGCATGAGTGACTTTTGGATGTGAACTTGTGAAGGCTACTTACTTGGACAGTTTCTCTCTAGAGATAATATCCATATCCGATATAGAATGGTCATATTCTTTCCTTTGGTTCTCACGTTGAAGTAGAACCAGAGGAACGCGATTGCTTCCCATTGTCACCATGACATCAATATCCAGATATTATCAGACTTTTTCCTTTGAGTACTTCAAGTTTCAAACCAAATAGCACAATGAGAGGCTACTTTTACACTGGCTGTGTCGTATGTGGCATTGAAGCCGGGGTTAGCTCCTGCCAATCGATCTGTGCTCATTACAGGGATTTGAAGGAGTCGGGTCAGGGAGCCCAGCTGCTTTGGGTCGATGCAGACGAGTTGGAAAGAACGTATCGTTTCCGGGAGAAGAGTGATTGGGTGGATACTTTACGCCTAAGTCGATTTCCTTTCTTCCCTTCAATCGATTGAGTTGAGCTGATCATCACACACAGTCTATTTTGATCGATCGAGCCAGGCGTACCGACTATCCGGTATTGCACATCTTGCAGATCCCAAAAAGACCTACTTTAAGGCTCCAATCGACAGGAACCAAGCATGCATTGGCTTAACCGACCGAGACCCATCCGGTCTAGTCAGGTACCACCCTCAGAATATCGCTTTGTGGTCCGACTCATTGGCTAAGCCGGTGGACTGGCGTGAATTTGCCTTTGCGGTTCATGCCTCATGTTGGTCATTGACCCTGAGAATTATTGGTCCTGACGCGGAGGATCATCTCCCTACCACCCTTGCTGTCTCATTAAAAAGGATGACGGAAGTCCACACCGAGGAGTTTCGGGTTCTGGATTCATGTAACAAGAAGCAGCGCGCACAGGGTACGGGTAGCCGGCATCTCCGGGACCAAGTCAATCAATCAATCGATGGAAAACGATGGCTGACTCTGCTCTGTTTCAACTGTAGATCCCTTTCGAAGCCCAGTCGTCGGGAAGCTGATCGAAGAATGCAAGCGACGACGGGCAGGACCTGCTCCGGCTCTGCGCCGGTCCTCCCGAGTGAGGTCTAGGATGCCGCGGCTAAACCTGCCTTGCGACGTTCTCTGCTTGATTCTCGACAGGTTGGACTACCTGAGCGTCCGACGGTTCTGTCAGGCCGTAGACTGCCCCCGATGGACAGCTATTGGCGCTGTCGAGCTGCTCCTCATCTTTTTGAGCTGGACGAGATCCGACATGAGGACCTTGACTGGCGGCACCTGTGCCTCGAGATTGAGAAGCTACGGAGGAGTAGCGAAACCTTTTGGGCTCGAGATCGTACACTGGAAATACTGCGTCATAACAAGGATGCCTGCCTGCGGAATTTGAAGAAGGCACAACCACTCACCCCGAAGGACGTTATCAATCATATCCAGTTTGGCGTGGGACGTGATTCAGGGCTTAATCGTGTATTCAAGTATCCTGTTGAGTTTAACTAAGATCTAAATCTATTGATAGTAGACTGTTTGCAGTGGACGCTACACCTGTACCCCTAGCCAGTGCATTCTATTCTTCCCCTTGCCGAGTCTCTCAGTTTCATCCAGCTCATCCCATTACATTCATAGAGCTTAGCAGACAGGGCTATTATATTACCTCATGCTGATTCGTGTCGAGCACAGATTGACTAGACATTTTGTCATAAGCGAGTCATATGCCTCGGATAGAGTTCCATTGATCCAACCACAACCTCTTACTGTAGAGTGTAGACTATACAATATGAATCGCTCGAAGAGGCCTCGTCCTACCGAGTTATTTGCAAGATTCATTAAAAGACAGTCACCATTCTGTACAATACCAAATACAAGAAGCCTGCTTCAATCGGGCAAAGGATATATCACATAACACACGAGAAACGTCAAAGCTTCACCTGAGCAGACGGCTGCTGGCCAACGACAGTGCCATTCGATAACTTCAATCCAATGGGAAGACCTCGGATATACTGCTGCGTGAACGGCTTTCCCCGGCGTTTGGCCAGAACCTCCTCGACGTCCTTGTACATGTCGTATCTGAGTCGCAAGTTAGACAGCGTGCAGGCAACCTATTAACAGTCACGACTCACCCATTCATCTCCTCGATCGTCAGCTTGTCCTTCTCGCTGGCGACCTTGTACTTTGGGATATTGGTGTTGCTTGAGAAACCTGTCGACGTTAGCATCGACTTCACCTGTGAACCGGAGGTACACTACCAATCCGCTCGTTGATATTGACTGCTGCCTTGGCCGACGCCGCCTGCACCTTCGTGACACGCGGTAGTCGAATCTCCTGGTATGCCTGCAGCGCCTCGGCGACATTGCCGTCAAAATAGTCCGGCCGGAAGAGGATGCCCAGCGCAGCGGCATCCTCGATAGCCATGCAGGCGCCCTGACTCTGGTGCGGCATCATCTACAACATATCAGCCGAGAGCATCCCGACCGGACACGGGGAACAACGTACCGGATGGCCAGCATCGCCCAACAGACACACCATATTTCGGACCAGATACGGGTACGGCTGATGCACCCACAGCCGCCACGGCCGGATCTCCTGCCCGATCGCCAGATGCGCCCGAACCTGCTTGTCCAGCTCGGGATACGGCGCCAGCAGCTCCTCCACCGGCCGGTCCGTGCCGCCCCAAGTGTGGTTCGTGAAATCGCCCTTTTCCCGCGGGAAGAAGCAGTAGTACGAGAGCAGGCTGCCGCCGTTGCAGGGCGACAGCACGATCTTGTCCCAGCTGTTGTTCTGCCCGCCCCAGTACTCCAGCGCGCTGTGCTGCGAGTAATCGACCAGCCCGAGTCGGACGGCGTCCTCGGTGCGTACGTTGGCGTGCAGACAGCTCGAGTCGGCGGGTTTCTTCTCCGGCTTTAGACCGATGATGCTACGCACGGCGGAGCCGATGCCGTCTGCGCCGACGATGAGGTCGTGCTGGGCGGTTTTGCCGTTGGCGAAGGTGATCACCCCTGTCTGGAGGTCGATGTCCTTGCACTGCCTCGCTTAGTACCATATCTATGTGGTGAGTCAGAAGCCCTACCTGATGGTTCACGAGCAGCTTCACCGGCGTCCCCTCCCCTTCCTCTTGCATCGCGCAGTCCTTCAACATGGCATGCATGTACTGCCGATGGAACATGTAGTACACGTACCCCCAGCGCTCCTCATACCCATCCAGATCATACACGCTGACAGGCTCCCCCGTCTTCCAGTCGCGGTTGATCAGCTTGCGCAGCACAACCGGGTCCCCCTTTGCGATATCCACTTTCCACTCCTGCAGCCAGCGCGTGCCGTTCGCCGCACATGAGATCGAAGCGCCCACTTCCCCGGCGAAATCATGGCGCTCGTAGATGGTTACCTCGTGGCCAGCGCGGCGCAGCGCAATAGATGCTGCCAGGCCGCCGATGCCGCCTCCCACGACGCCAACGCTGAGTCGTCTCCAGCCTGTGCCGGTGGATCGCATGTTGCTTGCTGAGTCTGTATTTGGGTGTTGCAGTCGCATGTTGAGTATTTTGTTGCACGTTTGGAGATTCGTTCTGAAAATCTAGTGACGAGGTCTTATACTTCGTTCGTTCATCATGGCCGCCGCGAACCGCAGTACTATGTGCGGGCCGCAGACCGGTGCACTATCCGCAGTGGAGCTTGGTAGATTCGTAGATCAGAAGAGAATCAGGATCGCCGTTTCTATCCCCATTCAGCTGATGATATCTTCGAGTCGGATTGATGTGAGCTTCGTCCTATTCCTTTTCTGTGAACCGTGGCTCGATCCGCATACTTTTTGTATCCGCCCCGCGACTCGCCCCCGCATCCGCTCCGAGGGCGTGTGATCGATGATGTCTGGGACTGATATCATCGTTGGTGCATTATTAATATTCTATTATGGATTGATGAGATTGTTCGTTTTGAGTCCTGACTGCTCTGGTTGTTGTTGTTGTTCTCCTTCCTGGAGTACATGTACCGTTCTTTGGAAGAGAGTTCAAGAGGTATACATCCCTCGTCAATCTAGACAGACGTTAGCACATTGCAGAAGGGATGGTAATCCTTATAGACAGCGCTACAAGGCAAGAAGTGCTTAATTGCAAGCCAAGCTTGATCTCTACGTTGCCGATGCACAACTTGTTGACTTTGTCTAGAATTTTGTACCTATATAAGTGTCTTCGGCAGAAGGAGTGATTCACCATAGAGATATTGCTAATCGAGACGCTGATACATAGAATAGTTCAACATACAGCTTAGCTCTAAAGAATAGCTGTCGCGTTTGCATGAGATCCAACACCACCTAAATCACAGTTAGCCATCATTCAATACCACATCGGTCGAAGGTAACACATACCAGCAACATTGGCCGGAGCGCTCGTCATGAAGAATGTCCACTTCTTCCTTTCCCGGCACTTAACCGCCAACTTCTCCAAATCCCACATCTCGCCCAGTGGCATGCCCCACAACGCCAGAATGCTCTGATGCATGTAGTTGCCGTCAATCGGCGGCCAGCACTCGAACGTGGGCGAGTCTCCTGCAACCGCGGCAAAGTAGCAGTCATGAAGCCAGTCCTTTACAGCCTCTTCTTGCTTCAAACCAGCCCACTTGGAATCATCGTGTGCGCGCTGGGCGGCCGCTGTGCGCTCCGCCGGAGTCAGCTGGTCATACCGCTCTACAAACCCCGAGCGAACCATGAGGATGTCGCCCACTTTGATGTCCCCGCCTTGCAACTCCGGACGGAGATCGATCCCCTGGTACGTGGCGCAGGCTTTGAGGTCGGCAAAGGAGATGGGGTGCGCCGTATAGGGGTCATAGTCGACGTTGTGGACTTTCGCGTAATGGCGATAGTCGAGCAGGATGCCGCGGCCGGCAATACCATGGACAGCCCAGTGGTGGATGCTGCAGCGGAGGTTCGCGTTTTCGCCGACGATGTCGGAGGCTTTGGTCTGTGTCTCGTTAGGTGTGACTGATGGAGGGAGGGATGGGGCGCAAGAGACACATACGCTGTTGTAGAAGGTTTGAGAATCGATATGCGAAAACTGTTGATCTGTCAACTCTAAACCTCGAACCATAGCAGAGACCTGCTCGCAGCCTTACATGTCTGAACCCATCCCATTGCGTACCACTCTGTGTGTTCAACGTATACGTATCATCGTACGCCACGCCATCGACCAGTAACTTGATTTTATGCTGGAAAGCCTCCCGTCCAAAAGCCGGAGTCTCGGGAACATTCAACGGAAGGCTATCTCCCATCAGTCATCTCACTCAAACATCTACGGCATGACGTGTCTCACTCAAGCCGAATCATTTCCCCCGTCTGAATCTCCGCCGCGGCAGCCTTCACCCGCTCCGGGGTAAGCAGATTCAATCTTCCAAGCTACGCACACCACATCAGCGTCTGACTGCAACTTCTCCGAAGAACCATTTGACTCACCGAATCATCTTCACCCCACACCCAAGCTGCACCTTCCGGAGCGCCGGTGAGCGCGGGCAACTCCTTGCGAGAAGGAAACCGCGCGCAAGTAGGATCCCAGGGGAGCCGGTCAGGCTCTTGCACTCGAGAAGACATTGTATCAGGCAACACCGAGGCAGAGATAGGATTTGAGGACAGAGTATCGGCGACTTTCTTGAGTCGATGCGAGGCGACCATGGCGACGAGGAGTTCTTGTTTATATAGTTGGTGGGACGCGCGATCTTTGTGCTACAGCGTCGGTGGGGGTCCTAGTTTATTGACGCAATTGTGGACAAGAAGAGAACTGCAACCGAGACGATCCTCGGTATTTAGTGGTTTTACAAACGGGAAGGTGGATAATGCTTGTCCACAGTTTCGTTTCAGGCTGAGATATGGGCCTCTGGCTGTAGCCGTGGGACGGTGGGAGTGACGAAGGGCAGTCCCATTCTTTCTCCACTCCTTATATCGACCAGCATCCATAGTGCGGGGAAACAGTGCATCTGTCTGATCTATCCAGTGTCCATGCGTCTAGAATGAGAGAGCAGAAAGCTTGTTCGGCCGAGGTGAACAGGACAGTGTGTGGGTATTGACCCTGAAACGCGGAGGTTAAGGGGCGATCATCCAGTTCATACTACGTAGGCACTTCAGCATCGACCCTGCTTGGACTATCGAAAGAACGGACCAACGCTGCAGCAAGCGCAGAAGTTTCGGACATCCCCCAGTGAAGATTGTTTTCAATGTGTCCAACATCCAGGTGCTTAAAGCGGCTCCGCACACAACAGGTGAATGTGGGCAGTTCTCCACACGTTTTGAGCCGAGGATAAGTCTAGTATCTTTGGCCGACCCCTCAGTCATCATCGATCTATCTGAGTGGGCAAATGGATATTACAAGCTGTAGGTCAAGGCATATTGGGCTAGGCTCGAGGGCCCTTTTTTTTGTGATTTCATTCAGAATGATATCTTCTCGAATATGGTACATAAGTCAGGTGTGCCTGCAGTCGACAGCCACATGAGAGATAAAGCCTTCAACAGGCAGGGCATCAACACATCAGCCAGATCCAGGACGAAACGCAGACTACTCGTCCTGACAGGTAAAGGGAAAATAAACTGTTCATCATCACCGTCTGTGCGGTCACCAAGGCCATGCAAGTGGTAAAATAGATAAACGCCGTGAACGGAAACCATATCAAAACAACACAACGCTCACCAAGCCCGCCGTGATTCGTACTAGTCCCAATCGCAACATTAGAGCTTGATTGATATCGAGTATTTTGTAGGATGCGACCATCCAGACGCCGAGATTCATCAAAAACAACAGAAGTCGGTGAGTAAAATCGCTAATCGAACAGCATCAAGGAATCTCAAAAGAATGAGACGGTGATTAGATCGGTGCAGGCACCCCAGTAGACTGCGAGTTGCTGCGTCCCCGATAGTTACCACGGCCTCGAGTGTTGTAGCCGCGGCCATAGCCACCACGACCGCGGCCACCGTAGCCTCTGCCTCTGCCACGGCCTCTGTAATGACCGCGATAGCCATCAACGCTACCCTGGCCGAAGGTCTCAATGTTCCGTTTCTCTTCTTCGCCGCGCCACTCACGACCGCCAGGTCGACCTCCGGAGCGTTCCTCGCGGTCGCGAGCCTCGCTGGAGATGTTGTCGAAGAATGAGGAAGATTTGTTGTAAGCAGAGGCACTGGTGGACGGCGCATGATGACTGGTATCAACAGCTTCGACCTCACCGTGCTCGACGAGTGCTTCGGACTCGGTAACAGGAGAGCCGGTGGCAATAGCTTCCTTGACCAGATCTTGCTTGTTGAACTTGGCATTGGCACTTTCAAAGTCATAGTCAGTGTCGGGAACTTCAACCTTCTTGGCTGGTCCCTGGTAATGACCGCGATGACCACTACGTCCACCACGATGTCCACCGCGTGGAGGACGGCCGCCTTCGTGCGTCTTCAATTCACCCATTTGCTTGGTCACGGCGTCAACAGCTGCATCCTGCATGGACTGTTTCTGAGCATTAGGCTGTGGCAGCTTGGCCATGGCGGCAGCAACCGCAGCAGTTGCAGCACGAGTAGCCTCCGTGATAGCGGACAACGCAGGTCCTTGTGACACATTATTTCCAGGAACACTAGCAAGAGGAGGATTGGCTACAGCCGGAATAGGCGGCTTAGGTAGGTTGGTGACAGGAATCGCTGGCTGAACACGACCGCCCTTAGGTCCAGTGGGAGGTACCTTGGATGGTGTTCCAGGACCAGCTCCCAGAGCAGCTGCTTGCGCACTTTGAGAAGTAGAGGCCTTTACGGCTTCTGTTACGGAAGGCTTAGACTCGACGGGGGGTGGAGGAGGATTTTGTGCAGATGGAGCAGGGGCAGGTGTGGCGTTCCGGCTAGCGGGCTTACTCGTCTGCCGTTCACCAACCGGGAGCTCCGACGTGGGCTTGGGTACATTTACAGGACCCGCGCCCGGGGCTCCAGCTCGATTCTGGGGAGGGGGAGTTTGGTGTGGTCCAGGGGCAGTAATAGGCATCTGAGGAGGAAATTGTCCTGGTCCTGGAGGAAATCCCTGACCAGGAGGAGGGTACCATCCCGGTGGAGCACCATACGGCATGTTCGGAAATCCAGGTCCAGGTGGGAAGCCAGGAGCGCCAAAGCGTTGTCCATAAGGTGGGTAGAAGCCTGGGAATGGTGGCTGCTGAGGATATCCAGGGGGGCTGGGACGAGGAACCTGAGACTGCTGTGGTAGTTGAGATTGAGTAGGTCCAGGAGGGGCGGGTCCTGGGCGAGACATGCTCTGTTTCATTCAAGTCAGCAAATTGTCCAAATTGCAACAGTCATGTCTGTAACAAAGAAAGAACACATTGCATGGTTTTTGTTGATCATCAGAAGGAAGGCAACGGAAATCTCTACACGGTTTTGCGCATTCAGAACAGGTCTGTGAGTTTACATCCGAAATATTTCATCACCTGATCAACCAACCCGACCGTGTCAAGTCGAGCGACTTGCACACATGGGGTCCCATGGTATGAAGGGAAGGGGAAAGAAATCAAAGGTCCGGTTGAACTTACCCCTAGGATAGCGGGATCGTCTGGCACCTGAGGAGGTTCAGGCTGTGCATTCTCCTTCTTCTCCTCAGCTACGCTAATGTCCTTTACATCACTTCCACGGAAGACAATGTATTCATAGACACTGGCAGACGGAGGGATCTCCTCAGCCGGATTTCCTCGTCTGCCTTCTGTTCCAAAAGAGACGACATTTTCAAGGGCTATTGTCGAGGCCTCAGGGTTGATCTCATGTAAAGTACCAACGTAACTAGGGATAAGCAGGTTAGTCAATGGGTCGAGCAAGCGAGTCGGTTCAAATAGAAGGTCATCATACCGAATGTCACTCTTGGAGATCAGGTTGAAACGCTGACTGCTAGGTGTTAACTCCAGTCTACAAGCCGTACAAGCCCCGGTTCAGACCAGTGTAGGCATTAAAGACTGACCCTATGAGATGGTTCATATCCATGCTGGACAGGGTTTGCGCGGACAACCGCGCCAGAAGAGGGGACGGAAGGAAGAGAGGGAAGAGGAGAGAGAAAAGAAAAGAAATCGATCAGAATTTATAGCTGCGAGAAAGAGACGGAAAGTAAGCGAGCGAAGCGAGAGAAAAGAGAGAAGGGAAAAGGGTTGAGACCGGCTACCGTGTTTTTGTGGTGGGAAAGCTCTGAACTACGGCGAACCACAGGAGCTTAGTGAGCAGGTCCGTCGTCTCTTTTGGTCTTTTCTGCGGGATGCTCAGGATCCAAGTCCCACCGCCAATGCTACCTACGGCTACACTGAACGAGAAAATACTCTATAATTCGTTGAATAAAATTTAATATCTGGCTACCATTTATATTCATCATGTCGCGTTCTACGCATCGGGACGACTTCTTTCAAACCTCGTTCGTGATGATACTACCGGGTTGCTCTGTGTTGCTCCCTCTCACTAACTAATTGTGCCTCCTAATTTTGCAGGGCTGCCTTGGAAGAGCAGAAGCGAAAAGACGCTAAATCTCGGAACACAGATGGGAGCCCCATCAAGTTGCAGAGTAAGATATTGGCCATTGCAGCAGATCCTGTGAGCCCAGGTGCTGTGTTTGTTGCGCAGAGTACTGGAACTGTCCGGAAGATTATATTAGAAGTAGGTGCATGGTATCCTTTTCGCTGGATGCCACACTGGTACTCGTAACTAAATCAATCTTTCACTTTTTTTGCCATTGTTGCAGACAGGTGAGACTGCTGCCGTTTTCAAGGGCCCGACTGCCCCAGTGACAAGCCTCTGCTTCAGTCCTAATGGCAAGCTGTTGTTTGCGGGTTGCTGGGATAAGACCATTTGGAGCTGGGATGTGGCTTCAGGACAGCCGCAACACCGATATGAAGGCCACACCGACTTCGTAAGATCGGTCATCAGCTCAAGCCTACGTGGGCAAGATCTTCTGATTTCAGGAGGCGCCGATGCGCAAATCTTAGTTTTCGACATCGCCAGCGGAAAGCGACTTTATACGCTCAAAGGCCACGCCAAGGGTGTCCAGGCCTTGATTATGGATGGGGCTTGCCTCGACCCGGAGAGCAAGTCACTTGTTGTATTTAGTGCTGGCAGTGATCGAGAAATTCGTTGGTTTGACATTACCTCCGGCAGTCAAGATCTCACCGCCATGGATCCTCTTTTGGCGCATGACACAAGCGTTTACAAGTTGTTCATCGACAGCGACGGAGATCTATGGACGGCTTCTGCTGATAAGACAGCCAAGTGCCTCGTGAGGGAGGATGGTTGGAAAGCGAACCTGACGCTGAGTCATCCGGATTTTGTTCGAGATGTTGTAGTCTACGAGCAAGGTGGTTGGGTCATCACCGCATGCCGGGACGAGGAAGTTCGAGTATGGAATCGCTCGGTCAGTCAATGTCTATGGAAGAGCGGCCTGTCCTCTATCACTAACCTCTATAATTCACAGACCGGTCAACTTTATCATACGTTTTCCGGACACTTCGAAGAGGTTACGGGGCTCGTTCTCATAGGGTCTACCGTCGTCAGCGTCAGCATTGATGCTACTATTCGCCAATGGTCTTTGAGTCCTGACGACCTACGAACGGCAGTGGAAAAAGCCAAGAGAACCAAGGCTGAGGAGGAGGAATCGGAGCAAAACCCCGAATCGATGCTAACCGAGGAAGAAGAGCGGGAATTGGCGGAGTTGATGAATGAGGATTAATAGTGTTTAGGGCAGGATCATACTAGATACCGTTGTCATAAACCTGGACAGACATTAACAAGACACATGTTACAGTATACAAAGCCAGCTATCTACTTATTATTCCCCATCTAGTCTACGTGCTAGCGACAGTGATCAACTCCATCGATCGACATCAAGTGTCCGGGCGTCACGTGATAGCTTGATGCATAAATGACGCACTCCGGCGGTGATCTCCCGGATGCGGGACAGGCTAACGCCCGTAGCACATACTCTCCTCCCCCAGAGCCCAACTCTTGTTCACTAGGGGTACATTCTTATTGCTATACTCGGGTAGTATTTGCAGTCCAACGGATCCCTGTCACTCTGTCTGTTCTCGGAATAGTCTGATCAGAGCTTCCTCTTGTGACTTGAGCCGAATAGTCGCCGTATCTTATCAGTGGGCAGCCCCCCCCTTCGTCGTATTCTGGTACGACAATTTCCAACTTGTTGACGACAGCTCGCTACACAATCACCTCCTGATTATGCAAGATGGCGACAACAGCAGCCATGCATCCTCAAACACACCTGGGCGGTGCGGACCATGAGCCGAAGCTTGTCAATAGGCTGCGGGATAGCAGGTCGCCTTATGTGAGACGCACATACTGCAGACAATTCAAGTTGCCGATTCTAATGTCTTCATCAGGTCAGAGCTCACATGAACAATCCGGTCGCCTGGCAATTATGGGATGCAGAGGCCATCGAATTAGCCAGACGGTATAACCGACTCATCTTTTTGAGCATCGGTTATTCAGCGTGTCACTGTGCGTTTCCCCTTGTATGCACGTTGTAGAGGTGGTAATGCTAAGAAAATAATGTGATCCAGGGTGCCATGTCATGGAAAAGGAATCGTTCATGTCGCAAGAAGTAGCCTCGTTGCTGAACGAATCCTTCATTCCGATCAAAGTCGACAGAGAAGAGAGACCTGATATCGACGACGTTTATATGAATTACGTCCAAGCTACCACCGGCTCTGGCGGCTGGCCTTTGAGTGTATTTCTGACACCCAATCTTGAGCCTGTGTTTGGTGGCACCTACTGGCCTGGCCCGAACTCATCAACACTCTCCAGACAGGACACAGTCGGATTCGTGGATATCCTGGAGAAACTGCGAGATGTGTGGAAGACTCAGCAGCAGCGATGCCTCGATAGTGCGAAAGAGATCACGCGACAACTGAGGGAGTTCGCCGAGGAAGGAACACATGCCCAACAAGGCGATCGGCAGGCGGATGAGGATTTGGACATCGAGCTTCTGGAGGAGGCCTATCAGCACTTCGCTTCGCGATATGATACTGCAAACGGAGGCTTTTCCCGGGCGCCCAAGTTTCCCACGCCTGCCAACTTAAGCTTCCTCCTGCGCCTGAAGACATACCCAAGCGCCGTGTCGGACATTGTAGGAGAAGAGGAGTGTGACAAGGCAGCTGCCATGGCAGTGAGCACGCTCATTAGTATGGCGCGCGGAGGAATCAGGGATCACATCGGCCATGGTTTCGCGCGATACAGCGTGACCGCGGATTGGAGTCTGCCCCATTTTGAAAAGATGCTTTACGACCAGGCTCAGCTTCTGGATGTATACGTCGACGCGTTCAAAATCACGCATAACCCTGAACTCTTGGGTGCCGTATATGACCTTGCCACCTATCTCACCACCGCCCCAATTCAGTCGCCTGTGGGTGCTTTTCACTCATCCGAGGACGCAGACAGTCTGCCAACGCCTAACGACACGGAAAAGCGTGAAGGAGCCTTTTATGTCTGGACTTTGAAGGAACTCACGCAAGTTCTCGGCCAGCGAGATGCTGGTGTCTGCGCTCGACACTGGGGGGTGCTTCCTGATGGTAACATTGCCCCGAACACGACCCGCACGATGAATTCATGAATCAAAACGTGCTTTCCATCAAGGTCACTCCGAGCAAGCTCGCAAGAGAATTTGGGTTGAGCGAGGAGGAGGTCGTGAAGATCATCAAGTCGGCAAAACAGAAACTACGTGAATACCGTGAGACGACACGGGTACGTCCCGATTTGGATGACAAGGTTATTGTGGCTTGGAACGGACTTGCCATCGGTGCGCTCGCCAAATGCAGTGCCTTGTTCGAAGAGATCGAAAGCTCAAAAGCTGTGCAGTGTCGCGAGGCAGCAGCACGAGCGATCAACTTCATCAAGGAGAACTTGTTTGAGAAGGCGACGGGCCAGCTCTGGCGTATCTATCGCGATGGTAGCAGGGGAGAAACACCTGGCTTTGCGGACGACTACGCTTATCTCATTCACGGTCTGTTGGATATGTATGAAGCTACGTACGACGACAGTTATCTACAATTCGCGGAGCAGCTGCAGAGTATGTTCCATGATCGCGGTTCATTTGATTGAACTATACTGACGCAAGCAGAATATCTCAACGATAACTTCCTTGCCTATGTAGGCTCGACACCAGCGGGTTACTACAGCACACCTTCCTCCATGACACCGGGCATGCCGGGTCCACTTCTTCGTCTGAAAACTGGAACCGAGTCAGCTACACCATCCATCAATGGGGTCATCGCTCGTAACCTGCTCCGTCTCTCGGCACTGCTAGAGGAAGAGGAGTACCGTACACTGGCCCGCCAGACATGCCACTCCTTCTCCGTGGAGATCCTGCAGCATCCTTTCCTGTTCGTTGGCCTCCTTGATGTCATTGTCGGACTCCAGACGACAACACGGAGCGTAACGGGGGTCTTCTGCACTGCAAACCTTCCTCATAGCGTTACTTCGGAAGGGTCTGGTAGACTCATCAACAAGCCAGACGAGCCCGTGTCTGTACGGGATATGATTATCAAAAAGATCCGGAGCGAGGCTGGGTCGACGATGGTCACGTCGGCTACGGTCACATCACTAGTCGACATCAGGCCATCCCATCTTGGTGACTTTGTTGGCAACCAGTCTTTCTGGCTCAGGACTCGGAACCCACTATTCAAAGAGCTCAAGCCATCGGAGCCGGCGAAGAATTATTTGATGGTCTGCGAGAGCGGCAGGTGCACGATGATTGACGTCTAAAAGTGCTGATAGAGTTAATTTTCGATTTTGCTTTTCTTGGTCAGCTTGGTGTTTCAAGGTTTTCCTGATTCTTTTGGACTTTGAATAAGGGCTAAATGTACTCTATTCGGGCCACACTCTGTGGCTTGCTAGAAGTTACAGCAACATTCAATCTGAAAAATCTTAGCTTTATTCGCCGAGTACTATTCTACCAGAGTATCCTCTCATCTCCAACAAGAGATGAAGATCGTGTTGACCAATTGAATCTGACCCGACAACTAGGATCAACAGTTACAGCTAAGACAGGTAACATATTAGCTGCTCAGCAAGTGCTCATTCTGAAACGAAGGGCTTTCGTCGCGGTCCAGGCGCATGGTGAAGGGCATCGTACGACGACCTGCAGATAGCTAGTTGGCCCGACGGAATCGCAATCGGATCGCATCTCAAACTCTGCGGACAGGGATGATGGAAGCTTGTTTCAGGTGCAGGAGTGGTTTGAGCTCACCACGAGTTTGTGGGTGTGAGATCATCGTGGGTGCAGGTTCTTCACTGTGGTACAATTGTTGTAGCCCTAGTATAATCTTTGTGCTACATCTACAGGCCATTATCGCTGTTATATCTAAGCCTTTGTGGAATGTAATATGGCCTGGCATCGGGCTTGAACCTTGCAGACTGAGATATATATCTCGTCCTCTGCGAAAAATTTCGATGACACCTTTAAACATGTGTAAGCCTTTTAATTCCCTTTGATTAATCTATCGCGTCCGTCCCTTAATCTCGAATCTATTAACTACTCGGTAATGAAGTGACAGATGACACATGGGACGTCACCTCACGCCTGCAATCTCGCTTCATTGGCGATGACGCTGAGGCGCGGAATGGGAAGCTACCAGGGGACTCAGAAGGCATAACAGGCTTATCAGATCTGTGTATCCGTACTGTCGATGTGGATGTGTCAAACAAAGGATTCTGATGATCTGACCCTGTTGGCTAGCCTCGCATCTGCTACCGCCATGTCTCGGCTAGGAAAAGCCACCGGCCTATGCAGACGATGCGACGTGCACACGAGTCACCCAGCAATCCAGACCCGCAAAGTCCAGAAAAGAACATGGCAAAATGGTCTGGACTTTGTTCCTGTCGAATATTAATTACTTGACTACGGGGGAGTCTATATCCGCTGTAGAAAGTCGATCAGTGATGTAGCCTAATACCCTCAAATTTAGTCTAATGCCGTAATGGAAATGGGCCAAATCTCCGAGGGACCAAAAGGTGAAACATTAGCGTGGTGCCGGTGGCTTTGTCCACAGGGGACGGTCAGGGTGCCAAGTTTTGACGGCTGATCATTATGGACTACGAAGATGCGTCAGTGATCACAACCCCTGGCGAGTACCGATGCCTTCTGTATGGAGTATATTGCATCGATGCGCAGTGATTGGGCTGGAATGAGGAAAATGAATCCTGCTTAATTTTGAGTCACTAGTGGCATGGCGGGACTGAGATTAAGTGGAAATTACATGATGACATCTTGCCGAAGAGTTAATTAATCCAGATTGTGTATTCTTGCTATGGAGAAATGATACTGGTTAAGGTGATGGTCACCTGGTTTTTGCGTCAAGACCTGCTACATCTTGTTACAGGTTATACTCGAAATGACCTGTCTTTCTAGAATTTCTGATTAGTTACTTGTCTACAGATGTTGTCATCACCAGCATAACTCAAGGTCACACCCAGTTGTAATATGTATCATAGAGAGCTAGGTAGCGTAGGGAATATTATTAAAGTTCAACTTTGACGGAGATCAGAGGCGCAAAGGTATCGCTCAACGAGATTATTGGTTCAGGGCTCTCGGTGCCTGAAACGGGCGGCTCGTGCAGTCTGAGAATGGTTTAGTGATGGTCAGGGGGTCTGGGAATTTCTCAACAGTCAAGAAATTAATGCTCCATCTATTCTGCTTGATTTTACCATTCCGAGCATGACGAGCCAGTCTACGACAAAGATGACAATAGTAATGAATAGACAAATGAGAGGACAAACCCATGGTTCAAGGCCCTATCAATGAATACTAGATAAAGAAATTTCTGTTGTGGCTGTCGCATACTCCATCGAGGCCGCGGAATGCTAGGTTACCAAGGGACAGACCAGGGCCCAAAACGCTGCTTGGTATGCGGATGGTAGGTAAACATGTCAGGCGGCATTTATTCCCAGCAATTCCGCTGTTCTGAAAGAAAAGAGAAAGAAAAAAGACAAAAGAAAGAGAGAGAAACATCAAACAATCAATCGAGTTCTGGATCTGGCTGCGATGGTCACTTGTATCAAGTACCACCTCCATCCACCCCTGAAGTTATTATATCCTTGGGAGTCCCCGCTCCGGGCCATGTTATCCTTGACCTTCTAAAGCCTTTAATCACGAATTTAATTTGTCTTTGATTATTCCAGATCTCTTGGCTCCACTGATGAGAATAGAGTCGCCCGCTAGCCTCTCCCACTCTTCTTCTCTCTCTCTTTTCCTGGTCTCCCCTTTCACGGCGCAATTCACTAAATATTCACTAGCTGGAGCTGCTGGCCACTACAGCTGGACTACCAAGGCGTCCTATATTATCAGGCACTTGCTTTCCCTCTCATCTCTCCCACGCCTTCTTTTGGTCCTCACCCTCCACGCTCAACTCTTCTTCTTCATCCTCCGCCTGTGGCGTGCTCTTTTTCTTCACTCCTTTAGAAAAAGTGTCATCACGGCTGTCGTTCCTTTGTTTATACCTCCGTCTACCAGACAGTACATACTCGGCCACTCTTTTCAGCATCCTCCAAATCAATCCGCAGTCGATCTGCCTACTGACAAGCACACCTTCTCTCTTCACAATCCGCTCGTCGATTTACTTCCAGGAGAAGTAATCTGGTTACACAGTTGATCTGTTGGAAATATCGCTCCATACTCTCGGGAATTAAAAAAGCCAGCTCCGGAATCATGCGTTACTCGTGGTTGATCGGCGCTGTCTGCGCTGCAGGTGCTCTGGCCAAGCCTGTCGACAAACGGTCTTACGTGACTGATTGGACTATCGTCACTGTCACAACGACCATCACCCTCCCTTATCAGCCTCCCCCAACCTCAGCTCCGGCCTACTCCCCCATCCAGGCGGTCCAGCTCACTCAGACAGTCGCCAGCGTCGACCCTGCCCCTGCCCCTGCTCCTGTGGAGCCTGAGGCTTCATCCGCCTCCCCTATCCCGACCCCTGAGGCTGTCAATACCGCTCCGGTTGGTGTAGTGGAGGAATTGCCTGGGGCTTCTGCTTGGACATCGGCTTGGACGTCGGCTTGGACATCTGCTTGGACATCGGCTTGGACCTCATCGGCTCCTGAGGCTGCGCAACCCACCACCCTTGCTACTTCGACCTCTACCACTGCCCCGCTCCTAGTGCTCCTGCCGCTTCTGGCACCAATGCTTATCAGTCTGCCGTCCTGTACAACCACAATATCCACCGTAGCAACCACTCGGCCAGCTCCATGACCTGGAACACCACCCTCGAGTCCAGCGCCCATGAGCTTGCCTCGCGATGCGTCTACCAGCACGACACGTGAGTACAACGGCCCCAACGAACGACTGCGCTTGTTTGCTAACCCATTTTAGTGACATCGGCGGTGGTGGCTATGGTCAGAACATCGGATACGGTGTTGCGGCTGACGAGATTGGAGTCATGATCACCAATCTGATGTACAACGACGAGTTCGGCTACTACGATGGTCTGTACGGTCAAGCCAACCCTGACATGACTTACTTCGAGAAGTGGGGCCATTTCTCGCAGATCGTGTGGAAGGGTTCTGTCTCCGTCGGCTGCGCTACTGTCGTTTGCAATTCCCTCGGCAACGTGGACTCGAGTCAGCCATCGCCCTTCACCGTCTGCAACTACTACCCTCCTGGTGAGTGTGGTCAATCTTTATCCCTTGGGTTGGTTCTGACATGTGCATAGGCAACTTTGCGGGTGAATACGGGGACAACGTCCTCGCTCCGCTTGGACACGCCTACTACTCGGCGTAAACTGCCAATTCCGTGGATCTCCTAGTCTCGATTGTGATAAGAAAGTTGCCGGGCCCTGCATGACATTCGATTTCTCCATTAGCGTTTACGAAAGAAGTCACTCTGACCCCGGCCCGTGGGTGTTTCAGCTTCAAATGGGATCATCTCCAGGGGACTAAAGATCATAAGTGGTTGTTTGATGTATGGGATACTGTTCGATATACGCATATGTGGGAAGTTACAATCGCAAACTGCAATCGAGAACGGGATGACTTTCTGGAAGTTGTCAGCCATTCGTACAAAATCTCTCTTCGTCTTGAACAAACCTTCTTGCGTTCTCTTTTTCTTCGTGTTGCTGGTCACTTTCGACTTTGTCTTGTGCCAAGGCTCCTCCTTGCTTCGTCGGGGAGATCTGCAAGTCCCCACATTCCCGGCCAGGAGCCAGGCGACGACATGGACATGAATGTGACTTTGCTTCTACTTCGATTGTGAATATTATCCGTTCGAATATTTTTTTTCCTGGTACAGCAGTGCCAGCAACTTGACCATTGGAGCTTGTCTTTTTTTGGGTGTTTGCTGGAGTATGATCTCATGAAATGACACCTTGCTTAGAGTACAACATGACTGGAAGCGAATTGATTTTTCTCAACACCAAGCAACACCCTACCCTGCAGCAACCTGGGTCTTCTCCCGTGCCCCTCAACCTTGTAAGCGTCGATAAACCGCAGCTCATTGGGACATAGATATAGTTCAAGAAACCTGCAATACCTCAGGGTGCTGAAGTAAGCAACACGTGACCTGTCAATTAGAGTTAGGTGAGAGCCTCCCCGCAACCAAACTTGCAGTGCGATCACAGGCCATGGAATGATGGAATACTACCGTGGATAAAATGATTGCTAGACCAGACTGGACAGGCATTTGGTCAGTCACCGCTCCCTTCGCCCGAAACGTCATCGGATTCTGCGCGAGACTAGCCCTTCGTCCAACGGTCCAACTATCTAAAGCCTAACGCTTGACTACTGGGAGCTAGATTATCGACTAGACTCGCTTCCTGGCCCTTGCTCCTCGTCAGCACCAGTGGCCGATATCTTTTTTTGCTGTATCACTGCAGTGCAACTTCACTATCATCTCTCGAGAGCCTGTCTCGGATAAGCTCTACACGGCATCTTGATAGAATCGCCTTGGCTTATTGAATTGCCTCGTGTTGCTCCTCCGGGATTCTATAGTTGGGTAAGTACTATGTCCTCTGATCAATGTCTTATCCTGCAGATGTCACACGCCCAATCCTCCAACACCCCGCCATTGTCAGCTCAAGGACTCGAGGAGTGTCAAATTAGCAATTCGATTCTCGCAATTAGTCAACTGCTTTCAGACTGATTTTACGAAGCCTTTGCTCTCATTAATTTTTCTTTTGCGCGGTGTCTGCTTCATTTGCTTTCTGAACCTGCATCTCTTGGCAATCTAAGCTCCCTGGTCACCGTACACTAACCACCCGTCAAGCATCTCCGTTCCCCGACGCATACTACCACCAAAGTCCTCGGACGCGGACGCCGGTGCAAGCGATCCACTGTGGTTGATGCAACCGCTGCAGGCTATCTCTCTATCTGATTTACTGTAAGCGTCCCTTTTCCCGCTGCCTGACGCTATTTTTCCTTTCGTCCCCGAGACCCCAGCACATGCTCCACACCTCCGGCCTTCCGTCCCCCGTGGGGGCCGTATACACTGGGATATGTTCTATACTCTTCTACGCATATAACAGTGTAGCCCTTCCACCTTACATTTCATCATTTTTTGGTTTTGTGAACTTTTGAACATTCGAAAGTCTCAGTACGAGTACGCGATTATCCATGCCATCTTATTGCTTGCAAGATTGTCACTACTTCTACCGCAGCGCCTTACGTCTTTTGTCCATCCCGACTTTCCTCGCCTGCCGCTACGCTTAGTGCTTTCCCCTGGAAGGAGTGATTTTTGTTCTCAGCTGACGATATGTCCTACTCGTCCATGGCAGTCCGTTACTTCACGGCTCCAAAGCCAATGGGAAGCGCCATGGAAGCCCCCGGTCTCAACCAAGCGTCGATGCTAGGGTTAATCCCTCCAATCCAACATCAGTGAATGGCGGATCAGCCCCGGCTCAGTCCTGTGAGAAAAAGAGCTTGACATTTGCCAACCAGGACTCCTTGCCAAAGTTGCCTATTCCCGACCTTGAGAGCACATGCAAGAAATACCTAGAAGCACTATCAGCTTTGCAAACCCCACGAGAGCAGGAAGAAACAAAGGCTGCTGTTCAGGAATTCCTCAAGACAGATGGCCCTATTCTTCAGGAGAAGTTGAAGAATTATGCCTCGTCCAAAACGAGTTATATTGAACAATTCTGTATGTATTCGCTGAAACGCGTCGCATACAACTGCACTAACATACAGCCACATAGGGTACGACTCTTACTTGAACTATGACAATCGTAAGAACTTGTTCATTCTTGTTACAGCAGTCGATCGCTGAACTGACCTGGTCACAGCTGTTGTCTTGAATCTTAACCCGTTCTTTTTGCTGGAAGATGACCCCACGCCTGCCAGGAACAATCAGGTGACTCGGGCGGCCTCACTTGTCATGTCTGCTCTCTCCTTTGTTCGGGCTGTCAGGCGGGAGGAGCTTCCACCTGACACGGTCCGAGGAACACCACTATGCATGTACCAGTACTCTCGACTATTCGGAACTGCGCGTCTACCCACGGAAAATGGGTGTATCATCAGCCAGGACCCGCACGCAAAACACATCGTGGTTTTGTGCCGGGGTCAGTTCTACTGGTTTGATGTTCTTGACGATAACAACGACTTGATCATGAGCGAGAAGGATATCGCGGTTAACCTGCAGGTGATCATTGGCGATGCCGAACAGACCCCAGTACAGGAGGCCGCAAAGGGTGCCCTTGGTGTTCTCAGCACCGAGAATCGGAAAGTATGGTCGGGTCTGAGAGATATCCTGACCAAGGACGAGGGGTCCAATAACTCGGAATGCTTAAACATTGTCGACACAGCTTTGTTTGCTCTCTGTCTGGACGACACAGAACCGGAGAATACGTCGCAGCTTTGCGCCAACATGCTCTGTGGTACGAGTGAGGTCGTCAGAGGTGTCCAGGTTGGTACCTGTACCAACCGGTGGTACGACAAACTGCAAATCATTGTGTGCAAGAACGGAAGTGCTGGTATCAACTTCGAACACACTGGTGTCGATGGCCACACGGTTCTGCGCTTCGCTAGCGACGTGTACACAGACACGATCCTTCGTTTCGCCAAGACTATCAACGGCCAGGCCCCATCGCTCTGGGCAACTGCCAGTCCTGATCCCTCAAAGCGTGACCCCGGAGCTTTGGCAATGTCAGCACAACACCGCGAAAGCTCGAGTGGGACATGGTTCCCGAGTTGAGCATTGCCTTGCGATTTGCCGAGTCTCATCTTGCCGATCTCCTCCAGCAGCATGAATTCGCGGTTCTCGACTTTGAAGGGTATGGCAAGAATTTCATCACCTCGATGGGCTTCTCTCCGGATGCCTTTGTGCAGATGGCATTTCAAGCCGCTTATTATGGACTGTATGGTCGCGTCGAAAACACATACGAGCCGGCAATGACCAAATTCTTCTTGCACGGCCGGACGGAAGCCATCCGAACGGTCACCAACGAATGTGTCGACTTTGTGAAGACCTTTTGGGGCGACAACCCTGCAGAGCAGAAGGTCAACGCTCTTCGCAAGGCGACTGAAAAGCACACCGCCATCACCAAGGAATGCTCCAAGGGACAGGGACAGGATCGCCATTTGTATGCCCTGTACTGTGTTTGGCAAAGATCCTTCGACGAGGGCAGTCCGTCAGCGGGCAATAGCGTTGAAGGTGGATCCAACGGATACTCGAGCCCTGTTGAGAACGGATCGGCCATCGATTCTCCCAAAACGTCGTCCTCCATGTCCGAGGACGGCCTGTCCTCGAACGGCTATAGCTACCGCGGTATTCGCACACTGCCGCCCACTCCGGCCATCTTCAGCGATCCCGGCTGGGACAAAATCAACAATACGATCTTGTCCACGTCCAACTGCGGCAACCCGAGTCTGAGGCACTTTGGTTTTGGACCGACATCCGCAGATGGATTTGGTATCGGTTACATCATCAAAGACGATTCTATCTCGATCTGTGCCTCGTCCAAGCACCGGCAGACTGCCCGGTTGATGCAAACGCTGGAGTCGTATTTGTACGAGATTCGAAAGCTGCTCCGCGCCACCAACCGTAAGGCGGTCAGCCCTCGCACTAGCAGGGCACGGGAGATGGAGATGCTTGCCGAGCGGTTCCAAAACGATAATCGCCGGGGCCGGCTAGTCCGCGGCGATTCTGGTTTGATGCAACGGGGTACAGATACGCCAACTACGGACAGTGGCGATATCGAGGATGATGGCATGGGTGGATGTAAGTCTCTCGAGAAGTTGTTCCTTTCCAAGACATTTGCTGACAATGATCGATAGATGGCTTCTTTGACTCGGGCATGCTGCTTCATGCTCTTAAAGGGTTGAGTGTCGACCGGGAGCGAGCCGATAAGCCTGCGAAACGTCGGTTCATCGGAAAGAAGTTGCGGTTAAATGAAAACTGATGTTATACTGGTGACTGGTCCGTTATGACGCTCTTTTGCAGATGGTTTTGGCATATATATTATGTTCGTTCACCTTCACCTTCACTGTGCATGATGCCATGATTTGTGTATAGCTATATACCAATGAGATCTTCCTCAGCTGTTTATTCTCTACACAATACTCAACGCAGAATATCGTTCTTGTTCAGAAAACATTCAAGTTGCCCAGCCAACATAAGACAGCTGGATCTGCCTGGCGATATATCACTGCATACTTTGAAGTCATGTGACCCAAGCCGTACAGTAAGCCTCTGACGTGCATACCACGGCACTTACAACGCACGAGAAAGAATATCATGCAAGGGCTATGCAGAGCTTTAAGGCTCTCTCTCTGCAAGCAAGATTAGCTGCGTATTTCAAGAGGTTCCTGCGATTTCTCCATCAGACCGTTATCCCAGGACGGCCAAATGCCGCTCAAAGAATTCATTTTTTATACAGGTGCAAGAGGAAGAGAATGCCGAGAGTGTAAAGTCTGGCTTGGTGAGGGTCTTACCAGTGCATGAATTGCCGGTAGGGAGGGAATTGCCATTCTCCAACAAACTAACAGTACAGAGAGATCACTTCGAAGAAGAGCACCTGGCGACGATGTTGATATCCTGCCATCTCCCATACCACACATGCCTTAAGGGATCAGCTGAGCCTGTGACTGGCCCTAGACAATTTTAGTATGAATAGAGATGTTCAATGAGCCCCGACTCTGAAGGATTTGAGACCATGAATCAGATCCGGCCCTCGATGGCTATATACATGTAGATATATCTGATCCTTTAAATGCACCTTGGGCTTAATCGTCCGATTGGAAGTGTATCACTGCCGATGTCCTTGGACGAGGAAATTAGCTTAAGGCAATAGTAGTATGCGCAGGTGGGAGGACAATTGAGCTAGTTTGGAATTCCTGTAGGAGCGGCTGGATAAGCTGTTATGATGTCTGCTTGGGGCTGTCGCTGCTACCTTGACCGGCACTTTCTTAATCTGAGGCTTTTGAAGAATTAGATGGCTGGACATTAGGAGCGAGAGAACTGATCCATGCTGCAGGAGAGCTCCTAGTATGAGCTTTGTCTTGATAAAAATCAATATGATGGTGTTGTTTCCTCCACCAATTGAGAGTGAATAGTGTTGACATGTGATTTGAATAGCAGCTAGAAGGCCTATTCTTCTGCTGCAGCCATAGCGGTTTCATGATCATGTCATTATTGACATTGTTATTCTCGTACGAGCTGAGCTTCAGCTCCCGAAGGTTAAGGTGCCTAGGTAATAGTTTGCTGAGTCAAAGGATGATAAGCCGAAAAAGGAGCTTGCCGCTTTTAGCACGGCTAATTCCCTTATCTGTCGAATTAGACTCTGCGCTGATGACTGATGAGATCAGTGCTTTTTGCCGGTCCGCTGGTACCCGAACTACCTACGCAGCCTTGTACCTCTCATATTGCTGGCTGCTCTGTGCGTGTAAATCTTATCCTGAGGGTTGCTATTGTTGGCAGTGTCGTCACGTGGTTCACGTGACTATACACTTTTGTTGAGCCTTGACAAGCGAAGCCTCGATTGTTGTATTATTTAGCTTGGCTGCACTCCATTTTAGCCTCTCAGAAGTGCAGTAATAGTGGTGTCGGTAGTGACTTCTTCCAGGTTTTATTCCCGTTGTTGGAGATATCTGTCAGGTAGGTCAATTGATTTACTTCTCTTCGAGGCTCCGACGCCGCAGGTGTGCTATGATCTACTCGCAGCCGCCAAAGTTACCTTACAGCCCTGTAACTAACTAGTTATTTATCCTGTCGATTAGTCACCATATTTTTCAGGCCATCAGCCACTTTCCTTGCCAAGTTGGGTGCCTTAAGACTCCTTTGGGTTGATTTTCAGGCGCTCAGGCTATCATCAACTTACATACTCTTCGAATTACTAGAATCCACAGCTCTCCACCCACACGCATCCCTTCCATCATTCTCTCATTCTCACTGGCGTTTCCCATCCTGCAAATTCCACTTCAACTCTTTGTGGTTCTCCCAAGCGTCAGGCCATCGTGCTCTGTCCGGTGGTTCCACTATCGACCTGTTCCGACGTGACGCTGGCATTGGCCCATTCTATCTCTGGTTCTCTGCCCTTCCTGCCTTCCCTGCCCTTAGCTTCCCACATCGCCTTTCCGCTAGTCCTTTAGCTGCAATCTTTGGTCGTATCACTTGCTGCTTGGTCCTGCAACACGGCAAATCTCCTCGCTCCAATCTCGCAGACCGGAGACTGAGAGGGGCCTTTGCTTTGCTTGCTTTCGGCCTTTCCTAATACTGGTGATATCAATCTCATCATTATTGACTTGCTAATTCTCTATCGCTTCATTCAGCACTGCCTGCCTATTGTTCTTCCCTTTGTTCCCATGGCTTTCTTGTCATTGAGATAGATATACCCTTTGTTCAGGAACCAAAGCTCAACACCAGCTGCTTTCACTTTTTTCCAACCACCCCTTTGCCGACGGATTTTCCCCTTCTCTCTAAGCGACATATCGAAAAGATATCGGAAAGACGAAACTCTACGATCGCAACGTTGACGATCCTCCTACGCCGCAGGATATATTGATTCTCAGCTCGCCAACTTTCAACACTCCCTTCCCCGACCGCTGGGAATCCCTTTCTCGCCGTCGATCAGCGGTCGCAGTTTCCGACGACGGCGCTCTTATCTTCATCGAAATCCTGTCCAAGTTTTCACATCTTGTTTGAGATGATGGCGGCAGCGCTTGATCAACCTCCTTTCGCTTCCCTCGCCGGTAGTCGTCCGAACGATGCCGCCTCCATAACACCTCCGCACAGCGCGAACGGCAAGAAAGAGGTCCCAGACGGTGTTCCCTCCGAGCTGTCAGACCTCGAGTTGGATTCTGGTGCCTCTGCCGTCAAATTTGAGGACTCGGTTGAAGGAGAAGACGACGTGATTGAGCCTGACCATTACTATGGCGGCGGCAAGATTCCTGTCTTCAAGCCGGTAAGTCTTGCGATCTCATGGGATACCCTCCTTGCAAATCACGAGCTGACGGGGCAACCGGCAGACGATGGAACAGTTTCGTGATTTCCAGTCGTTCATCGGAAAAGTCGACCAATACGGCATGCGGTCGGGTATAGTCAAGGTTATTCCTCCCAAGGAATGGTAGGAATCCCGGACCCTTACGTTGTTGTTCTAGAGTTGGTTTTGATCGTTTCTCAATCTAGGCTTGATGCTCAACCGCCCTTGGACGAAGCCGTCAAGAAAATCCGTGTGAAAAATCCGATCATGCAAGAATTCCACGGCTCTCACGGCACTTATACTCAGGCAAATATCGAACGACAACGGACATACAATCTTCCTCAATGGAAAGCCTTGTGCGAGGAGAGCAGTCATCAGCCGCCTGCACGGCGAGGCGAGAGACGTCGGAATCAGGAACGAGTCACACGTACCCCTGCGGCTCCCAAGCCTCAGACCACCGGGTCAAGTTCGCAAAAGCGTGGACCCGGTCGGCCACCAAAGCGAGCCAACCAGGTGAAAGTGAAGGAAGAGCCGCCTGCGGACGATGTCCTCGAAAAAACGAAACCGGAAGGTCCTCCAACACCCGTATCACCCGAGTCTAATCCAGTCGAGACGAAGTCAGAGGAATTGAGCGATGGCGAGTCGTTACCGGGACCTAAGCCCAAGGGCAGACAGCCCAAGTCCGTAACTGCGCGAAGAAAGCACAACAAGGGCGACAACGTCGATCTCGTCGATGAAGAAGCATTCAAAAACTTCGACTACCGCATCCACGATCAGGAAGAATATACGCAAGAACGTTGTGAAGAGCTCGAGACTGCTTATTGGAAATCGCTCATGTTCAACAACCCGTTATACGGAGCGGATATGCCCGGTTCCTTGTTCGACGACAGCACTACGTCGTGGAACGTCGCCAAGTTACCCAACTTGCTGGATGTCATCGGACAAAAGGTTCCTGGCGTCAACACTGCCTACCTTTATCTGGGAATGTGGAAGGCTACTTTCGCATGGCATCTGGAAGACGTGGATCTCTACAGCATCAACTACATTCATTTTGGTGCTCCGAAACAATGGTACAGTATCTCGCAAGAGGACGCTCCTCGCTTTGAACAGGTTATGAAGAGTAAGTTGGCACCGCTCAAGCCTCATTCGGCGCTGTGGCGATACTGACACGTTCTCCCCAAGGCATCTGGCCCAGCGATGCAAAATCCTGCGACCAGTTTCTTCGCCACAAGACCTACCTTGTCTCGCCGAGTCTCTTGAAGTCCCAGTACGGTATCACTGTGAACAAATTGGTTCATTACGAGGGCGAATTCGTCATCACCTATCCGTACGGCTACCACTCTGGCTTCAATTTGGGGTACAACTGTGCCGAGTCTGTCAATTTCGCGACGGAGAAATGGCTCGACTACGGTCGCGTGGCTAAGAAATGCAACTGTGAAGCGGACAGTGTTTGGATTGACGTCGACGAAATCGAGCGGAAGCTGCGCGGGGAGGCGACACCCGAATACTACGATGACTTCGACAGCGACATGGACGTGATAGAAGGTGCTTCGGATCTCTTGACTCCGCCCCGCAGTGTGCCTGAGAAGACGTCAACCCGCGGTCGGAAACGCAAGCATCCTGGTGAAACGACCAAAGCGAAGCGTATGAGAGTTAACGCCGAGATCCCTCGAAAGGCGCCCTGCGTGCTATGTCCGAACGACTTGGATTATGAAGATCTTCTGCCGACCGAAGACGGGAAGTCTCATGCCCACCGACGATGTGCCCTGTACACCGAAGAGACCAGTATCCTTCGCGACGAGTCCGGAAAGGAAGTAGTATGTGATATTGATTACATTCCCAAGGCTCGAATGGGCCTCAAATGTCTCTTCTGCCGCGAGGTCCGCGGTGCCTGCTTCCAATGCAACTTCGGAAAGTGTACACGATCCTACCATGCCACATGTGCTCTACTGGCCGGCGTCCAAGTCGAACACGGCTCCATCGCTGTGATCGCCGACGACGGCAATCAGTACTCTGTTCCAAGTGTCGACCTCAAGTGCAAATACCATCGCCAAAAGAGGCCAACTTGGATGACCAACGACGCAGCCGACTATGACCGCAAGGTTAATGCGACTGCCCAGCGGCTGGTAGCAGGAGATCTCGTGCAATTCCAGGCAGACAAGGAGATTAACGGTGCAGTGGTCCTGCAAAATCGGCCCCAAGAACGAACTCTGTTGGTGAAGATTCTTCCACGAGGGTAAGTTTGCTCCAACAGTCTTTTGTTTTTGATTGTTTTGAAATTTCCCCATCGGGAATATTTACAAACTTTCTGGCTGACGATATTTTCCTCTCTTCACCGATTATTCAGAGACGTAATTGAACTGCCATACAGATGGCTACTCATTGTACGCAAGAGTAATTTCGCGCCTCTGGCACCAGGCACAAAGCCATTGCCAGCACATTTAGCTCGCAAGCCCGATGCTCGGAAGGAGTTGGAATCGGCGGTGCCGGTGGCAGGAAATCCTTTTGGCGACGGACGATCGCCGTATCAGTGGGCTGAGTTCGAGACGGTGGACGTAACTAAGCACGTCTCAGCCCCACCGCCATTGCATGTCGACCTAAACAAGGTCGAGCAGATATGGTATTACATGGGGCAATCATCGACCGAATGTAGGGCTCAATATACACACAACCCTAGCGTGTCTGTCCACAACCCGCGCTCGAATTTCCTGGACAGTGTCAAGTCTCTTGGCGGTTTGGTGACCCGACTCCCCTCTTACCCCCACCATTTCCCTCAGTATGCATCTGCGTCTGCGTCTGCCGTTGCCCCTCCTCCTCGCCAGCACAACCACTTCCTTTCTCCTGCTGTTGCCGCTACCGCTGCCGCCGCCAGTGCTGCTGCTGCTGCTGCCAACCGCCCTTCCCTCCTGCAGCGACCTCCTCTTGCCCCTCCTCCTCCTGCTGCTGCCCCTCGTTCCTCCTCTTCGACTGTTGCTTCTGCTGCTGCTGCTTCTGCGATGCCGTCGGCCTATCGAACCTTACCAACTCAGTCCGCTCGCCATGCTCCGTACCCGCAAGTCATCAAAGCACATAACAACCACCACCACCAACAACAGCAACATCCTTTCTACCATTCTCCGCAACCCCTCCAATCTCAGCAGCAGCAGCAGAACAACAACAACAACACCGCCACCGCCACCACCGCCAATGGTCTCCCCGCCAATACCTTCGCCAATGTTCGTGAGCTCATCGCTCGCCGTCGCCTGGCGCAAATCACCGACCATGCCAATGTCTTCGCCGGGTATACCATCGTCAGTCCTGAGCTGGTAGTTGAGACACTGCTGGGTCCCATGGGCTCGGTTCCACCACCTAATGGTCTGGAAAAGCTCGAGCTTGCCATGGCCCAGCAGCGTGTACAGCCTAGGGCCCCTGATGGGACCTTGCTACCATTGCAACCGCTGAACATGCGATCGGAGGAAGTCACCAGACTTTTGCAGATGCTCCGGTTCTCACTTGTCAGTCACCGCGAGCGGTTGGATGTGTTGCAGAAGAGAGAGTCCGAGAATATCAAGCAGGAGGCTACCGCCAAAGGCAGCGCTGCCTCGGCCAAACTGGCCGGCAAGTATGCTTACCTTGACCAACAGCGTGCTCAGGCTCCGACCGTCTACCAGTCTCCCTACGATATGCCATCCGGGTTCACCGAGTACGCCAAGAAGACTTACGAACTTATTCCTTGTGCGCCAGAGCTGCCCAAGCCTTCCCTGGCAAACGACTACTTTGCCAGCCTGTCGACCGAAGACCAAGAGAAGATCCTTAAGACTTGTGGCAGCTTCGTGCAGCGAGCGATCGAGCGTTCGGCCCCCACAGCCGTCAGAATTCGGCTTCGAACCTTCGACTTACGTCTGCGCTGGCTCAACAAACGGAGAATCCGACTATCGACATTACCACGGTTGAGGATCTGCCATTGTCTGGTCTCGACCTACCCCTCCACGCAGACTCTCCGTGCTCCAGTTTCAGTCGGTCGCATCTGAGGTTCCAGTCGCCCAATGATTTCACCAGTCACGGGCCTGAAGCTCACCACGATCATCATGACCTTTTCGGTGATCAACAGGCGAACACTCGGTTCTGGCAGCACGGCCCGTGGGCAGCGGGAGATGGTAATACCCCCAATGAGGAGAATCGACCGTTCTTCGGCCCTCACGAGCGACTTAAGCACGATTATGCCTCGTCTGACATATCGCTGGGCCGTGGTCCTGGCTCTCTACACTCGGTCGACATGGCCGGCTTTGGCTTAGATGGCACCGATGACATCTGCGCGGAGCTCAGCCCGTGACGAAAGGTGCTTGCATGATAGAAATGCTCTCTGTACATGCGTGCCGCTTATGAGCTACATCATCTCATGTAACGACTTATCTGGATTGATGACTGCATGATTGGGCGTTTTAAAGTTTTTCTCTTTTTGTTATGCGGATTTTTACGTCGACATTTCCGATCTATTCATCACCTCCTCGTCCTGGTCCATTCATAACGGAGTTGACGCTAGCTGGCTGGTTGCAACTCACCTTGAGGCCTTGCACTTGGAAGGCCTTGCTTGTGGTCTCAAAGCGAAGGCGTCCTTTTTTTTATGGACCAAAGGAAGGGCGAGGCGGCAATGAGTGAGCAGATGCCAAGCAAGTGGAAGTCAGACGGAAAGGCAACCCGGCGCTGGGATTTTCTGTCTTCCCTCTTTTCCAATACGAGACTGTGGCACACCTATCGCGTGACTTCTGGCATTTGTTGCATATTGCCTGCACTGCGCCACTGACCTTCCCACTTGGCTCCTGCCTCTCCTTTTATATGACTGTTTCTGTGATGATGCTATTGCCTTTGCGCCTCTTCGCTCTCCCATCTCTCCCCTCCCTGTCGTCCTCATTCACCGTGCCGGGTCTTTCTAGCATGATCCGACCTACTGGGCCTACTTTTCGCATGCGATCATGTGGACTTCACAGCACACGACCCGAAGCGAATTTGAAAAAGCACAACGGAGATAAAATGATGAAGTATCTCTATCTCGATCCCCTTTTTTGATACCCCTAATTGCCCTCCTGTGTCATGCTCTTTGTTCCTTATCGTTAGTTCCCCCTCCAAAACTCCCTTCCTATCTTCTCCTTTACTGGCGCTCATCCTTGCTGGACCCCGACCATTTTATCAAGTCAGCATGACTTTGATTCTTCTCCGCAGGAGAGAAGGTTAGGTGATCTCAGCCGTCAGCGGATGTGGCAGCCGTCACCGATATGTGTGACAGTCGACATGATGTATTTTGAATGATAGCTGTGAATGAACAAGCTAGTGTAGCACTTTGCCTTTTGTACTCTTCACAAACTTAAACAGTAAGGGCCTGAGGTGCAGTCAAGCAATGACTAGCCGTCCACCCTACATGGGAGAGAAGCGCTCCATCGTACGACGATCGCCAACTTACGACTTATAGTTAGCTTTGGTAATAGCTTGATGGCTTTACCTAGGTAGGATTTTCTTTCCTTGAGGTCAGTTGAACTGATATACCTCATATGTCTTCAAGTACTCTATAAATCATGTGTCCAACACTAGTGCAACTATTTGAGGCCATTATTTACGGCATTGCGTTCTAACCACCCACATGCTCGATTACAGGACGCAAGCCGGCCTGCTTATGAACATACCCTCAACAAGCAAGGTTAGATTCTGAGTTGAGGTAACGGCTCTAACCACCCACCCTGCATCCGAAAGAAGCGCCAGCATGGATCCATGACACGTTGATCGCGCCCGATAAGCATCTCATACAGACGGAGTCATGCCTAAAAGTAGCACGCTCCACCACAGAAGATAATCTGGGGTATTTGGTGTGACTGGGGGTTGGATGGATATCCGAGCGAGCCGATGATCCAGACTGGGGACCGCTCAGGTCAGACCCAGATAAGTGCCATGGGATAGCTGGGGAAAGGTCCAGGTCCCACAACCATCGGTGCCATCCATGATTTTCATGACAGTGGCACGGTCTCTGTTCTAGAGCTTGGGGCTTGGATTTTGGATTTGAGCTGTTGGTTGGATCTCCCCCGCAAAATAAGCGACGTACAAGCCTAGAAAGCTGTGGATGGTCCAAGTTGGGTGCTCTTAGGACGGTACCGAATAGTTCCTAGGGTGGAGGAAAGTCTGTTAGTCATGGATTGATTGTTTAATATATTGCACAACTATTCCACTACGCTAGACAACTTTCTAGTAGTCGAGCGGTTTAATGGTTCAAGTATTGTATGAACATGATCATTGTGTAGCTAGGAATTGAGAGCATGACTGAGTGGTGCATTTTTCTGTAGAATGAAGATAGCAGAATCATATCGGCATCATAGATAAGCCCAGTAATATCACTCAAAACTACTCTGTCCCCAGGCTCTATCAGCGCGCTCCCGTAACACAGCGCGCTTTCGGACCGCCCTTTGGCCTCGTGAGTGGTGAGAGGTTGGCCCGTCAAGAGCCCCGAAACCGGCCGCAATGGGGCTATCTGTCCGCTGCTTATCGGCTTCTCCAGCCTGTGTCAGACTTTGAGCTCCCCTCGGCTCAGTGCCTATCTACGGTAGTATCCACCGTCTCCATCGCTGATATGCGGGGTCAAGTCCATACCTTTCCCGCCAAGTCTTCACGAGACACCGTCCACTGTCTTCGAAGCTAGTAGTAGTGGAATTTGGACCCTCCCTTAGCAGGTCCTCTTGGTTATCTATGAACGGCGGGAGCTTATTCCTGGACTATCTCTCGTGTTCAATCTAGCTGGTCATACTTAGTGGAGATGTTATCTTCTTGTCTTGCCTTCAAATATCCACTCATTCCCCCTTGACCGGATCGTCTCAATCCCGGGACACTCTGTGTTCACATCACCACTACCTTACTGGAATAAATCACTGAATTGATTTGATATCTACAATCTGACCCTTTGACTTGATATACATCGGTATTGATCTCAAAACTTCCCCGCACCATCTTTCAGACGCCACCTCGGCCATGCACGAGGCCACCGTTGATGCCAGCGCCGACGCGGCGCTGGCCAGGATGGGCTACAAGAGCGAATTGCCTCGTAATCTGAGCATGATGAGTATTCTCGGACTGTGCGTGATTCTACATGACCTTCATCCCCCTCCGTGCCTCTGGTGCAGCTGCTGATCGCTCGCGCGTCCAAACAGTTCCTTTGCCATCATGGCCGCTCCCTTCGGTCTCAGTACCACCATGTACATCACACTGACAGACGGTCAATCCGTCACCATTATTTGGGGATGGGTTCTCGTCACCTTGATCTCAATCGCGATCGCCGCGTCGCTGGCCGAAATATGCGCTGTCTACCCGACCGCCGGCGGCGTGTACTACTGGAGCGCCATGCTGTCGACCAAGGAATGGGCCCCGATGATGTCCTTCATTGACGGATGGTTGACGCTCGTGGGAAACTGGACCGTTACCCTCAGCATCACCTTCTCGACCGGACAGCTGATTCTCAGCGCGATTTCGCTGTGGAATGAGGACTTTGTTGCCAATGCGTGGCAGACCATCCTGATGTTCTGGGCGGTGGTGCTCGTCTGTGCGCTCGTCAACATCTTCTTCTCCAAGTACTTGGATTTGATCAACAAAGTGTGTATCTTTTGGACGGCGGCTAGTGTGCTCATCATCTTGATCGTCCTTTTAACGATGGCGGATAATCGGAGGGATGCGGCGTTTGTTTTTGGGCATTACGATGCGTCGGATAGTGGCTGGTGAGTTGTCTCTCAATTTCATCCAGTGCTGAAATGCTGACTCCCTAGGCCTTCTGGATGGGCTTTCTTCGTCGGTTTGCTGCAGGCAGCTTACACCTTGACGGGGTACGGCATGGTCGCTGCCATGTGTGAAGAAGTGCAGAATCCTCATCGGGAGGTCCCCAAGGCCATCGTCCTGTCGGTCATCGCCGCTGGTTTCACCGGTCTCATCTACCTTATCCCCATTCTCTTCGTTCTGCCAACCGTGAAGGACCTCCTCAGCGTGGCCAGCGGCCAACCAATCGGCCTCATCTTCAAGACAGCAACTGGCTCGGCAGGCGGTGGGTTCGGCTTGCTGTTCCTCATCCTCGGTATTGCCATGTTCGCCGGTATTGGCTCCCTGACGGCGGCCAGTCGGTGCACCTACGCATTCGCCCGCGACGGGGCCATCCCCGGATTCCGCATCTGGCGCAAAGTCAACAAGCGCCTGGACGTGCCCGTCTATGCGATCTTGCTCTCTGCAGCGGTCGACTGCCTTTTGGGCTTGATCTACTTCGGCTCGACCGCGGCCTTCAACTCGTTCACCGGTGTCGCTACGATCTGCCTGTCGACTTCGTACGGTCTTCCCATCTTCATTTCCATGATCCGCGGGCGCCAGGACCTCAAGGAGTCTACTTTCTCTCTCGGAGCCTTCGGGTACGCGATCAACGCGGTCACAGTGTGCTGGATTGTCCTGGCCGTGGTCCTCTTCTGCATGCCCGTCTCTTTGCCGGTGACTGCCAGCTCGATGAACTACGCCAGCGTCGTATTCGCGGGATTTGCGGCGATCAGCATTATTTGGTATGTAGTCTATGCGCGCAAGCATTTCACCGGACCGCCTGCGTCGGCCGAAGAAGTAAGGGCGCAGCCTGTGATGACCGGGAAGGCGGTTGTAGATGCCGAGAATGCATATTCGGATGAATCGATGTCCACGAAGAAGGTGGAGCAATGATCTTGTACTAGTTTCTTTTTGTTATGACCTCTTTTTTTTTGCCTGGTGGAGATGAAAGTATCTATCGAGCACCCATATGTTTCTATATGTATCACCACAATAAAGTTGCAAGTCACATAAAGTGAATTGACGAGGCGCAATTGATCATAAATATTTTTATTTGGCTATAAACTTATTGAAATATTTACTAGGAACGCGGACATGTCAAGTGTCCTGTTGACGATGACGGGGAGCTGTTGGTAGTCATTTGTCAATCACAGGTCCCAGCTGTCAGAGACTCCGAGAGCCGCGGTACAACCTGTTCGGGCAAACATCTAAGCAATCAATCACTCCCCACGACACGATTAGCCAACGCATCCACCCCCGTCTTATCATCCGCCAATTGCACAAAAAAAGGGAGAATACAACATCTGATACAAGAACCTCAATCTCCAATTCCGACCATCATACCCCTTCACCTCCTACTCCAACCACCATCCAATTGCTGTTTGTCGGCGCTGAAATCCGGGGAAGCTTGGGGATCTCGTGCGGTCCGCTCCGATCATCCTCACTAATCAATCAACATTCGCCTCCCTTTTTTTGAACTCAACTACCGACCGGTCCCAGCGCCGTCCGAAGCGGAGGACCGTCTTCAAAGCTGGAGCAACCACCGTTGATACTCGCGCGATACCTCCAGGAGAAGCCACCGCCGGTATACGTCGATCGCAAGCTCCCTGTCAGCTCTCATGAAGGACAGGCTCGGTTCGAGGCTTCGGATCTCACCATGTCGGACTCTGTGGGTATGTACCGGACGCAGGAGCGTCTCTTGTGATGATTGGGGTGCATCAGGGTGCTGATGTGTTTGTCCGCTTGCTTGCTAGATCGAGTCTTCGTCCATGCCCTCAATACCGTCAAACGCATCCCGCGGACGGGCACCGCGAGACCGCCTGCCGCGGAGAGACTGAAGCTTTATGGGTTGTACAAACAGAGCATGGGTAGGCGCTTCTTTGACATGGGGGGATTTGGGTTTCCGTGCGGATAGATAGGCTGATTGATGATTGATACCATAGAGGGCGATGTGGAGGGCGTCATGGACCGACCCGTCGGGAACACCGCAGACGTCTACGCGGAGTGCGAGAAATGGTACGCTGGCCCTTCTGCTTTATTATTTCTTGTCATATCCGGCCGATGCTGATCAGGCGCAGGGACGCATGGTACGCCCAGCGCGGGCTCTCCCGCACGGAGGCCAAACGGCGCTACATCTCCACCCTCATCGACACAATGCATCGCTACGCTTCGCAGACCCCCGAGGCGCGCGAGCTCGTCGCGGAGCTCGAGTTCGTCTGGGACCAGATCAAGTCGAATGCCTCGTCCTCGTCGTCGTCGAGCCCCATGCAGAATGTGGGCGTGCCGCCGCTACCCCAGCCGAACTATGCGAGTATCGGGGCCAGTTGGCCCGTCCGATCTACGAGGATATTATTGCTACCGCGCGGGATAATCACAGTCGGGAGCGGAATCCTGGAGATCCCAGATTGCGTGTCCTCAGCCCAGTAAGTCAGCCTGATGGGCTGTATGAGCGGCGCGGGAACAGGGACGTTGCAGATGAGGAGGCACAAGTACCAGAAGAGGAGGATGAAGAGGACGATGAGGAGGAAGAGTATGAGGAGGCTCAGGATACCATTTATGAGGATGATGACGACAACGACAACAACAACAGCAACAACCAAAGCCAGCAGAACAGCCACAGATTCGATGATGATCCCGACGAAGCGCAGTCCCGAGGGCGAACGCGAGGATTGCAACCAGCGACAGCAGCAGGGGACAAGAATCACCGCGTTGTAAGCTCCGGCGAGCGCGACCGCCGATGGCGACGGAGGGTCGAGCAGGCATTGACCAAGATGACCGCCGAGATCGCCGCGGTGCGTGAGCAGATGGAGGCGCGGGCGCTGGCAAGCCGTCGCCGGTCTGCGATCTGGACCTGGCTGAAGTGGATTGTCTGGGTGACTTTGCGGCAGATCATCTTCGATCTAGCAATCTTGGGCATGGTCCTGATCTGGATGCGGATAAAGGGCGACCGACGACTCGAGGAGAAGCTCAAAGTCGGGTGGTCGGAGGTGAAGACTCGCCTGGCCAAACTCAAGTCCCTGCGACGGTTTCCCGGACTAGATATCGCCTGATTGACCGGGACCGTCGCGTACCTTTCTTTTTCTCTAGTACATATTTGTGTTGAATTTCTTATGTCTCCATCACATGGGTTCTCATCCTGTCAGGCGTGCTGATTTTCTCTCCTTCGTTTTGGACCTTTTCCTTCTTGTATCATTGACGGTTGGATATTCTAAACATACAGGACTTCCTTGAGCAGGTGTCGATGGCTTGAAGTACGCATGCATCCGAGGGGTATACTGTATTCTAATGCATACTAGACGCATCCATTATGTAGCATCAACCTGGAGTACTTCAGAACCATAGTCCTGGAAACCGATTATGCTCCGTAGAAACGAGGTGATAAAACAATTGATCATTCCTGATGCTAATATATACACAGACAAGCCTTTCGATCAGAAACACCGAGATTCCACGATAGAAAGCGAACGAGGAGTGGGAATTAGGAAAAGACATAGATACCCTAATATTGAGGACCGGGGAACTGGGCATACAGCTGCTTGGGCCGCAGATGTACAGGAGTCTGGCCCTCGGGGCTCCAGGGATGGTCTTCTTGAGGCCCTGTTCATTGTCAGCACAGCCCGAATACTGTCTGTCGAAGTTGTAGAGGTGGATTGAGCCGAGAATACGGGGCATACCAGCTTCTCAAAAACACAGCTGTTGAGCTCCATCTCGGGCTTCCGGCACTCCCATAGGTTCTGGTTGTTGTTCTCGAGGCATTCCCAGTGAGCGTTGAACTGCTTCAAGCAGTGGGTGTTGATGTCCTTGATCCTGTGCCACGATATGCCTGATTAGCCTCGGACCGACTCCGGCACGACCAGCATAGAATCTGAACGCAAGCATGACTCGAGGAAAAACGTACACACTCGCCGCACAGCGGGTAACCTTCCGACCCTCCTTCAGACACTCCATCTCTCCCCGGCCATTCGCCTCGGCCTTGCACTTCATGAAATCGTCATTGAAGGCCTTGCAGCGGTCGCCGATAAAGTAGGATGCGCTCAGCAGCGGCGCGGACGTTGCTCCAATCTCCTCCACCTTGGGGATGTCGCTGGGCATCGGGGTGGTGTCCACGAGGACATGTTGGTTGAACCTGGGTGCTTGGTTAGTTTCTCGCCGGGGCTTGCGGGGAAGGGCGTGGAGGGTTCAATTGAAGGCAGGATCGGGCGAGAAACATACTGGGGCTCTCTCCGGGACATCTTGACGGGCTGCCTGGCTGGGGGATATGCTCAATTACAGAGAGACGGGCGGGATTTCGTGAATGGAGTGACCGGTTCAGAACGGACGGAGCTGCGAGTTTGGAAGGGTCGGTTTTTGCGTGTCTCTGATTGGATGCTGTGTAGATTATGTAAGGTGATGCCGTTGTCTGCGAGACTTCAGATGCTGCAGTATGGTCTAGGTGCCTAGGTAACCAGGTATCAATGTGTTCCTGATGAAACCAATGGCATCATACACCTACTATTGTCAATAGTTAATAGCATGTAGCTTAATCAATAATCTCATCTGTCAATTGCTCGCATTGACAAAGTGTTGACTATTTCGCATTGTGTCTGGTCAGGTATAAATCACGTGATACAACCGCGAAAAACAAAGCAGCTCCCAGTGAAGTTGACAAGCTCCAGGTGTTGCTGTCTTTATACACACCGACTTCTTTTGCCGGGCCACTTCTCTTTCCTTACAATGTGGTGCTAAGAGAATATCCTTGATTGATTCCTATATTGAACGCAAAGCAGGCCCGGCGATCCCTCGCTTGTCTGAACCTTCTCAACCCACCTCAGTGTAACCGTTGCTGGAGCTTTGAATCGCATAATTTCCGCCCGCCTTCGCGCTCAATCGCGTTATTTAGTGTCTGCACCAGAGCGCAGCGCTTTCATTTAATCCGTTTCGACATGTCTCTCTTCGGAGGGCAAACCCAGTCAGGTGGTGGACTGTTTGGGTCCGCTACCGCAAATAAACCCAGTCCCTTTGGCGGATTCGGTTCGAGTACGACAGGAACACAGCAGAGCACCGGTGGTGGCTTATTTGGATCGCCACAAACCCAACAGAGCTCTACAGGAGGTGGTCTGTTTGGATCCAATGCGACATCGCAGCCGCAGCAACAGCAACAGCAGCAGACTGGTGGCCTTTTTGGGTCCTCGACGACAAACCAGACTCAGTCCCAGACTGGGGGAGGCTTGTTCGGATCTACAACGCAGCAGAAACCCCAGACTGGTGGTCTCTTTGGCGGTGCTTTAGGCCAGACACAACAACAACAACAACAACAACAGCAGCAGCAGCAGACGACGACCGGCGGTGGAGGATTGTTTGGGTCAACACTTGGGCAGCAGAAGCCACAGGGGGCCAGCTTGTTTGGAGGATTGGGACAGCAGCAGCAGCAGCAGCAGCAGCAACAGCCTCAGCAACAAGGAGGAGGGCTATTCGGAGGCCTGGGAGCTACGACACAACAACAGCAACAACCTCAGCAGCAGAGTTTGTTCGGTGGATCCGTCCTTGGAGGTCAACAGCAGACCCAATTGGGACAAACCACAACACAGCAGCCAGGCTCTAGCCTGTGGTCACCCGGCCGCGCTGTTACAGGAGGTTCGTTTCGGTGGTCAAATTGTGCAGACTTGAGCGCCAGGCTAACTTTACCACAGTACATCGAACTGTACCCATGCAAATAGAAATTGTCAAGAACAAATGGGACACCGGTAGTCGCGCGTCGCCGTTCAGAACCTATCTGTACAATCATGTCGGGGATCAGGCTCCGTTCTACCAGCCTACCGCGGAGGACGACGAGACGAAATGGGAAGAGGCTCTACGCGAAAGACCCGGCTCCGGATATGTGCCCGTGTTGGTGAGAGGGTTTTGGGAGCTCGGCAAGCGAGCGCAGCGACAAAAGGATTTCCTCACAATGGCTCAGACCCGCCTCCATGAGATTAACAACTGTCTCACCGACCTGCTGTCTCGCCATGACCTGAAGATATCCGTCAAGATCGCCGACTGTCGTCGGAAACACCTAGTTCTAAGCAAGCGCTGTCTCGCTTTGGCGGCGAAGACTCAAGTGCTCAGGAACAGAGGCTACGCAATGGACGAGGCAGAGGAAGAGCTTAAGAAGAAGCTCGCACAGCTGGAGCGGTCCGTCTTTAATCCCTCGCTCAACGGGCGGGCTGAGGAAATCTGGGCCCGCATGTTGGCTATCCGGGAACACTCGAAACGCTTGCAGGCGGAGATGGAGAAGGCGGGCGCTTCAACGGCTGCTCAGGGTGAAGAAGAGTTGGACGAGAGTACCATGAAGACTGCAAAGAAGGTTTGTCTACTCCTTTGCATAGCACTGCATTTCAAGCGTCCTTATGGTCAATTGCTAATTCATCCTAGATCTTGGACGATTATCACGCACAAATCACACATCTGCAAAAGGAGTTGGAATCGGTCAAAAAGGACTTTGAAGAGGCACAGAAGTCTCAGGGAACGGCGGATCATTGAGATAGATAGGTTAACGTGATCAAGCGAGCAATGTAAAATTTGGCGCATGGCGTTTCATCCTCGATTCTGGCAATGGTTGTATGTCATGGAGTTACCGATTTATATGGAGCTGATATCCTGCATCGATCTCAGTCGGCCCTAATCTACATGATCCTATCCAATGCGGTTGAACAGAAGCTTTACTTTTTTTCGGTTCGATTTTCTTTGTGCCCGGTAAACCCAAAAATACCCATGTACAATAGTAATACATTATGCTTGGAACTCAAGCAAGACTAATCTCCACCATAAGTCATCGTCGTAACGAGTTGAACGAGCTATCCAACGACATGGAGAAACCGCTATTTAGAGGAACTTCTTGACGAAATCGACGGCGAAGGGAGCTGATACATTGACTGGTTAGCTCCTGCGGCACCTTCGGATAGGAGAGATTCATGAGCACTCACAAAGGTAGAGAAGGATACCGCCGGTGATAGCAGCCCGGACGGTCTGGCTGGCCTGAGCCTCAGCAGCCTGTAGAATTGCAGTTAGCATTTATAGGTGCAACAACGTATATGATGAGGTCGTCTCGAGCAATGCGCATTACGGCGTACAAAGGACGTTCGAGGGGATAAGAGGGGAATTTACTCTAAGCTCCTCCTTGGAAAGCTGTTCTTGACCTGGAGATAGAATGTTAGTAAACGGCTTAAAGCTGGGTAGGACTCGAGTTGACAGATGATTTTGAGGTGCAAAGATGTAGTGTTGACTTACCGGGAGCAAACATTTTGATCTGAGTCTTTTCTATATGAAAGGGAGTATACTGAGAGATAGAGTGGTATACTTGTATCCCGGAGTCAGAAGAATCGATATGCCAACTGCAGAGTCGAAATGCGGACGCACGGACCACGTAGCGGAGGCGGAATTTCTGCTGTTGCTGTTTCTGCTGCGACATCTCCCAAGGCCAGCAATACCAGCCTCCGGATCTTTCACTTTCTCTTCTCTCATTTCCATATTCTGTTGCATCTACTCGTTGAGCTTTGTACTTTCGAGTCTACATTCTCGAAGCTGGTTTCTGCCACTGCTCCGTTACTTCGTCCTCACAACCGAAGGCATCGTGATTGAAAGCGGAGCCGCATCGGGCGCTCCGATACCTACTCTGGTATCATCAGATCAACACATTCAGTCTACAATCACCAACGATAACACACAACATGTCCGACAGCCCAGAAATGCAGTCCGCGTCACCGACCGATTTCGTCGCCGACCACGAGCCCCAGACAGACGTGCCCGAGGAACCAGTGAAGGCCCCGACTCCTGGCGGCGACGAGGACCACAACGAGGAAGCACATGAAGAGGGAGCAGCATCAGCAACACCGGCGGCAGAGTCGGTAGCCGACGCTCATGAAGATGATCCGGCCGACAAAGAGGACACAGGGGTCGATTCTGACGAGGAGTCTATTCTTTCTGAAGTAGATGAGGCGCAGTTCGAGGACTTTGATCCTGAAAATGTCGACATCGAAGATCGTCCACAGCTTGCGATCGACGAGGATAACCTCAAGTTAATTGGTCGCCATAAACGCAAGCGGACGGAGGAAGATGGTCAACAGGCGAAGCGGAAGAGGGAAGGGCGCAGAGAGAAGAGGAACCGTCGGAGGGATATGGAAGAAGGTGCGGACGAGGGCGAAGATAAGTCCCGTCGCAGAGATCGAAAGAAGAGAGACGCCACTCCTGAAGATGAGGAGTTGCTGGACCCTGCTACACGTATGTCGTCTTTGGTATCTTGAGGGTGAAAGGGTGAAACAAACACTGACACTATGGACGAATAGGTCGTCGCCGAGCTCTCGATCGTGCTATGGATGAAGCTTTGAAGAAACCCACAAAGAGACGCTTCCGGAAGGCGGATGGCATCGTATGTTTATACTTCTCGAACTTACGAGATCAGGATAGGGTAGCTAACTGAGTACACAGGATCTGGAGCAAATGGCCGATGCTGAAATTGAGGACATGCGCAAGAGAATGACACATGCTGCCCAGATGGACGCCAACAATCGACGCGAAGGCCGTCCCGCCATGCACAAGCTGAAGATGTTGCCGGAGGTGGTGTCGCTCCTTAACCGTAACCAATACGTCAACAGTCTCGTCGATCCTGAAATCAATCTTCTTGAGGCCGTCAAATTCTTCCTTGAACCTCTCGACGACGGATCGCTGCCGGCCTACAACATCCAACGCGACTTGATGACCGCATTGGGCAAACTCCCCATCAACAAGGAGACATTGATCGCTAGTGGAATTGGCAAGGTGATTGTGTTTTATACCAGGAGCAAGCGTCCCGAGCCTGGCATCAAACGTATGGCTGAGCGGCTGCTCGCCGAATGGACTCGCCCCATCTTACAGCGCAGCGACGACTACTCGAAGCGGGTCTACCAGGAGGCTGAATATGATCCCAGGTATGACATCTTCTGTTCTTGTTCATAATTACTGCGGTCCGCATGCTCACAAATACTACAGGAAACTCACCACTCGTACCACATCTGCTCAGGCGAGCGTTGCAGAAGCTCGTTCTCGAGAACTCCTTCCTCCCCGGTTGGCGAACCGTGCCCGTGCCGAGATTACCCATACCAGTTACACTATTGTTCCCCGCCCAACTGTGGTGCAGGAGAGCAAGTTTGCACGTCCATTAGGAGCCAGCGGAGAGGATCGATTCCGGAGAATGCGGGCCCGACAGATCGCTGCGTCGAAGGGGTCGCGACGCTAAATTCGGAAGCAGATCCGTTGGCGTCTCACCTTACTATTTTCTTGTATCTGCTCTGGTCATTTTATTGTTCTCCCAGTACGAGCGTGAGACGGTTGGAACGACGGAATCATCTTTCTCTGACACAATTTCTATTTTTCTGGTCACTGGTTTTTATGTTCGCGAACGGCGCCTTTGGAATGGATTAGTTATTGATTACTTATTCTACTCTATGTGTACTAGACAAGTCCTTGGGTGGTGTCGGGTTCATAGGAAACAATCATGCCATCCGGAGTTGGAGCAAAAGCAGAGCTTTTCATTGGTCCCGTACCCGATTAGCAGATTCTACTCTGGTGTGTCTCGTGCGAGAAGACAAACTACTGTGAGTGTTAATAATCAGCGACCGCCTGGAAGCTTGAAGGCATTCCCGAGCAATCGCCGATCCGGCAGAGAAGCAGATCCCGCCCGCTCGTGGACATTTATTGTACGTCACCCGGCCTATGCTGCTCGGTTCGGTCTTTGTATTCGTTCTGACCTCATTTTGCCCTCATCCGAATTTTTCCCTGGTCTATATTATCTTCTCTCAATCCATTCTCACCTCAATCCTGCAATTGATACATAGAATCATCATTAACTTCACTTTCTGCCCCCGTCCATACATACCTACCATACACACTAAAATTCTAATACCGTCACCATGAAGATCCTTAGCAAGGAAGAAGAAGACGCTCACTACAGGTACGTACACGCAATATTCTTCTAGGCGATCGCCTACTCAAAACTATCAGACCGAATTGAACGGTTTACTAACTTGATTTATCAGAGAGGTCCTAAAGGGCGGCACCCTCGGCGGCGTAGTCGGTCTCGTCGGCGGAGTCGCAGGCGTGATGGCCGCCTCACGACGCTACGCCACCATCCGCAACCTCACCCTCCCCATGAAGTCCTTCCTGGTAACCTCCTCGGGAACCTTCTTCGGCATCATCGCCGCCGACCACGCCTCGCGCTCCTTCGAAGCCTCCCGCAACGTCGAACGCCAATGGTACGAGTCCCGCGAGGAGCGCCTCCGCCAGGAGGAGCTGGCGGGCATGAGCTTCGTCGACCGCATGACGGCCTTTGCGCGCCGCGAGAAGTACAAGATCGTCGGCGCCACGTGGGTCGCCAGCATGATCGGCTCGTTTGCCATGGTCAGCCGCAACCCGTACCTGACCGGTTCGCAGAAGATCGTGCAGGCGCGTGTGTATGCGCAGGGTCTGACGCTCGCTGTGCTGGTTGCGTCGGCGGCGTTTGAGATCTCGGATCAGAGGAAGGGTAGGGGGTTGCTGGATGCTGCGAAGAAGGGGAAGAAGACCGCCGGGGAGAAGGAGGCGGCGCCGACTCCGACGGCGGCTGCGGTGCATGATCCGCAGAGCGGCGATCTGTGGAAGGATATGGTTGCTGCTGAGGAGGAGCGGTTGAAGCAGAAGCATCAGTCGCTGTATGAGAAGCCTCATGAGCATCAACATGACGTGAGTGCGCAGGCTGCGCCGGCGCCGACGGAAGAGAAGAAGGAGGAGAAGGAGGAAAAGAAGTGAATTGTCTCTTCGTGGATTTCTGTTTGGTGGAGCTACTTGAAGCGTGGGGCCCTGGTCTTTCTTTAACTCATTAGACTTCCTGTCCTGCTTTGTTCTCTTCTTTGCATCTTGTGTGGGGGATATGGCGTCTAGATTTTTTCAAAACTTTCCATGTTTGATACATGGTCGTGTATAATGGTGATGTACAGCATATGTTCAATCAATCTCATCTCTTTCAGTCTTTTCTTTTTCATTTTCCATCCATGTTCGGGCTACGAATGATGTCCATCTCAACATGACAGTGTACTATGCAATCGAGTGTTCGACATAAAGATCATTACATTTCAATTATTTCGCATGTCCTGCATACCTAGTAGATGTACATACCAAGTTTGGTAGTACAATAGAAAAAGCCCCAGCTCCACGCTAGCATTCCTCCCTTCACTCAAACTCCGTAAGTCAAGTAGCGTCTACGCCTCCGGGTCAATCTTCTCATTTCGAGCACCGGGATTGGGACCCAGGTACGCCGAAGCCTCGAGATTGTTGAGTCGATCCTCCTCCTTGTCCAGCGAATAGTGGGTCAGGTAGAAGAGGTTACCAGCAACGAACGCCAGAACGGCCACGAATCCATAGTTCCAGATCAGCAGCGGGTCGGTTGACAAGGCAGTAAGTCCTTGCTGGATAGCAGACGAGATCGCGTTCATAAAGAGGAAAATCGATTGGACTGTAACAACAGATTAGTGATGGAGCTGGTCACTGACCCTGAGCGACGACGTACCTAAACTCTTCATGTTCTTGGGAGCCTTCGTGAATGCATACTCATAACCTGTGATGGAGGTAAAGATTTCCGAGAAAGCGATCAGGACATACGGCAGAGTCTGAACCCACACGTTGATTGGTGCCGGTTTGTCACAGTCGCTGGGGTGGTCGCCACATGGGCTCATCTTGTAGATGTAGTATTGCGTGACGGCAGCCGCTATCATGGACATGGAGGCAAGGAAGTAGCCAACATAGATCTTCTTGAGTGGGGTGAAGTTGAATCCCATCCTGCGGATGCCGGGGTAGATGAACTGATCCATGATGGGAATGAAGATGATCAATGCAAGAGGGTCCAGGTTATTGATCAAGTCGTTAGGAACACCGTTCAGCTCCATCGTGGCTGCCTGCGAGGTCAGATTGTTGGTCATCTGCCCATAAGCCAACCCTATATATCTCGGTTAAGTCCTGTTCACGACGTTTGTAATGTGGAGATGCATACAGTAGACAGGATACCAGAGGAAAACAGCACACGCTTTGACAGCTCTGCGTACTTCATCGACCCACTGGTCATCAAAGGTCATCCACTCTGGTTTATTTTGAACCCTGCTGGGCTTCACTCTCTCCCAGAAGTCGGGAGACTGGCAATTCCGCACGCTACGAAGGAACTGTCAGTACGAAGAGAGATCGACATGAAGTGAGGACCACTAACAATCTCACGGGATTCCATGACCAGCGGCCCTTTAGAGCAAAAGCCCAGAGCTTGAATGCTTTCACGGAGACCGAGCCGGTAGCGGGTGTGACCTCGTACTTGTTGCGGCATGCAAAGATCACAAGAGGGCAGAACGCAAACATGATGGTTGGGAGAAGGAATGCAAGCCAGAATCCCACGTATTTCTCGGCATACACCATGGCGATTGAGCCGACCAAGGCGCCGACGTTGATCATGAAGTAGAAGTACAGGAAAATTCGAGTGACCGTTTGAGCAGGGTCCACAATGACACGCTCGCCTGTCTTGGGCATCACCTTGATGAAGGACCTTGTTTCCTTGTGCTGTTCAGCAATCAGAGGCGCAATGTTTGACCTGTTGCATGTGTGTTAGCGCATTCTCTCACATCTACATCAAGGAGACGGGTATCTGTACTTGAAACCTCCGACACCAACTCCAAAGATGACCAGACCGACGGCGAAGCATCCCAGAGCGCCATGTGGATGCGCGATAACGGATGGCAAGGCGGATATAATCAGGATGATGTGTCCAACCATCGCGAAGGCGATTGAAACCTGAATGGTCTTTAGCCGTCCCCAGAACTCGTCGGCGATGTAAGCACCCAGAATAGGCATCAAGTAACACCAGAATGTATTGACTATGGCAAGTGTCAGGCATAGACAGATGGTAAACGCTTTAGAGGCAAAATACTCACAAGTTGTCAGACCAGTAGACGCTCTTTGACCCATGCCTAGGGCACCAGACTGTCCACTGTGACCAGCTCCAGTGCTCGAACCATCGGGGAGAGGCTGCTGAATGAAGTTGACGACTGCGATAAGGTGAGCTTTCTCCATTAGGTAGAGTCTGAGAAGGGCTCAATACTGACAGACAGCAGTGGTTCCATAGTAGGAGAAACGCTCGCAGAGTTCGACAAAGGCGATCGTGTACGCAGTCCAATGAACCTTGCCAGCGACGCGACGAAGAGTGTGTTCTTCCTCTTCAGTCGGAATTTCACGGCCTTGATCATCAAGTCTACGAGCTGTAGCAACCACCGTAGTCTCGTGTTCTTTGACTGGCGCGAGGTCCAGAGACTGCTTGGGGACGTGAGCCTGAGCCACGACCACCAAGTCGGCCGCGTCAACAGGATCGCTCATGACTGCAAGTGGATGATACAAGGCTCAAAGACTGTAGAGAGGAGGATGGAAGAAGACAGAGGGAACGGAAAGGAAAGGAAAGGGGGAAGGGTTCGCACGTGGAAGAGAAAGAAAGCCAACACGCGCAGGGAGAGTGAAGCATAAATAAGAGCAAGGTATGAAGAGCAGAAACAAGCGTGGAGGGAGGGGAAGAGAAGAAAAAGAAGGGTGGGAACAACAACAATATCGCACCAGTCCAGGTGTCTATCGCTGGTCCAGTACTCTATCGTCTTTCACTGTCTTGATGTCGCTCGCCAGCTATCCACTTCGACCGCTTGAACTCAGCACTAATGGGCCCGTTCTTCTCCTCTTGACTAAGCTCATCGCACATTAACTAACTATTCCATTCAACTCCCTGCCCAATAGAAGAGTCCTCGAAGGGCGGACATTTCCAGACCGACCTCGACTCTCCAGGTAGACTCGGAGATATCGTGCAGGCTGGGATTGCGACTGGCTACTTCGTATCACAAAGTTTGTGAGACTACGAATTGATATCCGCCCCCTGCTGCTCATGTGGATGAGTTTCTAGCGCCAATCTAGATGAGTGCAGTCTAAAAGTGATCCTTGAAACTCATGGCAGTGGTGGCACATGTTTTGTAAGTTATTGGCCCCTCGTGGTCTTCTGTCCGCACTTCCAACACGAAAGAGGCTGACTATTGGATACGCATCGCGACCCTGGACGACCCCACGAAACTCAATTGGATTGCGAGGACAGGTAAAATGAATATTGAGTGATAAGAAGGGTCATCGTTCCTTGTTAGTCCCTCCAACCAATCACTGCATTGACGCAGACCGCGAATAGGTGGAGTCACAGAATGGCAAACGCCATTACCCTTGGCATCCGGCAAGAGTACCAAGCTTAGCCTTGGACTCGGACGTCCAGGTGATAAACTTCCTCGTTGAGGCTGGTACGTCTTCGTCGCAGACAAAGGGGGAAACATGCAAAGGTACAGTGGCTAATTCTTTCCCCGCACAAGCCCTCAGTTTTCGCCGATCTGACCTCGACACTCGACACAGGGACATTACTCGTTCCCATCGCTCGTACACAGTATATTACCCTCCAAATCCCAGTTCGGCGATTTGCTCCGCGCCGCATGTCTTTCGATATAGGCTGGGAAGAGCTGAGTGATTGCATGAAGATCCAGGCGGATGCGGAATAGCGAAGCTCTCCTGAGACTTTTCCATCTACACGTCGAAAGGAATGCGATACTGTGGCACCTCCTCCAGGGGTCATTAGGCCAGCGAACATGTCGTAACACGTTGTTTTGGTGAGGTTACATCGTAGTCAAACCTTCAAGATAATGGCCTGTTCAGGTCTTTCTGACTGGTCCGCTTATAAACGGGGCCATCTGTACCACCAAGGACAAGTGAACGCGGCTGAATGATACATTCAATGTTAATAACGGGGTTGCAAATGGCAACCAATACAGAGTTTGACACGAAATCCGAAGTTGGCAGCTTGACGCAAATCACGCGATATCACACCACAGTTCGCACTGATAACGCTAAGTAAAAGCGGCCAATAATAAGGTTTGCCGGCTTCAGGAGGCCCAGGCGGAGCTACGTCGGTAGCAACGCGAAGCCTTTTCCAAGCCATCTGGCCGTCTCGGCAGTGGAGCTTGCGCTTGTCCACCTCCAGCAGAGAGATTCCTTGTCTTCCTGACTGTCCTCGCAACCTCGGACAAGCCCGACGCCACGAGACTATGCAATATGCTTGTGGGAATGTGGGTCTTATCTCCCCACTCCTACATAGAATAAGACCGTCCTTGCCCACATTATTCCTATCTTTCCAAAGAGCGGTTGCGATAACAAGAGCCACGTGCAGTCGGACAGACCTCATGTGCGACTGTTAGGTACTGATGTGGCAGATGATATCACAACGAGGAAGATTAAACAACCGAGTAGAATGGTATAAAGAGACAGCGTGTGCTGATGCGGAGGCAAACTGTCCATGATAAGCAATAATATATTACCGAATCGGCCACAGGCGGGCACCATCTTCCTCGTGAGATAACGTCCACGGCCATCGTTGGCTCAAAGATAGGTGCAAGCTTGAACATGGACTTGCGAGTGATGCTATATCTATTGATCTGCCATATTGTTGTACAACTTGTACTACCGGGAAGAATAGTGGCTAAGTAGATCCAGGCTTTTCTGGGTTTTAGCAACCTCTCAGGTATAGCTTTCTCAGATGCGGATTTTTGGGAGACTGGTTCATGTTATGAATGGACAAGCGATCCAGGGGCATCCATACCCCCGAGCATCGACTGCTGCTCCTTGTCTTCCCATGCATCTGGCTGTTGTAGCACTGATACTTTATGACACTGCGGACGACGTTACCACTTGGGGAGGCCCTTCAAGGGATGCATTCGCTTCCAGGTCACATCACCTTACTGGCATTGTTCATGTCATCCTTTACAGGAACTGCGATCTCAAACATAGCACGTATTCGCGACACTATACTACTACTGTAATCGCTAGTGGAGCCGTAGACTCACCGGAAGTAGAGATCTTATTAACGGAACATAGGTGTATTATCATCAGAGCACACGCTGCATTTAGCTAATTCGAGCAATGATATACGCTGCAGAGTGGTTACTCAATTCGACACTTCAAACTCCAGCAGCTTGTTTATAAAGTCACGAGACTCTGATTTCCTCGATGCCTGCCTACTCCGTACATCCTACAACCCCATCGCAAACACAACCCAACCATGCTCCATATCGCTCCCTACTTGATGGTTTCATTATGGAAAACGGAGCTTGGACTCCTTGCAGATTTATGGAGCCATTGTCTGCAATCCGAAGCGCTGCAGCTTCAGAATCACTTGCAGACAGAGCAGCCAAGAGTCTAAATTAGCAGTAAAACTCGTGCATAAGTGCCGTCTGTGTAGCCAATAAGCCACGCTGTTAAATATGGAGGCTGAGCAAGACCCTTCAGCCCCCATTTCTGTCAAAGAAAACAGATGGGAGCTAAGGAACTTAATTCACCAAATCCTTATGTTCTCACAGGACTCAGTCGAGCAAATATGAGAAATAATGGTGGTAGCGACATCACATCTCGCCCTTAATGATGAGGAGATCCACCAGTTAATGCACGCTGCTCAACACGGGGACGTTATCCAGCTTAGATCGCTTCTTCATGGCGCATCCCCCGACATCAGAGACAGTACGGGCCGAACCGCCTTCTCCTGGGCGGCTTCGTACGATTTGACCCAATCACCGAAGGCATACAACAATCGCAGCCTTGTGTTGCAATGCCTCCTCGACCGAGGGGCTAACCCTGATCTTGCGGATCACCATGGTGAAACCCCGCTTCATTGGGCTGTCAAAGGGGGCGACTACCGCATGGTCGATTTGCTACTGCAGGAAAATGTCGAGTCGGACTTGCCAGACTCGCGAGGCCGCACGCCATTGTCGAGGGCGGCGGAGCGAGGTTATGATCATGTGGTCGAGGTCTTATTAACCAAAGGTAAAGCTGACGCGGATTATAAAGATGCACGAGGTCGGACGCCACTATCGTGGGCTGCGGAGAATTGGCATCTGGAGACAGCAACCATTCTGGTGAATCATGGCGCCAGCGTGGACATTCACGATAGAGAGGGACAGTTACCCTTATGGTGGTTTATCAGTAACGCAGTCAAGCGAACCGCGATGGAGCAGCAGCTTCAGTCCGGGCAAGAGGACTATCTTCAACAATGGCTCACTTTATTGGGGCCCAAGCATGGCGTCGAGCCTATGACGAAAGCTCGGAGAACGTTCCTCTCCTGGGCCTGCGAGAAAGGCGATCAAGAACTTGTTAAGCATCTGTTGCAGACCATCTGGGCTGACCCTAACTCCATCGACCGATATAGGAAGACACCCTTGATCTATGCGCTAGAATGGAACCACTACGATATTGCAGACATGCTGATCTCTGGGGTTAAGGCGGGGACAATCTTAAAAAGGGACATTGTCTCCCTGCGCATTATGATCCAAGAAGGTCGTTCTCGTCTGCTCAAGCCCTTTCTTGAGAGATACAAGCCGAGCCTAGAAAAGGAAGACGAATACAACACTATTCCTCTCATGAGGATAGCGCTGCAGCAGGCCGATCGCGCAACGGTAGCAGTCCTCCTAGAGCACCAAGCCAGTATTCAAGGCCTTGAGAACGTGGACTGGTTCGGTCCTTGCAGCACCGTCAAGTCGTCAGCAGACTTGGTTTTCCTGAACGATATGCGCACGGGACACGGCCACAATGCAATCCCTTTGATGAAGATGGCCATAGGGGAGGGCGACCGTGCGGCAGTGGCGGCATTATTGGATCAACGTGAAAGAATACTCAGGATTAAAGAACAAGAAAACGATGATGACAGCGATCTCGGACAGCGCAGCAGGGAGGTCACTGCATTGGCTGTCGACATTGCCGTTGTCCGTAATGGAATCAAGACAGCGCAGTGGCTTATTCAAGGCGCATTGGAGACGCATATCAGAAATATGCCGAAGACGGCAGACGAAACCCATCTGATGTACGTTTGATCCCTTGGACCTCTTTCGTTCGCTGTTCTGACCAGACAGGCTCTTCCGGGAGAATCAACTGTGGAAAACTTACCTGCAGATAGGCCATTCGCCAAACGAGCTGAGGTTCTCTCTGGGGAACAAAAGCCCCTGCAGGACATTTACCTTGTCCATTCAAATGAATCTGACAATGTCTCATACATTTCCTGGCGGTCACAACGACGGGAACTTCCGCAGCTATGAGAATGGTACCTTCCGAACAATTGAATGGGCTGTCCTGGAAGTCCCTCCGAAAGCCATACATTACTTCAGCAATCTGCCGTTCGGCTGGGTTCCCAAGAATGACTTGGAGTTCATTCAGCTATTCATGCAGACGTGGAGAGAAGACTGGATGCATTTCTGTCGAGACGCCAGAAGTGTTCTGAGTCGCCTTGTATGTATATTCGTGTTCTTCATTCGATGAGCCGTGCACTCTCAAGAAACGACGCTGACAAGCTAGCGCTCCCATCAACTGACCGCTCGAGGCAAAGATGACCTCTTGATCGACGCAGTTGCCGAGAATATGCAGCAGTGGACCCGACTTCAGGGAACGCTGGAGGAACAGCTCAGCCAGGCGCGTCACTTTGTCTCACAATATCAACGCTACAGCGAAACTCGTCGGTTCAGTGAACAAATGCACCAGACCATCGACGCCGTGGAGCGAGACATCCAAAACCAAGTGGATAAACTAGAACAGACCATGCGAGATCTATTACAGATAGCAAGTTTATATCAGCCCTATCACGTCCAGCTTCAGAACTAACGGTTTGGTCTGGGTAGGAGTTCGCCTGGGTCTCTATCAACGAAGCGCATCGGTCGACCAGCTTGGCAACGAGTCTGAAGCGGATCAGCTGGATTACTGTACGTGTGGCCAAGCAACCGGCCCTCCTGTGTTCTATTCATTGACTGATGATAGTTCGTCTTTCTCCCTCTTACGTTCGCATCCGTAAGTTTTCAGACATTGCTCCGCTGTAGCTGTCTAATCCTCGCAGACCCTGTTCGGAATGAACGTGGATCTACTGAAAGACGATCCGTCCTGGAGATGGTACCCGCTCGTTGGCGGGGTATTGTTACTCTTGACGGTCATTGCATGGCTGTTGTCCAAGTTCACCAACGTGGGAATCTGTTGTCCCACTCTGAGCGTACAGACTGCTGACGAGCTCCAGATTGAAATGTGGGCTGAGCGCAAAGCGGAACTGATAATGAAAAGGTCCAGGCGACGACGAGTCGACAAGGACTTGTATCTGCTATGATCAGCGGTTTTCCCTAGTTAACACTAGTTACGACCCCCTGATACGAGGATACATTTACACTACCGAATGAATCAGGAGTTGAAGGGAGGTCAGTGGACGGCAAACCTAGGCTTCTCGCCACTATCGCCCATTGCGTGTAGGTACCCGGATACTCTGTACTTCAAGCCCCCGTCCGCATCGTTGTCCAACAAGCTATATGCTGAAATGCCAAGACAATTACAAGTTTTGTTTGATTGTAATTACTGATAAGAGATACGTGTATCAAGGGAAGTTCTGGAGACAATTTTGCATCTTGGCTCCTGTAGAGGCTATGATGTCATGTTGATGTTGTTGAAGCACAAGCAGGCCCTGGCATCAACGGCGAAAGGATGCAAATCCCGAGCCAATTTCTGAAGTAGAATTTCGAGCAGTACAGCATTGTCTGTGATTGCCATTGTATATATAGTATGGACCAATGTAGGGTAATCCCCTCGGTGTAAATATTGCAAAATACACTACCACACTTGGTCAACCTCTCGCCCCTATAATCCTACGTCCTCTACTGCGGATAGACCAAGATGGCTTCTAGATACCACTCAGCTCCTGTCGATGTCGCCCCGCTGGGCAAGCCATTACAATTCACAATTAGCAAACGCACGGCACCCAACCGGTTCTACAAAGCCGCCATGACCGAGCGGATGTCCTCCTGGTCACCCACCGATCTCAAGACACGCGGTATCCCCAGCCGGGAGTTGATCAACCTCTACAAGCGATGGGGTGAAGGCGGTTACGGACTCATCTCTACTGGTAACATCATGCTCGCTTACGACCAGCTGGAAGCCCCCGGCAACCCCATCATCGACCTGGAAAATCCCTTCCACGGGGAACGCTTCGACGCCTTCCGCGAGCTGGCCTCGCAAGCCAAGAAACACGGCAGCCTGGTCATCGGCCAGGTCAGTCATCCGGGCCGGTAAACAGAGGAAAGACTGCAGGCCAACCCTGTCTCCGCCAGCGATGTTCAACTCGACAAGGAGATCATGGGGATGCGGTTCGCGAAGCCGCACGCTGCGTCCAAGGACGAGATCCAGGACTTCATTCGGCAGTGGACGCATGCCGCCGTGTACCTGCACAAGGCTGGCTATGATGGTATCCAGCTGCACGGCGCGCATGGGTATCTCCTCGCACAGTTCCTGTCGCAGACGACGAATCGCCGCACCGATGAGTATGGCGGGAGTCTGGAGAACCGCGCGCGGCTGATTGTGGAGATCGCGCAGTCTATTCGGAAGGAGCTACCAGCGTCGACTGGTTTCATCTTGGGCATCAAGATCAACTCGGTTGAGTTTCAGGCTGGAGGTATCACCGCGGAAGAAGCGCGTGAGCTGTCCCAGATTTTGAAGAAGAATGAGTTTGATTTTGTTGAGTTGTCAGGAGGCACGTATGAGTCTCTTGCGTTCAGCCACAAGAGGGAGTCTACGAAGCAGCGGGAGTCGTTCTTTTTGGATTTCGCGTCCCTAATTACGCCAGTTCTGAGCAAGACGAAGAGCTACGTGACCGGTGGCTTGCGTACGGCGTCCGGTATGGTAGGCGCTTTGGAGACAGTGGACGGGGTTGGACTCGCGCGACCTGCGTGCCAGGAAATTCGTTTGCCACGCGACATCCTGGATGGAAAAGTGACCGCAGCCACCAACCCAAAGATTGACCAGCAGGATTTCGGAGTCACCAGCGTTGCGGCGGGTACACAAATGAAGCAAGTGGGCAAGGATGAGCAGCCGATCGACTTGAGCGATGAGAAGAACGTGGAAATGTTCATGAAGCACCTAGCTGAATGGAGCCAGAAGATGCAGCAGGACGCGGCTATCATGAACCTGTACGGCTATGTCGATCTACCCAAGGGTGAAGCATATAGAGGATAGACCCAGGTACCTAGAGACTGTCAAACAGCCAATAGTAAATCAAAACAAGGAGTACCTTGAGGCAAACAATATCTACCAATCAACCCGAGGCACGCAAGAATAAGCGAGCCACGGCTGCTAGCGTTGCACGGGCCACCACGCCTTCAATATAAATACTCCTTCCACCCCCGTCTCTTTAGACTTTTTTTTCTTTTCTTTTCCAGCTCTCTTTGCCTTTTGGCTTAGATCAAGTGTAGTATCTGTTCTTTTCAGTTTAATCTCTGAAAGTGTTCTAAGGAACACAACTTTGATTAATCTCATTTTTGGACCCCGTGGCGAGGCCTCTGTGCTTGCGCATGCTTTGCCACACAGTGTCATTGGGCTCACACTACCCCAATAGACGCGACCCTTTTCATCAATCCGGCCGGCCTGACCGACTGGTTGGAGAAGAGGTTTTTAGCGATGAGGATAAGATGATGGGTGATAGAAATTTTGAGTGTTTACAATATTGTTCAAAAAAACTCTACCCAAGGACATACAAATTGTTCCGGATCTCTGTATCATAAGGTGTAGGACCTGTCAGGTCTCACAGCTTCTTCCAGAACGCATGGCTCGTGCATTCTTACAGCAGGTTCCACGCGTCGCTCGAATATGCAAACTGAACTACACTCAACCAGCAGCTGCTCTCTGCCGTTACCAAGCAGGCTCAGGTACCATAAACCTCCACCGGTGTGAGGCAATTGCTAAGAGCAGAGCTCCGTTGAGGTGAGCTCAAACCTACCAGCTAGTCGATCCCTTATCTCGAAAAGGAAGTCGAAGGATTAAATTCCCAGAGTTCTGGCCAAAACACGTTTCTGCATTCTCAATAAACCATCGATCTCATGTCTCTAGCCTAGTGGTGTCACCAATCATTCGCGCAAGCCACTTCTCCAATTCAATAGGTCTGGCCATCGTGATAAGGCTGTCCAATGGAAGGATAGAGCTGTCGATCCAGCTACTGGGTAAAGTACGATAGAATATACATCCAATGGGATCACCCTGAAGTAACTATTTCTATAAACTTTAGTAAATGCCTAGGAGCTTTCTATGGTTCTTCTTCCTTTTTAGGAACGGATAAAGGCCAGGACATATAAGGGGAATGATGAATTCGGTCCTTACTTCTAATACAATCGATTCGGGAGATCAGCAAGATACAATATTATCCCTGAGGGTGGTCCTCAGGCATCTGTAGGCTAGGACATCTAAACTAAGGCATCTAATCCTTACGGATTAGTAGACTGAGACATAGATTTCTGCTTATAGATTTATAGACTAAGACATGGCTGTAAGACTCCTAGCGGTGCGCATACGCTGAAGACGATTTCATGCAGTGTCATGATAGAGTGTCGGTTGCATATAATCATGTTCTGGGCTGATGATTGGGAGTTATCATTGTCGTGAGGTTGTGTATAGTAGCTACCCAGAACAGGCCTCCTTTCTTGAAGACATACCGGACCCATGTCACGCGATATCAACAAAACGCAAGTACATCTACACACCTACTAGAAGGATTCCATAGTTAGATCAATAGTAAAAGTTACATTAAACTTCTGAAGGAATTGTTGAGGCCCATGTGCGCGGATATGCACCCCTGAGCGTGCTTACCCTAATCAGAGGAGTTTGGTTGAACTACTTCAACGAGATATTAAGGATCAGGATCAAGACGCTACTATAAATTCGATAGCCAGCGCAAGACAGAGAAGTCATATGAACCCCTGGGTTATCCTCCTACTTTCAATCAAGTCCTCCCTCCCCGATATACCTCAGCTGAACTAAATATGAAGCTCTCAATTGCTCTTCCGCTTGCCGTGCTGGTAACGCTCGTCGCTGGCCAAAGCGAAAGCATACCACCCTGTCTGGTATGTTCTAGACATATTCCCCACAAAACAGTCATACTGATTGAAGATGTGTAGAGAGCATGACTCGATACAGTGCAAATACAGCAATCTCAATTATGTCTGTCACACTCCGAGTTACCAGACTACAGTGCAAAATTGGTTGAATGCGCAGCGTTGTAAGAAGGATAACGCCTGTACGTATGATCCAGTGAAGAGGTCCTCAATGGATTATTAACGGGTGGTCTCTAGATGGTCAGAACATGCGGGCGAAGTACTGTCATTAGAGGAGGGATCGGCACCCGATGAAATGGATCATTCTGCCTTGTCGTTGAGTCTTGCAAGTGAGTTTTATCTGGCGATTGAAGCACGATATCTTCATTATGAAGTGTGATCTTAGCTCTGGATTCGGATCTCATCTATAACTCTTGAGATGTCAGGCAACTGGGCCTGATCGCACATATGGTTGTATAGTATCTGCGAGTTGCCGTCTATAAGCTAACGTAATATCTAATTCTCGTTAGCGCCAAGTCCAGCCTATATAACATGAATTAATATCTAGTAAGCCAGAAAAAAAAGAACAAAATCACCGCCCCCATTAGCTCATACGACTGCTAACGCTGCCACTCTTCGTACAGCCTAGCATCCATCGTTGAATATCCTTCTATGACTTTCAACCCACGCAGCCGTTCCTGCTCAATCCGCTCCCATGTCCACTCGTTCGAGTCCCACGACGCAGAGTTGCTCTTCTTTTCCGCCTCCAGCGACTTCGGTTCCGGCATGTCCTCCTCCCGTAACTTCAGCACTTCCCGCACTAAAGACCCGTCTACACCCGAAGCACTAGCCGTGAGACCCTCTCCATTGACCGGTGTCCCCACGCCCGATGCCTCATTCGAGGCAGTCACCTCAGGTGCGGCAGACCCCTCCGGCCGCGGAGGCAGGAAGCCACTGGCCCGCAGGACTCTCTCCGGCGGCACGGTCAGCCGACCCTTCTTGACGACATACTTGCTCAGCGCAGTCGCAAAGAGCGTCTTCTCGCCGCCTTTCCGGCTCGCGGGTCGGAAAAAGAACGTCATAACGTACATCCACTTCTGGTCCCAGGCGATAACCTTGGTCTCCATCTCGTACAACTCAAAGGGCTTGATCTCCCGCTTGAAGCTGCAGTAGACCGAGCCCAGGGCCACATAAATGCCCTTGCGCTTGGGTGGCTTCGCGCCGTCCCGCTGGCTGGCTTTGAGGAGCTCCGCGTCGAGTTCCTTGCTCACGATTGAAGCTCCGGGGCTGTATAGACGGGTGACCAGGGCCGTGCGGGCCACGTCCAGGTCGGAGAAGTACGTGCTGTTGGACTTGTGCTGGTTGTAATCCGTTTCCAGGATTGGAGCTCGGGATGAGATGCCGTACGACACGAATACCGGATGCGTCGGCTTCCCGCTGTGAGTGACTAGTGGTGTCCCCTTGGGGAAATAGGGATCCTGGACACGCCATCGGATGTTTCCCCAGAAGTGATATAAAATACGGGCCTACTTGAATCAGACCGACCCTCCAATAAGGCTAAGAGTAATCTGGAGCACTTACGTGCCAAATGAGCGGCATGTTCTTCAAGTTAATGATTGCTAGCAGCAGAGCTAGCGCCTTCCATGAGATTAGGGGTGAGATGGCTGAGAGCAGCTCGCGCACGCTTTCGAGGCGCAAAGATGACAGCGCGTTCGCCATGATGGTCTTAATGAAGCAACCAAGTAGAATAAATCAAAATAAAATTATCTTCGAAGGAGATTAGCTGGCGAGGGTGTATTAGGTTAGAATGAAGTAATGACTGCAACAAGCGGATGGCCGATTAAGATCAAGGGGCTATAATCAATGCCAGATTGATTAGAGTACGCGTTTCAGGGAGACGGAGCCGAAGGAGTGACTATCATTATGCAAGGTATTAAAATGAGTGCAAAGTACGTCTTACGGATCTGCGGAAACTCGAGAAGCGACGGTGACTGTTGAATCGACCAGAAGTGTTGGGAGCCGAGGTGTTGATAACAATCACGTGGGATTAGATAGATAAGCCGTGGAACGGTGCTCCAGAACATCGTTAATATTATTGGACGTCTAAGGTAAAAATAGATATTCAATTTCTCCAAAGGCAATGCATCAGAAAATTGCCATGCAATTAGGGGGCTCGAAACACCCCGAGCACAGTTCAGCGGACTACTCGACACGAAGAAAGTCCACCTGCCCAACCTCTTACATGTCTCCGCCAATTCTTCCAAGTCAAACATCTCCCCAATCGGAATCCCCCACCCAGCCAGCAGATGATGGTGTAGATCGTACTCAGGTTTCAAAGGCGGATACACTTCGAAGCTGACCGCGTCCGAAGCCACAGCCGCAAAGTGACTGTCCCACACGAAGCGCAGCACACGCTCACTCTGCTCGATCCCCGCATGCTTGGGCGTGGACTGCTGGCTATACTCCTGCTTCTGCTGTGCGTCCATCGCATCCCACGTTCTGGTTAGACCAACGCGAAGGAAGAAGATGTCGCCCTTCTTGAATTCGATCTTGCATTCACGCGCGATGGCCAGCACATCATCTAATGATACGACATGCTGGCTCAGCGCGTCAACACTAATCCCCTTCTTCTCCGCCCAGGACAAGTAATCGATGAGCACGCCGCGGCCTGCGATGCCTTTCTTCGCCCAGTACCCAATCCCAATGCGATGGCTGTTTGGGTCCTGAATCTCCTCTGCGGTGGTGCCGCCGTAGAACAGCTTCCGGTCCGTATTTTCGGAGGTTGGCGCAGGAGCGTTGTGATGCCTGAATCCGTCCCATTGAGAGGATTGCTGCGGGTTAAAATGATACTCGTCATCGAAAGCGGCACCTGGAGCGACCCATTGAACCCTGTGTTCGAACGGTTTGCGGCCAAATCCTGGCAAATATGTAAGTAAACAGGATCTGACGTCAGAACCGAACTACAGACGACGTGGCTCTGTACATGCCGATGGTCCTGCGAGGGAAGTCTCTAGCACATACCAGGAGGATCCAGCTTCTCTAAATCCCAGTTCAAGCAAACGCGCTCTCCCGTCTGGATCTGTGTCCGCGCAGCGTCGGCCACAACCTCCGGCGTCAAGAGCCGGAGCATTCCCAATCCTTCGTCTGCGGATCCTGCTGGTGCGGGCCAGAACCGTCGCTTGTCAGGAAGATCATCATATTTTTCGGGTAGTTCGCTGATTCCTGACATGGCGCGTAAAAGATGGCGGGGCTCAGAGCGACTTCGATTGTATAGATAGATGTACGGGATTGGTTTCCGTGAGGCAAGCACCGTAATTACTTGATACTGATGATTTTGTTCGTTCGGACAAGACCTTGTTGAAAGAGAAGATGGCTGAGTCTTGCTGGATGGAGTCCGAGTCTTCAGAATGAGGCCAAGGAAATAACACGGGGTAGTGAGCCTGGTACATTGTCGGAGCAACTCCGTTTTGACGGGAGATGCGATCATTCCCCACAAATGCCGCTTGTCATACGCACAGTCAATGAAAATGCCGATCTTTAAGAACAGGATATAATAACTCGAAGATGCATGAGAATGGAACGTTCAACGAAGGAAAACAGGTGTCATTAACCGGACTCTCGGGATGTCCCTGGAGAATTATGTATTCGAACAGAAACCTCACCCTAATGGCAGTTACACCCTAAGTATACAGAATATCACCTTCAAAGGTCATCCATGTCTTCATCGGCTGTCGTTCTTGCCTTGCCCTTCTTACTTAGATCGGACAGCTCGTATTGCTCGCCAGAGCGCCCCGAGCCAGCCGACATGGCAATGGCCTGCCGCCCGGTATCCGAAGACTCAAGAAACTCGCGCAGTCGCTTCTTGCCCTCCACCAGCGCCTGGCTCGAAGCGGCTTCAGTCATCTTAATTATCGGCCCCCAGAGGTTCAGCTGATAAGTGACATAGGCCCCCACGGCACAGACAAACAGAAGGAAGAAATAGGCAGGATTACGGAGCACTAAAGGATTGTCAACCCATCAGCCCAACTTATTTCGTTTGGAAGTTTCACCATAGAATACTTACCTGTGATAATCTCGTTCCAACCCAGAGCAAGGAGAAGACCGTAGAAGTACAGAGGCACCTGAGTCATGCCGCCAATGGCACTTCGCTTAGCCTCAACATAAACTCCGTCCGCAGCTTTCTTGAATCTGACAGTGAGCTCTTGACGCTTAGACTCGCTGAGAATCATCATCTCTTCATCCAGACTCTTGCCCTCTTCCTCATCGACACCGCCGATGGGCGGTAAATCTTCCTCATCTGCTGGAGTGGCAGAGCTTGGAGTGTGGCCTATCCAGCGATCAAGAGGGGGCGGGGCCGACGTCTCTGCCAGGCGGAAGCGCGAAAGAAGGGGATCAAAGTCAGTGTTGATTCGCGCGCGCGGGTATAGATGCCTTCAATATCATCGGTAGGTCGCCAGATCCTGGGTACCCCAGCATCATCGTAACGGAATTTGTCCTCAAAGTTCTCACGCAGTTTCAGCAGAATATTGCCCTCTGTCATCTCTTCATCGATCTTGGCGCGCAAGACACCCCAAGACTTCCTTCGGAGCCTCCAGAGACCGACATCCACTTCCTCCAAACTGGCATCAAAGCTGCTGGCGCGGTCTGTGAACCTACGCTCGGCATCAAGCACCGTCTCCACGAAAACGTTCCACACACGATCCCAGAAAGCCTTCTCCAGAGGCTTCTCCCCTGTCTCCGGGGCACCTCCTCCTGCGCGTCCAGATCCCAAAGCGTTGAACTCAAGTCCGATAGACTCTCCCAGACGGGACTGAACCCATCTTTCGACGCGATTAGCCAAACGACGCATCTCCTCTCTGCGTAATCTTCCGCTAACATCCGCTAGTTCCTTTTCATACAAGGCCAGTTCTTGCTTATAGTCACTCCAAGTGGTGCCTTCCACCACAGTTGAGCGCGCCACATCTTCAAACTTGGCTATGGCTTTCTTCACCTCTTCATTGACAATTTCAGCAAAGTCGTAACCTGTACCCTGTTTTTGACCTGACTTCACAGCGGAGGAAACTGCCTCACTGAATTCGTTAATACCCGACTTGTGCGCGGCATTAAGTTGACCTTGTAGAAGAGCTTTCAGACGGCTATCGACTTTGCTTTCAAGCTCTGCCCGCTTGCGCTGGTAGACACCTTTATGATATCTGCTGGCTTCTGTCTCGAAGTTCTTGACAGCTTTGGCCCGTGATGATCGCATCGCAGCACCCAAGCCGCCAAGTACCTCCGGCTCACCAAGACGCGCAGATTGTGACTGCTTCTCCTCAAATGGGACAATGGCTTCATCAAAAGCTATCATCACTTCTCTCAAGATCTCGTCGCAGCGGAATTGTGCAAGTAGCTCCTGCTGCGTAGGCAGGTCGAGATCCTTGTTATTCACGATCTGGTCCCAAATACCCTCTGCATATCGCGAAAACCCATCTGCGGGGATCCGCCGATGATATTCCGGAAGGAAGACTCCTTCCTCAGAGAACTCGCCTCTGCGCGCATCCATCCTGGGGTCTCTTTGGCCATCGCGGAATCGCAAACTAAGCTTCTTTGTCTCGGCCACAAATTGCTCGGGTTGGTAGCTTTTGTGAGGCAGACCATAGAATTGGAAATCGAAATAATCATGAACACTGGAGCTTTCAAGGCCAGGAGGCTTCGAAATAGACTCCCAGAGGCGAGCCATGTCCTCCATCAATGTCTTCTGTAGATTTTTGAGGGGCGTTGTGCCGACAAAATCACGTATCACAAAGAAGAGAAGTGATCGGTGTGTGGTGCTGCATTAACAAAGGAATCAGTAATAGTCGCATGGGTTTGGAGGATCGGGTCAGGTCAACTGGGCCTATGAGGAGAACACATACTTCTTGTCCTTCAGGAACAGTTGCAGATTGACTTCGAAGACCGTCTTCAACAGACCCATATTCGCGCCCTGGTACAGACCGACCTGGTGTTCCCATATATTCACGATAAGCACCTCACTCGTAGCAAGGGCGAACAGAGCACTTTTGCGCTCAAAGTCCTGGTCTTCCCCTCTCTCACGACCATCCGTACCTTCAACGTCCATGACGAGGATGTTATCCGCCATGCGCAGGGTTGAGTCCACGGTGGCCTCTCCTTCATTCTTGTTCTTCGACATCCAGATACCCTTGGTTGTCTGGCGTCGCTCCGAATCGGACATGACCGAGAAGCGCGTGCCGAAGAGATGGTTCAGCAGCGTGGACTTGCCAGTTGACTGCGAACCAAAGACGGAAATGAGATGATAGTTGAAACCAGCAGGAGTGACATTTTCAAGGCTCAGATACTTCGAAATATTGGGACTGTAAGGTGCGGACTGTTAGCTGATTGACTCCACCACTGGCCCTCTCAGCATGTCAAGTAGACATTGAATAAAACAGCTTGAGTCGGTCAGAGCATGACGAAGATACGTACTTGAACTCTTTATTCTCGTCTATTACTTGCACACCATGTTCGTACGCTGTCTTGTCATTGTCGACGCCAATCGCGGCGAAATGACCATTGGTCGCCATGGTGAACGGTATAGTATGAAGTCAGCCGTCGGAAGGGGAAGAATATGACGGAGACGCTGTCAATTGCTTGGACAAAGTCGAGATTTCGTTGTTGCGAAATTCAAGGAGGTGCGATAGAGTATCACAGACCACTGAGCAGCGGCTGGGGAATCGTCAAGATGCGGAGACCGTGGCGAGTTGTAAATGACGAGCAATGTTGCTTGTGGGATAAGCGATTGCAGATGATGTAAATATCCATGCAAGGGAATTTAAAAAAAGGACGAATGGACACGAGAATCACAAGACTCTCCCGCGCGGGCTCATGTGCGATGATCAAACAACCTAAGCCCCGAGGTAAGAGAGGCTCGTTGGTGGTCGGCCGGTGTTATGATCCTGTGGCCAGAAGGGGCACTCGTCACTCGTCACCGGGGGGGCGCCATCGCCGCCTGAGTGCAAGCTCGAGGGCGGGACCATAAACCCCTTTTTTTGGCCTAGCGTTGGTGTCACCTTCTAGGTAGTGTGCATCGCCATCAGTACACTGGCGAGTCTCGCCACTTCAAACAATTTCTTTCAGACGAAACTGACATATTTGGCAGTTGCCGCTGTATACGGGTATTAGATAGTTCGAAGAAATCTTCCACAGAAATTGGAACCCAGCGCGACGACCGCGGTTCTTTAGATATGACTGTGCGTTTTCGATGGACCTTCTTTAGAATGATATTACCAAAAGGCAGCTACTTGGAACTAGATTCTCAATGTATCCATACACATCGTTTATTCGTATCAAGGACATGGAAGAGAGGAGGAGAGATATAACAAAATCCAGCTACATGCTTTCAATACATAAAGTTACATGACATGACTCAAAAAACGCCTGCGCAAACCTTCCTGATAGATACCTTTGCCGTTTCCCGCGCTGCAAGAAGGTGCGACAAAAAGACATTGAAAGTATATTTTTTCTTATAATACAGAGCAGCCAGTCAGTCGGTCATGCCTCGTGGTTTATCTGCGAACCAGCCCTTTACTCGGTCATGACACGTGTGATCAGACCAGTAGCGACAGTCCGGCCACCCTCACGAATGTTGAAGCGTTGACCAGCCTCAGCAGCAACAGGGTGGTGGGTCTTCAGGACCATCTCGACGTTGTCACCAGGCATAACTCTGCGAGATTCGTCGCCGTCAGGGAAGCTGAGGTCAGCAGCCTCGTCTGATAAATCGTTAGCATATATCTCTAATCTACTGGAAGATCTGGACACGGTGTGTGGGAACTTACCTGCAGTACGGATGAAGACTTGAGGACGGTAGTTGGCACCGAAGCCAGTACGACGACCACCCTCGGCCTCGGTCAGGACGTACATGGAGACGAGGAACTTGTCGTGAGCCTTGGTGCTGCCGGGAACAGCAATGACCATACCACGCTTGACATCTTCACGGCGGATACCACGCAGGAGGAGACCAGAGTTGTCACCAGCACGCGACTCATCACAGCTCTTCTTGAAGGTTTCAATGTCGGTGACTTTGGTCTTCTTGGGTTCGAAAGAGCCTCCGACGATCTCAACCTCAGAGTCCTTCTTCAAAATACCACGCTCGACACGACCAGAAGCCACGGTACCACGGCCGGCGATAGAGAACACTTCCTCGACAGACATCAAGAAAGGTTTGTCGAGGTCACGCTGAGGGGTGGGGATCCAGGTGTCAACAGCGTTCATAAGCTGCTCGATTCTGTCTTTACCGATGTCGTCACGGCGCCCTTCGAGAGCACAGAGAGCGGAACCGAAAATGATCGGAGTCTCTTCACCCTCGAAACCGTAGCTGCTCAGCAGCTCACGCATCTCGAGCTCGACAAGTTCCAGCATCTCCGGGTCATCGATAGCATCGACTTTGTTGACGAAGACAACGATCTTCTGGACACCAACCTGGCGGGCGAGCAGCAAATGCTCACGCGTCTGGGGCCTATTCAAGGAAACGTAAGCGATGGGTTTTACCACATATGTCGCAAGATGTTCCACCTACATCTGACCGTCGGAGGCAGCAACGACGACAATAGCGCCGTCCATGTTAGCAGCACCAGTAATCATGTTCTTGATGTAATCGGCGTGACCAGGGCAGTCGACGTGGGCGTAGTGTCGGGAGTCCGTCGAGAACTCAATGTGAGCAGTGGAGATGGTGATACCACGCTTGCGCTCCTCAGGAGCCTTGTCAATGGCACCATATTCAAGGAAGTTGGCAAGGCCCTTCTCCGACTGGTGCTTGGTGATAGCAGCGGTCAAGGTGGTCTAAGGAATGTGTGAGCAATGTACAGAAAGGCGCGGGAAGGTCGGAAGCATGAAGGGAAGTTTTGGAGCTACCTTGCCGTGATCGACGTGTCCAATGGTACCTATACAAGATTGTCAGTGGAAGGAGTCAGTTTGCAAATGAAGAAGTGTTCCTTACCAATGTTAACGTGAGGCTTAGTACGCTCGAAGGCACTAGCCAGCCCACGAGCAGCTAGTTTGTTGTTGCCAAACACATGTTGGACGGGGTTGAGGGCGCGAGGACGCAGCAAAGAAGCCTTGCTGGAGCGCAGGAGAAGGTTTGCGGTTCTGGAGATGCTCGACATGATGACTGCCCTGGACTAGAACGACAGACAAAAAGAGACAAGAGCAAACACGATGGAAAGGAAGAAATGGAGCCGGACTGATGGTCGAGAAGTTCTCCATCGGACCCCGAAAAATTTAGGGGAGCCTGCTTAGTCATGAGCGGCCCAATCACAGCCGCGGGATTGCGGAGGTCGCGCATTGGGAATCGATATGTACCTAGATACCTCGATCGTGCCACAAGAAACGACATGAACAGCAGGCAAAAGCATATTTAAATCGCAGCAATGATCATTTATGCAGGCTTCTCAACTTCTATGTAACTGACAGAAGAGTCAAGTAGGACTGATATGGTGGAATAAAAATCCAATTGCCAAGCTGATATGGTCTTCCATCTACTCTGTAGAACGCACGTAGGTAACCTTCTGGTCTTACTTAATTAGGTTTGAAGTAATGGAGTGTTACTATACATGACGGTTGACTGAGGGTCATCAATGTTTATGTACGCCAAAGTACGCCAAATATGTCATAGAAAACTGCAAGCTGGCGAAGGCATGTCAAGCATCCTTCTTTTTCACAAATAATGTGACATGTTTGCCCGGTTCCCCTTCCATAGGTTTGATCTGCATCGCATCGGCTTCCTTCGTAGCTTGCAAGACGCTGTCCATGACGTTCTTGATCTCTTCCACAGTGGGTGCCCGTTTGCCTTTTTTCCGCGTCAGGATGATCTCCACGCGTCGGCCTTTCTCCAGGAAGTTCGTCAATTGCTTCAAGCGGTGTGCCAGATCATGACTGTCAATGGCCCAATTCAACTCAATCTGCTTCATTGCTGTTTTAGTGGCATGGGCAGCTTTGGCTTTAGCTCGCTCGTGCTCACGCATGGCCATTTTGTTCACGATTTTGCAGATTGGTGGGCGGTCAGGAAGGGCTGGAGACACTTGTATGAGGAAGCTCTCAGAGCGATCGAAAGAGCGTAGCACATCTCTTAGCTTCATGGCAGGCTCAAGGTCGCCATTTTCGTTGACGATTTGTATATACTCCGACCGAATATCTTCATCTCGGATCTGTTTCTGTTTTGATTGTTGTGAGGGAAGATGGCGAGGAGACTGAAGGAACCTCAATTGTGCTCCTCGTAAAGCATAACTGTAGCGTGGAAACTGGACATGGGTGGTCTGGAAAGGGGACAGGAAGGTATGGCGAAGTGCTTGTGTTATCGATATTAGGCCGCGTGTGTGCTTCATGTCGAGTATTCGTCGTCTGGCAGGCGAGTTCGGTGGCAGGAAGCGAAAGAACAACCGCAATACCCAAATTCCGTATAAGCAAAGGGAATGGAAAATATGTGCGCCTTCTTTTGATTGTGAGGTGGAAACAGAGAGTGATTGGTGTAGATAAGGAGTGCTCTAAAGAGGTAGTTGATCCCACGACTGTTCTATCCCGTCCACTGGACGCATGCAGGAAGCCAAGCCACAGCAGATGGGGAACAACCGCCACAGCCAAGTGGGTCTAATGCCATCGTTTCAAGGGTCTCCGTCTTGGACTTTCCTCTCCCCTGACTTTCCGCCATATTTCTGACATCGATCTTATTTCATCTCATCCTCCACGATCTCGTTTGGGCTCGTTCGGAGGCGTCTGATGAATCGATGATCCTCACTCGTTTTATTCGTTAATTAGTCTCTCATTCTCATTTCCAGCCCCGTTGAAAAGAACACTTAGACCGTTTCTTTGTTGACGCCACTTGAGTTTGTCTATTTGGCCTTGCTCGCATGTCGACTGGAGTTGACAGTCGACATCTGCAAACTACAGTATCCTATATACACTCAGAAGCGAGTCCCTATCGGCGATCCAACTCGCAGGCTTCCCGAGCTGTGGAACCCGTGGAAAGTCCGCAAAAACCATCGAAGCAGCGACGCTTTTCAGTACTAGCAAATATGGCACAGACTCAGAGATCCCGTTATTTAAAGACGGGTGCCATTGTGGCAGCCCTGTTGCTGATGTTGCTCTGGATTTCTCCGTCAAGACCTATGCGCCCGGGCTTCCCTCAAGGTCAGTTTAATTGACCCTTTTACAACTTGCTGATCGGGAAAACTTATTTCGTACTCAGGACGACCAAGCACGAGTGCTCCCGCCAAAGAAAAGTGTTCAAAGCCCCATGATCCCAAAAAGCCATTGATTCAGTATGCTCTTATGATTGATGCCGGAAGCCAAGGGTCTCGAATTCACGTCTATCGATTCAACAACTGCGGCCCCTCCCCGGAACTTGAAGATGAAGTGTTTTTCAAGACTGAACCGAAGAAGGGCGGCTCCGGGCTGAGTTCTTACAAAGAGGATGCTGAAGGAGCAGCCAAAAGCCTTGATCCTCTCATGGAGGTTGCAATGAAGAATGTTCCTGATGAATACAAGTCTTGCTCGCCAATTGCTGTAAAGGCCACAGCCGGATTGCGCATGCTTGGCCCAGAAATGAGCCAGAAGATCTTGGACGCGGTACGGACTCGACTCGAGACTGTTTACCCGTTCCCTGTGGTTTCCAAAGAGAAGGGAGGAGTGGAAATCATGGATGGCTCTGACGAGGGTGTCTATGCCTGGATCACAACGAATTACCTTCTCGGAAAGATTGGCGGTCCTGACGAAACACCTACTGCTGCAGTCTTTGACCTTGGTGGAGGTTCTACCCAGATTGTTTTCCAGCCCACATTTCCGAAGAGCAAGTCAGGCGGCATGCCGGAGCGCTTGGCCGAAGGTGACCACAAGTACGATCTCCAGTTCGGTGGCCGGCATTTCGAGCTGTATCAGCATTCTCACCTTGGCTACGGTCTCATGGCTGCGCGCAAAGCCGTTCACACATCCATCGTTGAGAATATGCTCGCGTCGAGTCCCAAAGACCTGTCCTGGCTTAAGCAGCCAATCCCTAACCCTTGTATCGGGCCCGGGATGGAGAAGAATATCACTTTGGAATTTCCGGAAGGACACAAGCTCGCTCCAGAAGTGCAGGTTACAATGGCTGGCCCTAAGGTAGGGTCTACCGCCGCTCAATGTCGTGGTCTTGCAGAGAAGTCTCTGAACAAGGAGGCTGCATGCACCCTTGCTCCTTGCTCCTTCAACGGCGTCCACCAGCCTTCGCTTGAGAAGACATTTGCCAGGGAAGACGTATATATCTTCTCTTACTTCTACGACCGTACCAAGCCTCTGGGCATGCCTGACTCGTTCACTTTGGATGAATTGCATCAGCTTACGTCGACCGTTTGTGGTGGCGAAGATAGTTGGGGCATCTTTGCAGGCATCGAAGGTGCCCTGAAAGAGCTTCATGATCGGCCCGAGTGGTGCTTGGATTTGAACTTCATGATGAGTCTGCTGCACACTGGCTATGAAATGCCCCTCACTCGCGAGGTGAAGATTGCCAAGAAGATTAAGAACAGAGAACTTGGATGGTGTCTCGGGGCAAGGTAAGATAAGGACGAAACTAAAAGTGTTTACAGTATATGCTAACGTCTCTTCCTTCAGTCTGCCCCTTTTGAGCCAAGAATCTGGCTGGACTTGCCGTATCAAGGAAATCTCATAATGGATGATGCTGCTATGTCATGCTTTAATTTCTTAATTGCCATGGATTCATTGGCTGTATCTCTGCTTCTTCTTTCGTGCAAATACATTAGACCATTGACGGTCGATTATCACTTGATCTTGATGTATTAGACCACTGATTTGTTGTTCTTTGCGGCCGACTGCTGTCCGGTTCACAGAACCTTGCCAGAATATTATACCTGTGAATGTGCATAAATGACTCACTGATTGTTAGATACATTCAGAAAGATTGACTTCTACATCAAATGAATGAGCGGAAAAAATGGTTTTTGGTCGTCAAGAACACGGAGCCATCTGAATTTGGTAATAGCAAATCCGAAATATCCGTCAACGCCAGGCCTATGCAATGTACTAAGAAGATCGTGGCTCAGTCAATTCTTGAATCGTGGGCTTTTGATCCGAAGATTTCTTCTTGCCCATCAGTTTATCCAAAATATCGGAGTCTTTCTGCAATTTAGTATCCAATTCTGCGGCATCTTCATCGTTTGCAGATTCTCGACCGTCGCCGATCTCCTCGTCAGTAGAGGTACTGCCGTCAGCATGTTTCTCTTCCAAAACGCCTAGTCCGAGGTTCTTGAGACGGCAACATCAGCATTCATGTTCTCACTCAAAACCAGAAAGAATCAATTCAACCCACCATTTCAATGTATTGGCCCTCCTGGTTCTCCACTTCGTCTAGTTGAAGATCTTTCCCTCTTCCCGCGGCTATCTCTCGTTGTAGATCCTCATTGGCACTCTTCAGCTTCGGCAGAAATGCAGAAAGTCGGGAGAGAAGATCCGGTTCCTTTGTCATGCGGTGTATCCGAGGTTTCTGTTGAGCCGGAATGCGCGGTAGCGAAGAACCTGCACGGGATGCCTGGTCGGAACTATAGTCGGCTTCTTGATCCTCATCTTCCCCGTCTCCATCGCTGTCGCTGTCGTCGTCGGAGCCAGAGGAGGAAGTGTAATCATCATCTTCGTCGTCGTCCTCGCTTTCGCTAGATGTGGAGGCTATCTTGCGGGGGTTCTCCGGCTTCTTTGCGCCGTCATGCTCTGCAGCGGATGAACTCGTCGACAGGCCCTTATCGTCATTGCGATAAGTGGGGACAATTCTGGCTCTGGTTCGTTTAGAGGGCGATGTTTCGTCGAAGGATGATAGGGACTGGGGTTCGTCAGCTCGTAGGCGCTTCCTGACACCGTCCTCCATTCTGTGTCGTTCGTTCGTCGTTGGTTGGTTCTGCTGAATTCTTCCCCAAATTCTTACCCGCTTAAACACCTAGACGGCGTTTCGCGCCAGGCGGTGGAGATCGAATCAGCGCCAACGTGCCGGAATCAGACGATGTGATGAAATTCGATCGCCTGCAGAATTGCAGGCGCCATGTGGCAGATGGGTCATGGAGGAAAAAGAGTGAAGATCATTCTGGCCCCTAAAGAAAGGAACATGGTGGCATCTTCATGACCTGGTTGGAGCTGCGAGTCCTGCAGCCATCAAAAGTGGGCAGAGCACAAATGAATATGAAACAGGCCCTAGTTCTTCATGATGGTGACTGCTATTAATATTAAGTCAGCTTATAATCTGACGATAGCCTCAGCAGCTGGTTGATAAGTATTGCCTTTAATTGACCGTTTACCAACCCCGCTTTCCCCTGCAGAATCAGCTATACTTATCTTTCTTCATCAAGACTTGGCTCTTTGTCCAAGGTCTCTGCGCTCTCGTTGCTTGTTTCAGTATTCCCAGTTTCCCTTAAAGATATCCAATTCAGGGTTTTCGAGGTGAGTTGAATATAATTTCGTAGTCTTTGTATCAGGTACGTTCTTTCACTTCCATTGTATCTCATGTCCTTTAACCTGGCGCTCACTTTACCCCAACTATTCTCAATTATCCCCACACACCCCAGTTCCTTATATAGTTGGTGTTTCAGATACCTTCAGACTTAGGTTCCTTGGGCGGCTTTTCGTCTTGCATGTCTTTACAATGAACTACTGTCTTCAATGTCATGCTGACTTCAAGATACAGGATATTCGCTTCTCAAACGTACTACACTATATCCGCCTCAGCTAGTCTGGGTGAAGGGGCTCTTCTATGAAGAACCATTCTCGGTCATTCCAGTCTCTTCTGATGCCAAAGAGCTAAAGTCTCTACCAAGGGCACAAATACGCTTCTTGGATAACAGCACCGCTCAATCAGCTCGTTGCAACTCATCCGAAACTTCAGCACCACAAGATGAGCGCGCCCAAACTACACGTCAACGACCAAAGCCCTATAAGAGACGAGAGCTCCCCAACACAAAAAACAACGGAGTGCCCATCCTCTTCTACGAGAAAGTCCCTGCATCAGAACATCCTCGGAAAACTACGCCCATTGCCACTCCAATATCACTGGACAGTATGGTATGACAGACACTCAGAATCTACCGACTATGACAACCGACTGTATGTCTTGCATGAGGATGTAGCCGACATTGCCACTTTCTATCGCGTCTACAACAACTATCCCTGGGATAAAATACGCCTACGAGACTCAGTCCATATCTTCCGCAAGGGCGTCCGTCCGGTATGGGAAGACCCAGAAAACCTCAAGGGTGGTTGCTGGAAATTCCGAGTCCCCAAGAGCAAGGCTCAGGAGTTCTTCCACGAGATTGCCATTCTCTGTATGGCCAACGAATTTCAGGCTGCTTTGGAGAAAGGTGCATAACCCGCTTATCGGTATTCGCGAGCATCCGAGAAAGTCGAGCTGACTGCTTTCCCTAGAACATGACCACGTCCTTGGTGTTTCCACCTCTGTCCGTTTCAACTCTCATATGATCTCCGTATGGAACAAGATGGGGACGAACGAACGCTCTATCAAGATCCTCGAGCAAACCATTATCGACCGTCTGTCGCCTGAGCTGCGGCCCACCACTTCCGGTAGCAACTCGTATTTCTATAAACGACATGATGAGAACGATGGATACCAGGAAGCTGTCGCAACGAGTTCTTCTCATTGATCGGCTACGTCCCACAGATCCTGATCTGACCTCTGACCGCTTTCATGCAGCGCATACAAGATGTATACTCTTTATACTCTTCATTTCAGCGTGATACTGAGAGTGCCTTCGGTCGACAGCCGTTTGATGCTCCTCAAACATCTTTCACGGGACGGCAGTATTGCCAGTCTTTCATTGCTGTTGATCGTTATTACCATTAGGTTTTTTATCATAGATGACCAGAATGTAGCGTAGTATACATGATATAGGATGAAATACAGAGGAGATGCTCTCGATAGATCATCACGCTGGACGGAAAGGGATGAGTACCTAACGACTCCTGCTTCTCCTTTGACCGGTGCTAGGTTTCCGTACCCCGCGGTCATCCGCTCCGCGATCAGGAAGCTCCGCGCCTTTATCTTTCCTTTCTTCATTTTCCTTTTCTTTAGTTTTTTCTTTCTCATTCTCTCCGTCTCGAGCCTTTTCACGTTCCCGCTCGCTGCCGGGTATGTACCGATCAATCTCCACGAACCCTCGACGATCATCTCGCTCTGGGCGATCTGGAGATCGGACCCGCCTTCGAGGGGATCTGCTCCGATGGCTTGTTGGGGCACATAGCGATCGATGTCAAGAGTGCCGGGGAACGCCGTCGCGAGCGAGACGGTTTTCGAGAGGGATTCGGAACGCGGGACTTGGATCTTCCCCGCTCACCGTTACGGTCGCCTTCTCGGACCGGGCCGCGGTCTTGTTCTTTGTCTCCGTCTCGGTGCCGTTCTTGATCACGATTCCGCTCTCTATCTCGGTCTCGGTCTCGATCTCGATTTCGATCTTGGTTTCGATCTCTGGCGCGGGAGGCAGAGCGGGATCGTCCGCGTCGAGCTCGTGAACGAGACCGAGAATAGTAACTGCGACGTCGATGATCCCGATCCCGGTCCCGGTCCCGGTCCCTTTCGCGCTCTCTATCCCTGTCTCTATCTCGATCTCGATCTCGTTCCCGTTCATCCGTTGGACGCGAGCGATCTCGAGCTCGATCTTTCTCGCGTTCAGCACTGCGATCTCGACCCCTGCTGCGGTCCCTGTCCCGGTCATAACCACGACCAGTTGACCTGCTCCTACTTCTGCGGTTAGGGCGGTAGCTGCGGTCGCCATATCGGTTGGCTCTGAAATCCCGTATGGCAACTCTATCATCAGGGTTACGATCACGCGGGCGACTAGAAGCATCACGGGATCGTTCCCGTCGACGGTCATCATCAAAGCGAGGTGTGTATCTTCTCCGTGAGCGGCTGCGATCCCGGCTGCCGTCACGTCTATGCGCGCGATGACGGTCATCAACAGTCGAGTCTCGCCTTCGGCGTTGGTCCACATCGACAGACGGACTGGTGGACTTCAATGGAGTAATGGAATACCTTGATTCTGTTGCGCCTTTTGGTTTAGTCGGCGGGGGCTTAAGGCCGTTCTCGATGGCCTCAGCTTCTTCGAAATCAAATTCCGGTTTCTGGCGCGCCTTAGCAGCAAGTTCCTCGCCTTCTTTAAGCAGCAGTTGGAGAGCGGCCTCTTCCAGCGACTTATCATCCACGGCAACAGGAGGCGGTGGAGGCGGCGGAGGCGCCTTCGCTGGCTCCTTCGGAGTAGCGGACTTCTCTCTCCTCGAATCGCGATATCGCGGTGATCGGTAGCCTATTGAGCCAGCGCGGTCACGGTCGCGCTCTCGATCCCTATCTCTGTCTCTATCTCTGTCCCTGGTTCGACTGCGATCACTGTCCCTAGATCGATCCCAGTCCCGGTATCTTTCGCGCTCTTCTCGTCTCCGGCGCTCATATCTTTCCTGTCGTTCCTTTTCTCGCTGCTCTTCAAGTCGACGTTCCTCTTCCCGCTGACGCTCACGCTCTGCACGTCGCTGTTCCTCGCGCTCTTTCCGTCTTGCCCTTTCTTCCTCCTCCTTCTGGCGTTCGATCTCGCGCTTCTTGCGTTCCTCTTCGGCCTTTCGACGAGCTTCTTGCTCCTCAAGTTCTCTCTGTTTGCGCACCGTCTCCTGCCATTCTCGTTCGCGTATCTCACGTTTAGCTCTTATCTGCGCAGCGAAATCCTCGTCTGTTTTATTGCCGGCTTGCTCCTCTTTCGCAGCGAGCTCGTCTCCGACTTGCTGACGGCGAATGTCCCTGACAGAATCTAAGATGAACTGCAGGTGATTTGAGGCCAGCGCATCAATGAGCTTTTCGGCTTTCTTGTAGACGTCGCTCCGATCGACGGCACCCTCTATCAAGGTCGCAGCTTTTCCTCGTTCACGGGATAAAAGCTCTGGTTCGCGTTCTATTTCCGACTCTGCTAGTTCGATCAATAACTTCGTAAACTCGGCTCTTGCTTCCTAGATGAGAGATGCGGCATTAGAGAATGCGTCGATACTTTCAAGATCAATTTGACATACTCCGTCATGAAATTCAGCCCAGATTTTCTTGCGAACGTTATCAAAACCTCCTTTCTTCTTAAAAGCGTGCAGTAGGTCCTCAATCGCAGTGTGTTGCGCCGCGGTCAATGGCAGCTCTTCCGTCTTGAACTTCTTCCGCTGTAGACTTTCGACATCGAGCAAGGGCCGTTTGACGCCAGTGGGTTGGACATCTGACATCTCAACTGGACCGGCCATCATGAGATAATCAGATTAATAATGTTGGAAAGCACGTAACCCGGCGCCGCCGAGCGGCATTCGAAACTGGTTTGGACGAAGTGAAGCGCGTCGCAAATTAATATTGGCATACCTCTTGTTAACAGCGATTCTAACTATTTCCTGATTCAGTGAAAGTTGGCGCCGAGCTCGGAGGAACGATGATCCGCCGCAGATTGCGAACTGCGGCTCGGTGATTCGGCGGGCCTGGTTAAGAGAGAGGAGGAAAGCAACCTCATCTTGAACGATTGTCCGCTGAAGGTGACCCATTGCGTCTCTGTCCGGGCCTGAACCTAGAAGCAATTGTCTTCATTCAACTACGGCGGCTTCTTCGGGTCATAATTTGCTTTAGCGACCCCTCCCTATCCCAATCCGCGCAGTCCGCATCCACTACAAACACAATGGTTCACAAAGTCCTCTTCTGGGGCGGCTTCGGTATGTGCTTAGCCGGGAATGATATCTCATTCAGTACCAGGAAACTGGCAATTGGCCCGTCCGACTTTCGTCCGGCATTTGTCATTTCGGTGAAGACCGCCTTCTAACATCTCTCTCCATTAGGCATTGCCGTCCGACTCTGGCAACTCGGTATCGAGATGCGTCCTATTCTCGCCAAGGAATCTCTCTGGGTGTACCCTCTGTTCGCTGGCGTCGGTGGAAGCTTCGGCTATTGGCTACAGGGTGTTGAGGACAGACAGCTCAAGATTCTCGCTCAACGGCGGGAAGCGATTCGGGAGAAGCGCCGGAGACGGGACGAACGCGAGGGAATATTGGAGGCAGGCACTCTGGCTGCAGTGTCGTGAAATCACAACGGCTGTTTATTGAAGGAGATTGCTAGGCACAACGGGGTTTCGTTTTACTGGATTGAAAGAACGCCCTATTGATTACTTGTACCAAAATGCAGAACGCCATCCTTTTTCCGTGTCTCGTAGCCTTTTCTCGACAAAGATGGAACGTTAGAAGCGCTTCGAGAACGAGAAAAGGCTTTAAGCTAAGACTCATGAGCAAGATTTTATCCTAATTACTGTTCTATTGACTGCAATTGCACACTATTTCTGCAGTATATAACCTAACCCTTCCGCTAAACCACAGCATCAAATTGAAATGGCTGAATGCCAGGCATTAGGTGGCCATATACATAATTTAACAAGCAAATTCTTGTCTTGGTCTTCCTAGTTCTATGATGTTCAATCCAACCTAGGCCAGTGAATGTATCATTCACTGTTGACTGACCCCCTTTAGTGTGATACCTACCCCCGGTTTTTGACTCTATTTCCTTCTGTAGTCACCAGACTGAACATATGAATGCTAGGTTCAGATGTGATGATCTACTCCTGACTCTCAACTTTGCCTCCTGAAGACCTTTCTCGCTGTCCCCAAGCCAGCCGAAGACATGTCATTCTTTAATCTTCCTCACCATATCAGAGAGCAGATCTACCGGTATTCCCTTGTCATGGGACGAGTTTTCATTCGTCCTTTCACTACCGTTGAAGTGCTCATGGATCCGAACAGAAAGGATATCTATGGCACGCCCAATCTCGCTCTACTCTGGACCTCAAAGCGCATATACGAAGAGGCAATGCCCATCTACTTGAGCGAAAACGTTTTCTCCCTCGTCCAAGTTGATCTGTTAGCTGCCGCGCGCAAAGAGTATCCGCGTGTATTCGAGAACCTCAAGAAGGTCCGCAATCTGGAGCTCGTCTTCGACTGCCGTGATTACATTTACCTAGCACAGTTTCTATCCCGGGAGCTTCCAGGCGTCACTGCGGCAGCACAGGATGCAAAGGCACCCTCAAAACACAAGCGCAAAGTAGTTGAGGAGCTGGATGAGATGCAAAACGACTTTGATATTCCCAGAATAGAACGAACCGAGTCAGATTCGGATTCCGAGGAGGAGGTTTCGTCTGAAGAAGTGCATGAGATTCATGATCACCATCTCGAAAATATGAAGGAGTACCTTTGGGGACGCACAATGAGTTTTGTGCGGCAGACGTTCCAGCTATCGCGCCTCTATATTGACTTGCGGCATTGTACCTGCAACTGGGGGTGTTGTCGTCTTGCTACGGAAGTGCTGGATTGGGGTTGGTTCCACGTCTGGATTCATGGGATGCCGGATGAGATTCATGTGAGAGGTACCTCAGGACGTGAGAAGAAGCTCATCGCTCAGCTGTTCGACAAGCAGCGATTCCATGCGGGTTTGGAAATCGACCAAGTCTTTGATCAGGACAGACTTGAAGACGCTGATCACTGGAAGGCGGGCAAATTTGTGTTTCAAATAGTTCATCAGACACTCGTACGTTAGCGTACGACCGAGGTAAAGAAACATATCCCTGAAAACCGCCCCAATGATCTTGAACAAAGCCTAGCAGTCAATCCTCAGCAGATATACAATGATAAATAATTACATTATGCAGAAGAAGAAGGGGATATGTGCACTTGCAAACCATGTCAGGATGTTGACATACATGGAAACAGTGATATCATGAGTTATCCACAGTAAATTGCAGTGAAACCTCCCATTTCTGACCGCCGGTGCCATATCCCCCACCCAGTCGATTCTTGATCAAGCTGGAGATGCGTTCACGTAGTCGTACCAGGTTCTCCTCGGAACCAGACACCCGAAGTTTTAGATTTGCCATACACAAACCATAGTGCACTTGCCAGAACCTTGCATCATCAATTCCGAAAACAGACGGATCTGCTTCAATATCCTTTATCACATCCGAGACCCCCGGACCCGAATAGGACATGAGGAGCATGGATCCCAGGGTTTTAACAAGGCGAACGCCGAGCACACACATGGAGATAGAAATAGTGACGGACAGAAGAACGTCAAGCCATTTGTAAAGCCTGATAGACACCAGAGGGAGAAGCAATAGCAGTGTCGAGCATGAAAGGGTGAGGAAATGAGATGGATTGCTAAGAACCGACGGCAGAGACTCAATGTATGCAAAGCGCATGGCCTTGCCTATCCGTGCATGGTTCTTTAAGCCAATTGCAGATACCAGAGTGGACGAGATGGCAAGCAGAGCAGTGATGTCTACACTGCCGACAGAGACGCGCTCATGAGGATGGGTATGGTGAGGCTCATGGTTGTTGCTCGACTCAAGAAAGTGCTGAAGGTTGTGGGAGATGAGGTCCATGCCCATGAACAGTAGCAGCACGCACATTGCGAACCCAGCAAGTACCTCTGCTCGTTCCAGCCCGAATGGATGGCGAATGGAGGATCGTTTCCACACCTCGAAGTTGCTCAATACATCCACAGCTACGCAGAGCAACGCCCCAAGAGAGTCGAACAGAATCAAATGAGACAGCGCTGTCATAGCCAAGGATCCATGTGCGCTCCAGAGCGTGTATGCGGCAACGAACATATGGCAGACACTCCACCAGAACCGCGTCTTCTGGTCCTTCGACATGCTAGAACGGCATTCTTTGAGCGTGGGGATAGGTAGCGAATTCGGAAGAGCTAAAGGAGCTCGGGGAGGAGGTTCGAGGAATATTTGATGCGATATACTACTATGTTTATACTTGTGTCCCCGTCGCTGGCCAATGTTCTACAGAAATTCCGCGCAAGACAATTAGCGTTCCAATACAAGCGCAACGAGCCATAAGGTGCAGTTAAAGCATGCACTTACAGATTTCATTACCGGGCCCTTCGCCATAGTTGTAGTCTGAAAATTGAATGGCCCAGCAGAGCCATTGTCGCTTGCACCACTCTGTACAGAGCCATCTGTTGGACTTAGTTTGAAGGATGACCTGGTAGGACTCAAACGGTCCTGGTCTTCCACGTTCGATCCATTTTGAGAGAAATGGTCGACCATTGGCGACAACGTATCTTTATCGTACGTTGCAGCGAACCCCCTTTGGGGCTGGCCGTCAGTCACGCTTGTGGGATCATCCGACGGTGGAGTGGGCGTGCGCGGCGGGCGAGGAATGGGGAGGTTCGATGCCATAGCATCTAGTAGAAGAATGTCGACGCCTGCGCCAACAATGTACGACGAGATCTAGTCTGGTTGGTAGAGTAGATTCGCTGGACACGAAGACCGGAAGGGATGTTTTAGAACAATGCTGATAGGAGGTTGCTCCAACTCCCAAAGCACACGCACTCTTCCCGACCGATGGTTATCAGGGGAGAGCGGGTAAAGGCGGGGAGACTGCGGCGGCGGCCTGAGGCCTCGACTCACTCATCGCATCATTGACTCTCGCCTCCACCGGCGTCCGGCATCTCTTGCCATTGATTACAGCTTTAAATCATCATCATCTACTCGACAGGCTTTTTTGCCTTGCATTACGACGGTCCTGTATAAATGGAAACTCCGTCGTAAACTAGCGATGCGATCAACATAGGTCGTACTCAAAGGAGACTTGAACGGAATCTCCGATGCCTGCATCGCTTCGTGGCATCTATGGATAACCGCGGTTCCTTCTTTTTCCTGCTGATCGTTTTTTATCTTCTTCTCAGCTCGCAGTCTCGTCCGCCGTTACTTGACCAGGATCGAGAGCGCCAGCGGGAAGTAGCAAGGGAACGAGATGCCCTTCGTTTGTTGAATGAATCCAAATATGGGGACTTCGACCCGCCGGCTGATAAATGGCTTCCTTTTGCGGGAACCAGGAAGAATGACAGTTATGCTTGGGGTATTCTCCCGGAAGCTCAGGGTAGAGCTCGACACCAGTTACGATCCGCCATTTCAAACGCTGGGCTGGAACCTCCCAGGTCTCTAGAAGACCCCGACGCTTTACCTTCCCTGAATCTGACTCAGTTGTTACTCCCGGTCTACCGCAATGCGACAGGGAAATTGCGTGGTGATTGGGTTCGCCGCAAGTTGGACAAAGAGTCTCCGAAACTCAACACTACGGCTATCGCTTTGGAGCATGAGTATTTCACCCACGAATTCGGGTTGAACATCACCGGCAGCAGTGGAACTTTCTACTTGGATCTCAGGGAAGGCGGGGCGAAGAGCTTCGGGTAGATAGTGGCCAAGTTCGAGAGATACGAGCGACATTGGCTGTCGAAAGCAATGACTTCTGGGGAAATACCTGGTATATCTCCTTATTCGGTGTCCATTTCCCAGAGACGGGAGGCATCGTCCTGAGTTCAAATAGCGAGAAGTTTGAGGGGTTGTTCGTGCTGCCGCATCTGGCTTTCTCCTCAGACGCGTATGAGCTTTCACATCAGCTTCTCCTCAAGTCGCTCTCTGATACCTTATCTGAGAAAGAGAATCGCCCTCCGACGCTTTTCCCGTGGTCGTCCCTAATTGGATCGGAGCAGGTAGAATTCCCTGCACCCAAGTGTGAACATATTGTCTACCTGCAACAACATCCAGTCGCTGTTCATGACTACCTAGCGGATAAGCCAGTGGTTGACCAGATAGAAGAGGAGCTAAGATTCCCAATTGGGGCTCCGGTACCACCTGCTCCGTTAATGGTCATGTCCGCCGTGGTATTCTCTCCGGACTGTGGGTATATCCTCGAGACCAAGGGAACGCCAGACTTCCCTCCGAGCGAAGGCCTCTATCTCACGGGCCCGAAAATTGAAGAGTACGACAAATACAGTGCGCGTCTCGTATTTATCATATGCGGAGTGTTTGCCGCACAAATCACACTACTTCTGAGACAGATCAAGGAGGCATCGACACCTTCCACCCGGAGCCGTATTAGCTTCTATACAATTGCTCTTATGGCCTTTGGGGATGCTTTTGTTCTTATCTTCATTCTCTTGGAGCTGTATCCGGCGGTGTCATTCTTGGTCATGGCGACGGCGGCCTTTCTCACGTTTCTGTCGGTCAGCTACATTGGTATGAAATTCATGATGGAGATCTGGGCTGTCCAAGCGCCCGAACGCAGGGAGCGAGAGCGTCGCTCCAATCCTCCGGTTTCAACTCCGCGCTCGAGAGGCCTACCTCTCCCAGCGACATCGGCCCCAGTAAGAGACGCTGGCACAACACCCATCATATTGACTCCAGATCAAGATCCTCCTGCCGAGGAGGATGATCAACCAACCCACCGTGGCACCACTTCAACAGCTCAAGAAACTCGCAATGACGTCGGTGCGATGTATGCACGATTCTACTTCGTCCTATTCGTGATGCTCATTATTTCCATATGGTCTTTCCTTTGGCCGAACCGGCTAGGAGCCCTATATGCGCGCGCTCTTGCCTTTGTCTATCTGTCATTCTGGACCCCACAGATTGGCCGCAATATCATGCGCAACTGCCGCAAAGCGCTCCGCTGGGATTTTGTGGTCGGACAGAGTATTCTGCGACTGTTTCCGTTTGCGTATTTTTTAACGGTACGTGGCAACGTGCTGTTTATACGCCCAGATACGACGACAGCTTTTGCGCTAGCAGGCTGGGTGTGGATTCAGGTCTGGATCCTGGCGAGTCAGGACATTCTCGGACCGCGGTTCTTCGTCCCTCGAGGCTGGGCACCGCCCGCGTATGACTATCACCCAATTTTGCGAGACGCTGATGAGTCTGAGGCAGATCTGGAGTCTGGCGGTGTCCTACCGATCGGCGCTCTTAGGGCTGAGGATCTTTCCGGCGATGCGAAGGATGAGGACAAACAGCGGACCAAGGACAGGAAAAAGGCGGTTTTTGATTGTGCGATCTGCATGCAGGAAATCGAGGTACCTGTTCTTGCAGCGCGTGGAGCCGCCGGAGGCAGCAGTGTCACCGAGGGAGCTACAAGTATCCTCAGTCGTCGCACTTATATGGTGACGCCTTGTCGACATATTTTCCACAGCACTTGTCTCGAGAGCTGGATGCGATTGCGACTCCAGTGCCCCATTTGTCGAGAGTCCATCCCTCCTGTATAGATGTATCATAATGACCAGTCACGAATAGCGCTTTATGCGAAGCGGTACAATGTAATTAGCCTGTACAAATTGAATGGCACTATGAACAATTAATGTCGTAAAGGCAATACAGTCAAAGACTACACAGACTTTTAAATATCAGAAAACAATATCGGACATATTTCATGGGAGTATATCAGAATCTGAGCATGTTTGGTTTAAATAGAGGCCTTCCTTGTTGAATAAAGACCAGCCGCTGGCGGCTCAACGATGATGTCACACATAATAATACCCATCAATCCATACAACATTCCAGAACACAAAAAGAGCCGTCATTTAACATCTAATAGACCGCATGTATTTTATACCATAATCCAATATCTTCACGAGCAACAATCGACCGACCGTCATTACAATTAGTGGTCTTCATCGATGCTCGCCTTGTAGGCGGCCTCATCGAGTAGACCATCCAGCTCCGCAACGTCACTGACCTCGATCTCGGCGATCCAGGCGTCACCCTCCGGGCTCTGGTTGATGAACTTGGCATTGTCCTCGAGAACGCTGTTCCCCTGCACAACCTTTCCAGAGACGGGCGACAGGACGTCCGAGGCCGACTTGACCGACTCGACAGCGCCCACGGCCTCACCGGCGCTAACCTCGAGGTCGGCGTCGGGAAGCTCTACGAACACGACATCACCAAGGGACTCGGCGGCGTACTCTGTGATGCCAATCTTGGCTGGTGAGGGATTGGCCTGTTAGTAGCTGTAGAGCGAAAGGTTGGGGTTGTCGTGAAGCGACAGAAGCAAAGGACTCACCTGTCTTGCCGTCTTCGCCCAGCTCAATCCACTCGTGAGACTCGGTGTACTTCTTGACTTCCACTGCGTAGCATTATAGACGTTAGTACAATGCTTTGTCTCGAAAATAGCATCCCAATGGCTCATGACAGCTGAACTGAGTCATTTCTTACAAAAAGGGCTCTGAGAGAAGTTCCTGACACTTCCCCGCGGGAAACACAGAGTGGGCGAGACCCTGCGGACGCTCGAGGTAAGAGGGGCCTTCTGAGAAAGGACGCGAGAAGCGAAAGGACGGAGGGATCTGGCGACGGTAGACATTTTGTTTGGGAAGCTAAAAATTAGAGGAAAGAGGGACAATGGCAAGGAGAAGGAGAGGTCGAAGAAGATGGAAATGAATGATGATAAACCCGCCGAGGAGAAATCGCGATTAAATGGAGCTGCGAACTAGCTTTCCGGACTGATAGGCGATGCCAAGACTAGCTGATAAGGAACTGCCGTCTGTTGTCCGCAACGCCGGAAGGGAAAATAGTTAGCCTGGATAGCTGGGTGACCGCTCCCGAAAATCTCCTCCGCTAAACGCCATTCAATCTCCGAAGCGTCATCCACAATCACTACGTCGATGCGATGTTGTATGAACTAATTGCTGTTGTGAGTGCATTCCTTGTCGTCTTCATTCAAATATATCTTCGGCATCGAACTAACGTCCTCAGGTCCGTCCAGGCAGCCTCAACGAGGTCCGGGAGTACGTCTCATTCGAATGCTCTTTATGGCAGAGTACGGACTGCAAACTAATTGACGAACAGGATCGCTCGTAATGCTGGCATTCAAGTCCTCCGATCAGGCGGCGTAGTCCGCGGATACACAAACTGGGGCACGTTCCGACTGCCCAAACCCACCACCAAACATCAAGCTCGGTACACCGACGGCCATCACTTCATCATGCGCTTCGATGCTTCAGGCGCTGTTCAGTCCGCCGTCCGCAGAACACTCAGTCTCGACCCGCGGATGATCCGATTCTCAGTCGTGAAGTTGGGCGACAAGCTTGAGGAGATCAAGGACGTAGAGGGAAAGGTTGAATGGACCAACGCTCGCAAGCTCGCCGATTCCATTTGAATGTATCACTATCATGGACTGTCGAGATGGGGCAGGGGTTGACGTGACCTGCATTGGTTTTTCTGAAATTTCGATTGCTGGCATTGCGATATCATTGTATCATTTATGGGACTGGGACTATCTGTACTATCATACCAACATTGCAGGCGCATAGAGAGTGAATACTTTTTCGACTTGGAACTCCTTTTCTCATTTTTGATTCAGCTTGAGCACTTTGTTCATTGTAGTTCCTTCACGTGACCAGCATAACTCCGATCAATAGCACACCTGTACCCAGCTTTCAATATGTACAATGGACAGGAGAGCGCACTTGCTCAGTGCTTATAAAACATAGCAATTATCTGTCTTTCAGTTTTACTCTCTTCTATGTCTGATGCTGATGGAGGATGCCGCGTTGGCAATAAGCACATCGCTTTTCCCGAGCAGCCGAGGTTCTTGTATCGGCTGAGGAGACGATCTTCTAGCTATCGCTAGAAGATCTACATAATTGGGTCCAACGACTGCTGTGCTCATGCATACTTCTTGTCGGGCTATGTTACCCTGCTTGGAAGATACTTGATCCAGATCTGATCGTGCACCGACCTGCTCTTCTGCTCCCTGAACGGAGAACCAACCTACTTCCCCGCACAGCATCATGAGTTCGAAGAAGAATGGGTCTAACAGTTCACGAAAACTGTCCTTTCGGGCCTCCTTCGTCGAATTAATGGGCCTCAAACGTCTCGACTCGCTGAGCAGCACTCCGGATGCGCCAGAGCGGTCGAGAGGTTCCAATCTCTCGCGGCACCGTACCCTCCTGGCATGGGCGGAATGGCATTTGGCGGGCACGTCTACGCTCAGTCCGCATATGCAGCGTCGAAAACCGTCGACAAGGGGTTTGTAATACACGTAAGTCCGCCTACCTTGATACACTCGCATGAATTTCCGGTTAAATGAACAACCAGGACATGACGGGCACGTTCATTTTACCAGGCCTACTAGACGTCCCGTATGTGTATACAGTTCGCCATATACGAGATGGGAGCATGTACTGTACGCGCGCCGTCGACGCACGACAGAACGGCAAGATCTGCTTCTTGTGTTTGTGCTCGTTTAAGCGCTCCGAGGGGCAGCAGACGTTCCACCATCAGCCGGCTCCGGCACAGGAGCGCTTCAGGTCTCTTCTTGCCGGGAAAAAGCCAGAGGATCATCTGCCTAGCCCTAGCGTGGATGCGGACTGGTGGATTGAACAGGTTCAGCGGGGGGATATTGTCGAGCCAGAGTTTCCAGGGCTTGATGTGAGGAAGGTGGATATGGCGAGCTACAATGCCACCGAGGAGGTGAAGCAGAGTCCGGAAAAGTATCGACAGTTGACTCTATATGCGCTCAAGGGGTCACCGCAGGACTCAGATGTTGCGTTGAGCAAACAAGACCTCCAAGCCAAAGACAAGACAGGCCAGTTCGATAACCTCTATGCCTGTGCACATATGTATGCGAGCGACAAGAATTCACTCTTGTTGATTCCACGTGCGTTGGGCCACAAGACCTGGTCTGCAATGGCCAGTTTAACGCTGACGGTGGTTTTTCACCACCATGGTGAAGCGCTGAGGATGATTGACTGGGACGTAGGGCAGGAAGAGGATGGAAAGAGTTTGCCCAGAAAATGGTTTATCCAGGAAGGCTGGACGCCTACGTCGGGAGACAATAGAGCTATCCATGAGAGCTATCTGTGGAGTCCAGATGGGGTATTGCTCGCCACGAGTTATCAGGATAGCCTGCTCAGGCTGAAGAAACCGAGCCGTGGGAAACTATAGAACAATATGTAGATATTTACACAGAATTAATATGATCTTCTATTTATGATTGCAATAAATTTTCATTCAGATTGCATCAATGGCCAATAACATAACCAGCTGTCATGATAAGCGACGCTCAACGCCGTCCATGGTCCATGTGGAGATGTTGACTCTGGTGCCCGCGTGGAACTGCCTAGCAGGGCTTAATCCAGTGGGGGACATTTCCATTACTTGATGAATCTCTGGAGATTTAAACTTCATCTGCCCATCTATATTTCGACAATACGTCTTCATCCTTCAAATCAGCACTGTGAGTAAAACATATAGTATTTAATAAGAATCACTGAGTAGGGGATATCAGAGCAGAACCGTGTGCTTCACCGAAAGTTCAGAGCATCGAGTCGCAAGGTCGTATCGCTATACAACCAAGCCTGATTGCAGACAACCCATAACTGCATAACCACGTCTTATAAACAAGCCTCAGAATGGCCATCGAGGTCGTCAACCTCACCGAGGCGGATATTCCCGAAGCGATCGAGGTGATCCAGCACGCGTTTGCCGACGATCCATATTTCAAATGGGTTTTCAATCCAGCCAAGGTATGTAGCATAGTAACGGAGTATGCAGGAGACACCGTTGAGATTTCCTGCCAGGTCGAAAATCCTGTTGATCAAACCTTGAAGCTAACATGTGCTGTGTCATTTGACGCGGTCGGCGTCCCGCGTCACCTGAGATTTCCACCCGCATAGTTCAATAAACAAAGGAATTATGGTTCTCTTGAAGCACGGTGCCGCTGGGGTATCAACAACGCCATCTTCCAAGTCGCCAAAGAGAGCGATGGAGACGACGCCCCCTCTCGCGTACTCGGTGTCTCATGCTGGCTCCCGCCTCATCCTGCCGCGGAGCCTGAAAGCTGGTACAGCTGGGCGCAAAGCTGGCTGCTGTCGTTCCGGCAGTTCCTGAATAATGTGCGCCACATGGGCCGGGGAGGGCTCAACACGCGCCGCTATTGGATCTGGAAGGATCGTCAACGGGAGGCGCAGAGTCAGATCTGGGATGATCCCCGAGGATACTATTTCTGTAACATTGTGGCGGTCAGTCCGGAGGCGCAGGGAAAGGGGATCGGGAAGAAATTGTTTCAGGCTGTCACTGATCGAGCGGACGAGGAAGGGGTGAAGTGTTATCTGGAGAGCTCAAAAGAGGTGCCCAACGTGGAGATCTATCGGCGGATGGGGTTCGAGATGGCCAAGGCGATGGAGTGCAGGGATGGCAAGGATATGTGCATGGTATGTTTGTTTCCAGTAGGGCTGCTCGGAGTCTTGTTGTTAACATTATTAACGTTTTCATGTAGCTGTATTGCATGGTCCGAAATCCAAAGTCCAAGCGTTAAGGAGAGGCAGGCGAGATCTTATTGCTGCGGTGCGGCATTTACGGCAAACGGCACGATCGAGATGCAGAGGGATTATCCTCGAATTGAATTTCGGCAGCCAAGGAGTATGATTATGAACAAGGTTTGGGGCCAATATGAGTACTGATAACTACTCCTGTTCGTAATATCAAAGTGTAACGACTTGATGATGCCCAGATTAACCTCTGACAAGCACACAAATCACACCAACAGGAGGTCCCCGTCAGAACTCCGACGTATCAATCCACGCAACTTGATCCAGAAAGGGCCCGTGATCATCGACGTACATACGCACTCAGACCCAGCTATTTACCATGTAGGCTAGGACTTCAAACGTCAACTCCTTATCCCAGCCTCGGAAGGTGCCTGTCGGCTCAATCCGCCCGATCGTGCTTTGGGAGATGTCTGCCGGCAACACCGTCTGATCCAGGCAGCAAGCGGAGGACAGGCATTAACAAGAGGGTATGTACAAGGAATAAAGTACCTGCAGGGTATATAGTACAAGGTCCAAGGTTACAGCATTCTAAAAGCACTAGCATAAAAAAAGTTTTAGCCAACACTGTTGAGGACATATTCGCTTAATGGAATGCACCATTCTACCTGCAAGATGGGTAAGGTAAGGCGCACTCCGTAGTCAATACTTCACCACAGCTAAATCAGTATCCACCGTTCGTCAAACATTCCCAATAACGGAGAATAGCCGGCGTCCGGGGCCTATCATCGGCCGAAACCTACCTACCTACCGTAAGAAGAATCGTGGCCAATATTGGACCCGCGGGTGGCTGAGCAGAAATCAGGACAGCGCTGTCCCCTCAGTCGACGTAGATCACTTGTTTCGCGGTCTTCTTTTCCGTCAATGAAGTATTTTGAAGTATCTTGGATCGTCCGGTGGGAGTGGTATTGTCGATATCACGTTCAGGATGGGATGCCGCCACTCGTTTATCAATCTCTTAAATAGGAAGCTGGGATGGATTTAGACTTTCCAGGTGATGCTTGATGTTGACGCGGCAAGCTGTCACGAACTCGACAGTCCTACCATATCCTAATCAGATGGATTCGACAATGCAGTTAGCCGCCATTCATGGGACGAGCTAGCAGAATTAAAGGAGCAGCACGGACATGAAATGATTTAACAGCTGATACTGGCATGAGTCAGCGGCGAGAGGACTACATCGGTTACGGAGTAGTATCTAATACATGGACAAACTAGCCACGAATGATACCAGGCAGCTTGCTACCCAGTGAGTAGATTCAATTTTACTTATTGCCATCTTCCCTTGTATTATGACCTGAACCATGCTTATGGCAATGTTACTACAGTGGCATGGTACCTCAAGTGACACCCATATATCCAATGCTTGGGCAACCTCAGCGAATCTGGTTTACAAATGCAACACTATCTCAGATATTCATATACATGAAGTCTGAAGTAGATGATTGTAATTTCCACAATAGACAACCCACCAGTGGCAGTTCATATCCGTACCACTCGACGCCACACGTACACACCAATACTTAATATATGAGCTCAATATAAGAACCTAGTCCAGACCACCCCTGAGCTCGTTGCAAGCTCCCCCGATACGGCATCGCATATGGCCCGTGCGCCGGGCCCAGCTGTCAGTCTGTCACATTTCGAGAGTCGACTCTGGCGATCTCGAGGGCGTCGGAATAATGCATTCCTTGTCCACTGTGCAGACGCATCATAAGCCAGTGTGGCTAGAGTGGTGTGACATTGCGCCATTAGGTACCTTGGTGGTATTGCAGGCTCCGTGGAGATGAGTATCCTTCTCGTCTTAAGTAATTACTTTGGAAGGTGTTGATAACTCATTGACTGTAGCGAGTGCTCCGACCCAAGACCAAGATATTAGCCACATATCACATGAAAATCCGTACCCATGACGACGTTATCAAAACAACTACTCAGCCTTTAGCCATCCATAGCTGTAAATTTCAAAGGCACCTCGATAGAGCTCCAGTACGTTGTAGGGTAGGCAGCACTGTAGGCTATTTCTATAGCCGTCGGGTAAATGCTCCGAAGCCTTTTTACCCGTTGGGGCATCCAACCACAATCTATACAGAACTATGGAGCATGAATCTCAATAGATGAAGATGACGAAATCAGTCTTGGGGTTTGCCCTTTCGATGACGTTTTCGAGACATATCACGTAGATAGATGCTCTCTGCGTCTGCGTTGCTCCGCTGATCACTATCAATGCAGCAAATCATGTATTCGTAGCTACCATCACTTATATTCAAGGTACGCAATGGACAAGGCCATTGCTATACGTATGATGTCAGCACTGTGAATGAACGCATGGACGGTCGATCTGCATCATGTCGCTGGTCAGCTGAAGATGTAGTCAGCGCTACGATCGGATTGTTTCGAATAAGGCAGTTTACCCACTAGCATGATGAGTGGGTCAGGAACCACTACACTGACTCGTTGGAGTATGTAATTTGGAATTGTCCTCTTGTGGTTGCTCCCTGAAGGGGAGAGAGTGGAACTTTCTACGCTCCCTGGTCTATAACAGTGAATAAACGACGGTCTTCACAGTCCTGGTGGAAATAGAGGACTTCTAGATTGCGCAAATGGTGTATTAACGCTGTCATTTAGATTAATTTATTCCCAACAACCCTACCATTATATACTCCCGTAGCGCGCTCGGCTAGTATATACTCGCTCAGCAGTACCTGATATGTATGCATAATTGCCACGATGCATGCTCGGGCCGAGGGCACGATCCGCCTGAATCGCCGTTCATTTAGTTGGGATTTCGCATCCATCAGAAGAAGCTAAGCGAGTCTAAAAGGTCAGTAAACTTTTTTAGCACCTCTACACAACCCATTCGGACTCGGAACTGCTTCTGATTTGTTGTGCTTTGAGCCCATTAAGAACCCATCGTTTCGTGGTTTATTTATCGATCATTGGCTGCAGCGTTTCGGAGTATCTAGGCCACCTTTCCATCGAATGCTCTCGCAAGTGCAACTTCGTGCATGCCATGTGCTGTCCTGATCGTGAGTTGTATGGACGCTAATGGCTGTCGAGTACGGTGACGTGCCGCTGGGAAAGCGTCCGAGTGCAGTCCTAACGGCGGTTGTGTAACCATACCTGTCAAGGCTGCAGTGGAAATGTCATGGTTCCATCACTATTCCACATAGCGCTCCAAAGGTCCAGAATAAAAAGGGCTAACCTGGACGAAGATAAGGTACAAACCAGCACTGGTTCTAGCCACACGGAACGGACATACCGAAAGGCTGCCGGCTGTTTATGGTACGGTCTTGTCAAATCACCAGTCGATGCAGGGAAGCCTGAGAATGTCTTTGATGATTTGAGGATTGAGCAAAGCAGTGAAGCAGGGGGCAAATGCAGCAGGGGGCCCCAGTCAGTCTAGACATAATTTATATAATTTCAATTTCCATCCCAACACCCTGGTCGCTTTAGACTGTCGAGCTTCCTGAATGCCGTGCCACAGTTGGGATGGAACCTAACTCCCTACTAGGTACCTCTGGGACCAGTAGTAATGGCAGCCAATTGATTTAATTGGCCGTTTAGGCCTGCTTTTTTGGCGTTGACGACGCCGAATTGTCCGCATTGCTGCACAACTCCGGCTTTCTAACCTTGAGAGGAAAGGAGGAGCACGGCTGTGCTTATCTCTATGGTTTAGTGTTACTATCCTCTGGACGGTATATGCAGACCCGATTGCGAGATGCCGTTTAGTAAAGAAAAGCGCGGACCTCATCTGGTCCTCAGTAGATGCAGTAGCATATGGGCTTGGCAATGCACCGTCTGGGGTGCGCTGCAGGTCTTTGCGTCAATGGTCGAAATGAAAATTAATTGACCCTGATAAGGTATTGGAAGTTGAGAGAAGCGAGAAACATTATTCGAGTTTGTCGGTGCGTGGCTTTTGTTCATTTTCTGACGTCTTGTATTGCCCCCTCCTCATCTCGAAAGTTCAACTCAAAGTGCTTGAAGGATTGCACAAAGAAGCGGGTTTGGAAGAAAGGGGTATTGAAAACAAGACACAGGCGAACAAAGTAAACTTTGAGGAAAAGGAAAAGTCCGGGGGCTGACCCCCGCCTAACGGCCAAGGCGTGTTTGATCATCTTCGGGGACGGAGTAGCTGCCAGCCAACGAGTCTTATAATTCGCTGCACTGCCTGCCGATATCGTTGGAGCGTCGCAGGTTGTCCAAACCTATCCCTTTGATTTATTAGGTCCGAGGAATCAAAAGGTGACACAATCGATTGCTAGAGAACTGCATGTCGCGTACAGCCAGCATGTGAATTTGATTGTGGTCTGTGTTGTAGAACGGGAAAGTCCCGGAGCAGCGAGTGCAGAGGGTCAGCAAAGTATGGTGGCATCTAGTTGCGATATGGCAGTAATCGAGACATTCGCTTGGGTGGGCGTCGCTCCAATCCAAGGGAATAAGTTGAGGTGGGAGGGGGAAAAGAAACTTGACAGAATAATAATAATAATAAAACAGAAAAGGGAAAAAAAAAAAAAAAAAAAGAAACAGGCCAGACGGGGAGATTCATGCAAGAAAATCCATTCGCGGTAGCTATACAGGACAAGAACGCCAACACCCACCAATTTCTCCCCGTGTACAGTTAGTTCTCCGAGCGCCTTTCCATGCCAAAAAACCAATTCCGAATTATACACGCATATCTGCCATTTGCTTCGCAAACAAAAAGGTTTTATATCACGGGGAAAAGACACCCGAGAATTGAGGTGATCCCTAATCCCTAGGAAGTAGATCGCACAGTGAATTCGTAGTCATTATTGTGACTCTGCGAGTCACAGTCGAGATATTCAGAAGATGAAATACCCCGCGTCGATAATTGTTCCATCTCCCAAGGCTCTTTTCCTTAGAAGACCTTGTCAACAGAGGGTCGGCAACTCCAGACAGAGTATAGAAGCGGTGCCCCGTTTCAGGGACGACCATCTAGCAGTCTCTGGTTGTAGCTGCCGAAATTGGATGCATGGACATGCAAATGATAGGAGCTCAACGAGGACAGAGGCGGCATTTCCCCACGACTACAATGAATCTGTCATGAGGGCTGTCCGGACACTTGCTCTCCTTAGCTCCGTCGACCGATGTGCGGATGAAATGTTGTGATGGTTCGCGGCAAGAGCTGTAGATATAGTAGTTCTTGAAATAATTGCACATTGTAGCCACATGCAACAAGAAGCGAATGCAAAGAACTTGAAAGGGCTGGAGATCACTGTTGAAGCTGCAGAAGGTGAAGAGTCCAAATTATGCAGCAGATACACAACGGGATAGGTAGTACTGAAAGACCCCAAAGTGGATTGAAGATTGATTCCCCAATTGTGGTTTGATGTCTGAAGAGAAAAGCGAAGAATCAACCGGTAGCCCTCCCGGACGATGTGAGGAAACTATGAAGATATATGTCGCCTTTCGTAGTGGGCTGTTGCAAGGTGAGGATTGCCGTGTCTTGCTACAGGTGCATCTGTTGACTGGGGCCCCATCACAAGCCAGATGCACCAGGGTTAGGCAAGAAAATTCATATCGAATAATTCAGATGAAAGTCGATAATAATGCTCTTGCTAATGCCAGAGACCACTAGGACTAAGGGAATGGTAAATGAAAGTTAGAAAACATGAAAAATAAAATAGACTAATAGTGCAAATTGTAAAATAATAACAGAAGCAGATATAGACGCCGAACGGTTGAGAGAAATTCAAGCTCAAAGGGTATTAACAAAACAGGCAAAAGCTCCAGGAACCACTCGGGCTCCTTCTTTTTAGCTGCCGATTATGGGTTCTCCCTGAAAGTTATCTCAGGCTACTAAGCCTACCGTCCTCTTACCAGCCTAGCTGGATCTAACATATACACGCAATGCAATCTCATTGCGTAGCATCCTGAATGGGTCTGTTTGGAAAGTCTCCTCCCATGTCGCAGAATGCGGCCCCGGCCGGTTGTCGGCTTAACCAGAGCGGTACAAGGCCTCCAAAGGAGCGACGACAGGAATCGGGTGGAGGCTCATAAACTCTGTTCCCCAGTCATTTTTAAGGGAGTAGTGTTGGGGAATAGCCTCACCATGACACCCGAGATTCACGAGTGACTGCTTCGACGTTAACGGCTTAAATGGGAGATCGACACGGTCCCTCGCAGCCGTTGATGCTTCACCCGCACGTGGCGCTAGCTAGGATCTTCCATGCATACGCAATTACGATGTCATAGAGATCAAGATAATGCCAGGCTGGCATGAAAGAGCAAGATTCATTGGATTAGGCAGTAGGGCCGGAGTATGTTAGCTGATGAGTCGTACATCATTGCCGACCCCGACACGGGATTTCCCAGGCATACCAAGCAGAGGAGAGTTGAATCTCGAACAGTGACAGGCTAGCTGCCTAGCAGGCTGTTTCGTGTTGACAACAACTGGCGCGGAGATATTACGCTTGGTTATCACCTGGCCTCTGATCCATGAGAGAAAAATGGACCCCCTCTAGTCAATTAGGGCGATCAAATATCGATGTGGAACTGTGGGTAATGCACTCCGAAAATACCGAAATACCGGATGTTACTGTTGTTTTAGCACATTTTAGCGAGCAAGCCATCGTGCATCACGGTGGGCAGATGGGCGAAAGTCAAAAATGATACGGAGTCGAAGCCCCATCTCAGCCATTATCGCGGCGCAAAAATCCAGTCTGAGACGCTTGGTTTTGCCCTGCAAGTGTGACATATGTGCTCTGAATGCATGTGTCAATTAATGATGATAAATCATGAGCGCTGAAAGGCTTCTCCTCTTCGAAGTTCGAAGGACGAGCATTTTAGCGGACGTCATTTCCACCTTCCCAGGATGTATGTCTAGATCGCGTATCACTATCGTGTGATTGGCTCTAGAAACAATTCATTCGAGAAGGTAACCAATGGGTTGAGTCATAATCCCATTAATATTGGAAAGAAATGAGCATATGAAGGACCCTTGGAGCTCGTTCTGGAACCTGCGAAGCCTAACAGAAATACTAAAAGGCAGTCAAATAGACTTGGCGGTACGCCCCGCCCCATGGAAGAGACAATCGTAGCAAATCCACGGTACTTCGATTTCGCCGTCTCTTTTTTGGGTTCCGAGTTGTAACTTTGTGCATGACGAAGATTCGAAGCCGCAATAATAATAATAATAGTAATAACGAGGCCTAGTCTAGGTCCTATCCCCTTGATCGTTCTGTCGTATCCGAGAAAGGTGTCCCATATTTCCACAGCCACAGTAAAAGTTTGAAGATTACCTGCTTCCCCCTAGTCAAGAGAATGTGATTGATGCAAGCCACGAAGGCTTGCTAGAATGCCGTTGGCCCCCGATCGTGCCAAGGCTTGAGCTACTGGCAGCCTGAGAGACCAGGGACAGGGGGATTTTCATCCCGCCAAGGAAACTTGGATGCTGGAATTAATTATGTTATTTTCATCGGCAATCATGATGGTAATAACGATAATGAGACAGAGGACTCTTGTCCAGGAACTCTTTAGAAGCCGTGCCTAATTATTGCGTTGTGCAGGATGCACACGACGAACCCACGCGATGGTGAGACATGGTGTATATTGGTGGTAGACTTAACTGCAACTTTGTACCGGAGTACTGGCGTCTTGCGGAAAAGTCGAGGACTCCACTCTCCACGCCTTAGACGGGGTTCGGCCGGGTGTCGTCACGACTTTTCGCCCAGAATTGCCTGACGCTCTGTCTGGATATCGGATGATTGAAGAGCGGATAATTCATCCCGTTTTTCACATGCAAAAGTGAAACTGAAAGCTTGTCACTATCACAGATCGATCGATATTTTCTCTTAATGATGCAAGACTAGTCGACAGGTTTCAGCGTGTATGGTGCCATGCCATTTTACCTAACGAAATAAGGATCTGACTTGAAGCCTTCTGCCTAGCAGGTAGGATTATGAACAGGGGTTCAAGATGGTCCGTGGCATTATGGACAGCGGTCAGTCTACCCTTGGAGAAAGAGGGAAAAAATAACAAGGATCCTAATAATTCTTCCACCGGGATCGTAAGTACCTCTTCATACCCTGGTGTGATTGAGCTGCTGTCCAAGGCAACTCTTTAAGGACCAAATCGATGTACATGAATCCAGAATTCCATATGGCTTGCTCCCAGCCTCGCATTGGGGTGGGGGATCCGGTTTTCTGACATCTTCCAAAGTTCAAACTTTGAAGTTCAAGAGTTCCTGAACTTCTTCGTCCCTACAGGTGGAGCCCGAGGGAACATTCTTCTCAAGCTTTTAGTGCAATCGCTGAGACTCTAGCCGTTTGACCACCATCGCAGACTCACGATTTGGCTGGTTCATCGTACTGAGAGCGATAATACACAAATACTTTTCTGGAATTAGGATTCAATGTTCTCCAAATACTAATGGAAAAGGGAACACCAGTGAGATGACCTATGAAGCCTGGTTCCTGGGCTAGCCAAACTCTAACTCCAGCGATTTTGTGACGTGGACAGCAATTTGTTCTGGACGCTTACAGTCCATTATTACTCCGGACAGAAGGTGGTACTACGCAGGAAGATGGATCAAGACGTCTAACTCAATTTTTGTCGTCGTAATCTGTACAGCCTCAATCATTATCGAAGCGTCCACTTATCGTACAAATTTCAGAGGTGTGAGGCTTATCACGGCGACGTTATATTGTGACAGTCATGCAGCTTCATCTGGTAGCTGATAATCGGGATGCGTCTTGGCTGGACTGCTGCTTTGCTGTTAGTCTCGCGGACTTGTCGGAGTCTCGAAGAGATCTGTATACAATGGGGCGCTAGCTATAAAAGGCTAGCTTGTCTTAAGCTCACTTTAGAAATAAAGCTAACCACTTCTGGCATACGACAAGTCGACAACAACCTGGAGATACGCTATTCTCAAAATAGAAACGAGAATAGCCCATTCCCGATCTGGCCTTAGCGGACCCCGTGATAATCACGGCTCTGGACACGGAAAGTCAGAAACAAAGAAATCCCCTCATCCCACTGTTGCGGGTCTGGTTGTCGCCCGACTACGACTCAAGGAAGAGTCATCATACTGTTCTGACTTTTGCTAACTCCTGATGATCCGGACTGGGGCTTGCGGTCGTTCGTTGGACTCTTGAAATCGCCTTGAGACTGTAAATAGAAGGGGCTTTGGACGCCAGCATTTTCCAGGTCCGCCCAGCCATCGCTGTGGAGACAATCTTTGCACTCCGCTCCTTTCGATATCAACACACCGTCGAAAGAGTCGCCAGACGTTCGTTTTTCTTCATTTTTAGATTCTAATTCATCTCATCAAAATGGGATTCGGGCAATTTGACTCGATATGCCAGAAGGCAGCGCTCCCCCTTTGCTCGTTGGTAGGCCCTTCGTCCTCGATATCAGGATCCACTGGCATCATTCCGAACTGCTATGCGCGGAATATCGAGTTGGCAAACACCATCATCTTTGAAGGCGCTGCGTCATTCGTGCATATCATTGCTCTAGCAATGACAGTCATCATGATTCTGCATGTCAGGTCCAAATTCACCGCA